CGCGGTCAGTTTCAGGGATCCTCCGCTAGGGACTCGTTTGCTATTTCATTTCGACGTTTGAAATGTATTTTTGCAAATATTGTGTAATCGATATACGTAATTACGTTTGGTAATATCGTCTTGACGCTTCTTTTGAAAATGGATGACAAGAGGGTGTACTTCCCAGCAATTAGGCATTGTTACGAGTAACAAAAACAAATTTCCTCGTATAAGATATCTTTTGTAATATGCGACGTAAGACGTAAGCTTGCACAAAGGTGATATAAGTCGAGTGGACGATGACTCGACGTCCAAAAGGGGAAAACCACGGGTACGTGAGAGCGACTGTCAGAGTGTTAACAAAGTAAATTACGGGATACGCGATACGGGATAATGGGTCAGTGTTACGACACTCGAACGATCAGCTGGACGGGAGTTGCGTCAGGGTATCTTGTACCACGGCCTCCTTTCTTCAGAATCGGGAACCCCCGCCATGTTCGAGCTGCCTCTGTCGCGAACGATCGGTCCGAAAATGGGGAATCTTTTAAAATCCTGCAATTCTTCTCTCTTCCTTGCATCTTGTAATCTCCATAAACTGTATAGTGAAAATAATAATTGAAGAGTCGATCCTGCTAAGAGATACTTCCTACGTATAAGTTAGCGTCTTTTAGGAATTAATAGTCCCGAATCTGGAGCTACCTGTCCACTCTTGGTGGCACCAAACGCAAAAACAGTACTCGTAAACCATTTAACACGAGAGATATTACCGTAAACGCGATAAGGAACGGTTTGCTATTGTCGATGGCTTCTGAGAACGAGAAGAGCATCGAGGAGAAAGATTTCTCGAGCGGTGAGCACGCCGAGAAAAGTGAATAGGAGCACGTGTCGCCCGCGTGGCTCGCGTACGTGAATCGGTGTCGTTTAACGACAGAAATAGACAGCACAATTTAATGTTGCTTCTCGATGGAGCCGAGGTACGATCGCGACCCGACTCCCGACGACGCGATAACGGTGTCGTTTTATTTCAGGTACGAGACGCCCAGCGTTTTAAAAACGATCTCGTAAGATCACAGCCTCGATTTTCCCAAATTACTGAAAACTCGCTGGAAGATATATTTATCCGTCTTTCTTTTCGTTGCACGTTTGAATTTGACGAAAGAAAACAAAAATTAGCTCCCGTTGTCCACGTTTTGGGGATCTTGGATCCCCCAAAAATATGCTTTGCGTTTAAAATTCTGAGTAACAGTCGAAAGTAAAAGGCATCCGAAAGTTTGGTCTAATGAGTTTTATAGCCTGACGCGGTCGTGTTAAATAATTTTAAGTACGTTGCCATATGGTTACGGTGGAAACGAAAGGTTATCGTTGTTTCGATCGCCTCGATTTTGTTTCCCACTTTCTCAAGTTTTTTTCCACCGTAGATTAGCCTATTTGTGCTCGATGTTTTTACGCAAAACATAACTGGTTCGCACCTGTTTCGATTTGTACATCGTTCGCGTCCAAGTATTCTCTGTTATGACAGGTAACGAGTATTGCTGTTAGTGTAATAAAAACTTGTTATTAACCGGATAAATTCCACTGGCGCGATAATTCATCGAAGACAAATTAAACGCATAATAATAAATAGTATTTTTTTCTTGTCGCTTTGATGCTTCTTGAAATACTTCCAGGCTCGAAGTAGGTCAATCTCTATTTCGTCGGATTACTTTGCTCGCCAGACCTCGAAATTGCAATTAATTCGCGATCGACACAGGGTGCAACACGTCTCTGACGAATCGTTTCTCGCAGCGAACACGGCGATTCGCTAGGAATTTACGTTCATGGCTCTTGGAAACTCACCTGATCGCCCTAATGCACTCGGGGAATTGTAATCGACTCGTTATAGATATTATCGATACATTGACGTCAGAAATTGTTTTTCTTGTATCAATCCTTTGAATGGAATCGTCACTATCGGTTCGAGACTTATTGAAACGTTCGACGATCGATATGGATCAGCAGCCATTCAACGTTCTAACAAAGAATGTTTCGTCAACGGTGTTGCTCTAATATCTAAATAAAGCACACGCTGTGTCGTCTTATCGATTGATAATTCGAGCAAAGGGAAAGAGACAGAATTTTAGTTATTCTTATACTTTGATAGTAGATCAGCTACATCGTTATTGTGTCAAGGTCTCGACGATACTCGATCTTAATTGTATCGATACCAGAGAAAACGTCGACAACTACATATCAGTTACTATTTACTGTAGACTTTGAGATTGGGAAATTAAAATGCACGTCCAAACTTTTTAACTCGTTCACTGCACCATTTAGAAAAATGTCTACGGACAATGTTATTGTGTTTCCTCGTACAGACACGAAATAGAAAATCATCATTGTCACGCATATGGGACGTTGGTCTCTCGTGAGAACCGACGCGTCACACGTGTGACGTGTGCAAGTGAACGTGTTAATTATGTCAACAATGCTGCGTCACCGCTAGACACGTGACAAAGTGCACCTGACCATGAATTTTTTAAGAGTGCAATTTAGGTTCTTGGTCTTTTATATTAAACCGAATTCTCACAGTGAATCTACATTTATTTGCTTCTTTGAAGAATGGGAGATTCTAGAGGCTAAAATAACACAAAAATCAAGGATACTAATTCGTTGATTGAGGCTTCGTTAAAAAGTTATAGAGACATTTCCGGTCACACAGTATATTTTCGGTAAAGAATTTTTTTCTCGAAAATGGGTAGGATTTCGGGGGTATGTCCGTTCACCGAAAATTATTGAAATTGGCCCCCGCAACCAAAAATAATTTTTCCAGAACGATTTGAAATTTTTTAATTTTGTCGAAAAATTTCACACCTACGGGAATTTTTTTCTCGATAATGGTTAGGATTTCTGGGGTATGTCTATTCACCGAAAATTATTGTAATTGACCCCCGCAACCAAAAATAATTTTTCCAGAATGATTTGAAATTTTTTAATTTTGTCGAAAAATTTCACACCTACGCGAATTTTTTTCTCGTAAATGATTAGGATTTCGGGGGTATGTCTGTTCACCAAAAATTATTGTAATTGACCCCCCTAACTAGGAATAATTTTTTCAATATGATTTGAAATTTTTTAATAACTTTTTAACAAAGCCTCAATCAACAAATTGATATTCTTGATTTTCATCTTATTTTAACCTCTAGAATCTTCCATTAAAATTTTTTCCAGCGGTGGCCGAACACCCCACTACGCTCTCGCGAATCGGTGAACGTTTATTTTCTTCCGTCTCGCGACGGTTCGCGATCGCGAACGTGCGTTCATTCGCGTCTCGTTGCGGGTTTATTATTTTTAAACGACCATTGCGTCAAAACCTCAGCCTCCCATTGAGTGCCATGAATAGAACATCTTTTTCGGTGCGTCCCATTTCGTCCAGCTCTCGGTACCATCTTTGCGTCTCGTCTCGTCTCGTCACGATAGCATCCCGACAGCCAGTCGAGTTCGAATCGACGCACTATCTATCAAAGTTGGGCAAATTTCAATCGCGATTAACATTTATCCAACTCCGTTATCTACTAGAGCTTTATTGTAGCATTTACTAGAATCCAAGCCTTCGTGATCCGATCTTATCGATGCAACGATAAGCTTTTCCCTCCTCGGATTTAGAACTATAATAACTTATTTAACGGGCGGGCAACCTTCGATGCAATGAAAAATGTCCTCAAATATGGTGTTTGAACAGTTTGTAACATCCAGAACAAAGTAAACGACATTTCAAAATTGATTAGTCTAGATCCCCCGTCAAGTATGTAAAATTATGCAACTGTCCCGTCGAAAAATTGTATATTTCTTGTTAAAGAGAAGATCATTTATAAAGTCGCTTACTAACAGCAATTCGGTTGTTTCTATACAAACATAGAAATATTATGTTATTGTCGATTGCATGAGAATGCTTTGTTCAGAAAGTAATCGTATTAATACGTCTTTAAAAACAACTGAACTAACATCTCGTTCTATTTCGAGAAATTTGCAATTGATTAAACTAAATTTGCAGAGTGCATTACAGTGTTGGCAGGTGGTAGATAATACTGGCTGATTACTGCCTCAGAGGGAAACTGTTGGGAAATAATCAGCCACTGTTACATATTTACCAACAAACACAGCGATGTGTTTGCGATAGTCGATACACTTTCCGCTAATTGCGTGACAAAAGTGGCAACTACGTTGAAAAATAAGTGTCAGTTGCAAGACCTACTATATTTAAAATCATTTTATGTATAACAAAATATTCTTACGTTAATCGTTTATGTACTTCGTGTAAATCGATAAAAATCGAAAATTTGAAGTATTGGTCACCTTGAACTTGAAAAAACCACGCGATTCTAGCTTTTGTCGCGTTTCCGCGTAGTTGAAAGGAGCGGCGATCGCGAAGCTCGATCTCGTCGCTTTCGGAAGCTGTTGCGCAACCGGAGCGAATTAAATCCGTAACCCATCGATCCGTGTGATCGTCACGCGACCCACCGTTGTTGCTCTTTATTTTCGGTTCGTCACCGATCGTCTGCGCGATCAGACCCCGTGCCCGATTCGCGCCAAGAGAAAGAAGAAATTGTTGGCTCGTTAGTCGATCGAGTGCATCTGTTCGAACGCGTGTAGTTGCACGAGCGTCGAGAAACAAAATAAAAAGAAACAGATTCGCCTGAGCCAGCGGCAAAGACCAACGTTCCGTTCTACTGTTCGCATCTCTAAAGATTCCACCTGGCAAGGAAACCAGTTCCAAGATTTTCGCGATATTTATTTATTATCATCTGTACTATAGAAGTCTTTTATTTCAAGCGTTGAGTGTTAATTAAGAGTGTGTGCAAAAATTGACGTAAGTTTACACGCGACTGCCAGACGTTTTCTTCTACTGTTTGTGTCTGTAAAGATTGCATCTGACAAGGAGGCCTTTTCGAAATTTTTTGGAATATTTTGTCAATTCGAGTGTACAAGATTTGTTGTACAGTGTTGCAAATCCACTAATCGATCGGTAAAATTGTCTGTTGCAGGGAAGATGCGGCCTTGCACTTGGAGCTGAAACCGCCTCGCAGGCTGCGAAGAACGGCAGGTCCGCAACCTCAATCGATCACTAAAAAGTAAGGAAACCTCGAATATCGTCTCGCGTCTCGTCCTTTCCACGTTGCTAACGAACCAAAAAAAAAAACCACAGTACAAAAATAAGAAAAAAAGAAAGGAACAGAAGTGTACGAAAAAGCAGGCAGTCGAGAGATTGAATAGAAAGTGATAGATTTTGATTGAGGGAGTGGGGGAGAGAGAGAGAGTGGGCGATCGGGAAGGACGAAAGGAAAGAAACGATCGACGATCGTAGATCAAGAGGCGGAAAAGCTTAAACGAAAGGAAGAGGAATCGGCAGATAGAACGTACCTTTCGAAAAATTAAAGAACTGCTAAGAGACACGCTGTTCCGTCGGGTTTGAACGGAAAAATAATAGTCGAACCGTGGTGGGAACGCGATTCTTTTCGAAAGAAATAATAATAGAAAAGGCGAGGAAGGGCCATCGATCGTGTTCTTTGATTCGAGTAAACAGAGAACGGAGATAAAATCGCAAACGAGCGATCCTGTCGAGCTGAGATCGCTAATTACGAGAAAATGGCCCCTAGTTCCATGGCCTCTGTCTCGATGAATTGCCTGCTGAATGCTGCGTCGTTCCTCGCGTTCCTCGTCGTTCTTCAAAGTTGCGCTAGTGCGGACAAGGCGGCAGGCTTCGTAAAACCGCCTCCGTGCCCGAGGTAAGTACCAAAACACTGATCAAGTACGTCCTCAATCGCTGGCCTTTTATTTCGAGACGCGACCTCTTCGTCGTTTTCTATTTTTCTTGTATTTTAAACAAATTTTTGTTACCTGTTTTGACTCCCTCCTGTGTGCCCTTCTCGGTCCAATTTCTCTGAACGACGCAGGATCGAAGACTCTCTGGAGGATCTTTTGCGTCGCGATAAACACCACCACAGCTCCAGATTTTCTCCTTGATAAACATTCAAACGATTTCCTTAAACTATACCACTGATTGTGTTTCTATAGCGTTGGCAACAACGATTAAATACGCACGTGGGTATCTAATTTTATCTACTACCAAAAATAGAAATCTTTATATTGTCACCAGTATGCTACCATTGAATTGCTGGGACTTTCCCGATAAAAATGAGTACAAACACGACCATATTTCGATCACTTTGAGTTACGGCGTAAAACGTACCGCTTTTGAATTTTGGAAATTCTTCTACTCCCGAAATATGTCGTGTTTGGACTCATTTTCACCGGGAGAACGTCGTCGATCCATTGGTAGTGTTCTTATAAAAATATGAGAGAAGTATAAAAATGATTATTTTTGAAACGTCGTCCGTTGTGTGCATCCAATGTTTCCCGATTGATTCCTGGAATGAAATTGTCTGCTCCTTATGTGTCTCCGAACATGCTCGATTTTGTGACGTTCGTCGAGGAGTTTCTTTGTTCGTAAACGAATTTCTGGATCTACGCGACGAGGATAACAAAGCATCAGCGAACTCGTGTCGCGATAAGCGGCAACGCGTTGCGCAATCGGATGACTCGTGGAACGCGACAATTAAATTGTAAAATTGTACGGTTGCTTTAATCCTTCGCGCTTACGCCTAAGCAGGCGCGACGAACACTAAAACAACGAAGTCGTTGGTCCAAAAGAATCGTAAAATTTTTCAACTCTTGGCGTATCAAATGTTCGCCAAAAGCACGGATGCAAATATTGACACACGCTGTTTGGGTGTGTGTTTCTCAGGATGGAATTTAGATTCAGCGATCAGAATTTTCAGAAATGGTTATTTTACAATTCATCTAGATTTGTATCACACAAGGTAAAAAGGCGGAATTTTGTTGTGCAGTATCGTTCGACTGGAATAGTTTGTACAGTCCCGTGCAGTCAAAACAGCATGAAATCCCACGTGGCCGATAACAGCTGATCGAGTCACATCGGTTGTCACGGGACACGAGAGTCTCGCGACGTCCGGCGTCGTTGAGCGTCGCGTCATCGCCCTTAAAAATAGTTGGCGATTCCTTCAGAAGTGACCGTTAGATCGACCACGGTCCCGACGGAATTCTCTCCTACCGGAAATAGATCCCTGATCCACAGCCAATTCTTTCAAGTTTTTTTCCGCGAGCACGCGCCCCACTGACTCCATCGCGTTCCTTCGAGTCTAGATAGATAGATAGATCGATCGTCTATCACAACGTTTTCGCGTTTTAGAAAATTAGAATGAAATTTCGATAGTTGCATCGCTCTTGGAGAACTTTTAGAACGTCCTAGCTCGTGGAATTGCACCGCGCGGAGGAGCGATCTTCTCTCAACCGAGTCAGAGAAATGGCCTTAGCAATGAACTACGAAACGATGCACGCGTCGAGTTTTAAATTAACGTGTTCCGCAAGTCCAATGAACGTGACCTTAGCGCGCCGCGGCGCGCCAGAGAACGACGCAACGCGGGACGACGCGATAGATCTCCAGTCGCGATCGGATCGAGACGCCGAAACGCCGAATCGCCGATCCTCGAAGCGCGCGAAAACGCATTTGAATTAGATCCACCGCCGAGAACACACCGGTATGCAAAATATCGGTACTTTTGTCGGTTTTTCTATTCCACTACGATCCTCAAGATTCGTTTAAGTAGACCTCAAATCGATACTATTTCCTTACCGCGTAATTCTTCCTAAGCTCATTTTTATTTCGCGTAAAACGATTGTAAAACCGGCAATTCGAAAATAAGTCTCGACTCTAATTCGCACGTCGCGATAATCTCTTATCAGAGAGACAGCAATAAAGATCGGAAGCGTGAGTAAATATGAAACCTGTTAAGCGGGAATTTCCATTGGGCGTCAATTTATTAGGTAATTCTACACTTTGCTAACCACTTTTCCTACACTGGCTCCCGATAACGTGGCTTAACTTAAAACTCAAGAGAGTTCTGATTGGCGATAAACCGAGTCTCTTTCAGGAACGTTTTTTAAATCATCGCAGGACAGTATTCCTACTTCTATTTATGATTTCCCCAAGGAATTAGATTTTATTTCTATCATCCAGTTACCCTGGATTCTGGATTCTGGATTCTGGATTCTTCATCCCTGGTTTAGAAAAAAAATATCTATAGCTCGGAGAGATCGATACGATTTTTCCCCAATCTATCGTTGAAGCGTAAAATTGAGATGCACTCGTTGAAGTACATTCTGCATCTCAATTGTTCAAAGGAATTTCAAGACGGTTCGATCCCCTAGAGGATCCTGAAACTAGGTCGCGTAGTAGAGCAACGAGCGTCGTTCGATGTTCGTCCTCGTTTCGCGAATCAAACTATCGTTAGGGCGGGAAACGACGACGCAGATGGCTACGGTTGCGACGTCGTTCGCTTCAATTCGCGTTTCCTCTTTCTCGAAACGAGTCTCGAGCCGCGGGACCAAGTGCGCCGCGAGTCGCTGTAACGGATATCTAGATTGCTCGCGACAAATATTAGGCGGATTAAGGGGATAGCGCGTTCGTCGGTGGCGCGATAAGGATGTCTCCAGCAACCTGGAGCCTAGTCTCGCGTGTCTCGACGACGAACACCGATAAAAATACCGATTCTAGCTGGACAAAATTATCAGATCGTTCATATCTTCTCGTAACAGCTAATTCTTGCGTACAACGGCGTGCATATTAAATAAATTCTAATTTCGAAGGAACCTGTAATCGTTTTCCTATCTACTGATGTATAGAAATCTATTCCTTAGTTAAATTTTTATCTATTCGATTGCGACGTTCTTGACTGCTCGAAAGTTTTCGAAGGACGCCAGGCATCGTAAATGCATTTCCATTTCCGCGACAACGTTGCTTACAGAACCATGAAATTAGCAATCGTGCAGATAACCGGTAAAAACCGGTAATTACATCGATATCGAGCTTTTCGACGAAAGTCGCAGGTGAAATGCGTTCTGTTTTCATTATATTTTTTACACAAACGCACAGGTCAATATTGACTTCGTTATATGTTTTTAATAGCGTCTGATATCGATTTATTCGTGATTTTACAAAAATTATTGATCAACGCCATCTGATTTCTGTTCACATTTTTTTGTCGGATTATCGCGCTGCCTGACACGACCAAAGCATTATTTCCGAACGTAAAAATGTTATTCCCCAGTTTTTACGAGCAATTCTCCCACAGTCGTTTATCGTTTGTTACGACATTTCGGTTTATTGTAGGACGTTGTCGTCAGACACAATCGTATAATTATAAAAATGAGAATCAAACGATGTTCTCTTCTCTTCGAAAGTTTAACACGAGTTCAACAAATTTTTCTGGCCGATGGTAAAATAATTTGTTTTCTAAAATTCTGATCGAGCGAAGTTATAAAATTCCAGATGCTCTTTGCGCGACGAAAATTGATAATCTGGCGATCGACAACGAATAGCGAATTCGTCGGTGGCAACGGTAACAATCGCGGGAACTTTGTTTTCAAGGCCAGAGCTACGCGAATCCGAGGTTTCGCGCGTTGTCGCGGATCTCTCCGATAAAGACGGAAACACATTACTGCCGCTTAGCGCACGTGACTCGCGAAAACACGCGTAGAAAACGCACGAGCATCGTGTGACGTCGTGAAACATTTCCATTTCAAATCGCTCTCGACCCTTGACCCGCTCGATGCCTAAAATACGAATGTCAGAACTTGGAAAAAGTGCAAGAACATTCGAACGAGTCTGACGTTAACGTAAGCATAAAAATTACTAATTGCTTCATCCGCGGTGACTCTCCGCGCATATAAATACGACGCTGAGTCGTCTCTTCGAAAGAAAATTTTCTACAAACGTTCCTCAAACCAGGACTTCGTATCATCGATGATAATAATAAAAAACGTAATAACCGGAGTTGAGTAACCTGCATCTTACCAGAGTATAGAGTTATGAAAATAAATTGCACGAACAATAATATACTCTAGGAAATTACGTGAACGTAAGGAGATCCTGGTATTGAATAAAGAAACTTATTTATAGTTTAAATATCTTCCCATGCTTGCTGGTCGGGTATTCCTATCTCCATGATTGCAAGGTTTCGTGTTGCGCAACACTTTTATGATTCTTTCATCATTTGTATCTCATGATTCACGATTGATCGCTCGCGAATAGAATAATGTTTTCATCGAAAAATCGGTGGCACGTGAGGCAGCCAGCCGATCTGCATCGTCACGTGACGTTGCGTATTACGCGGGGTTTGATACGAACGCGTTTCCAAGGAATTTGAAAACAAATGGAAACTCGTGTTCGCGTTTCTCAGGGCGGCGTGAGTTCGCATGGCGTGACAATAATGTGTTTCCGCCTTAAAGGACGTGCGTGATCTCAAAGCGCATAGAAAGAATAAGATCGCCTCATGGACGATACTCGTCTCCAATGACGATAGTTCAATGGTTCAATGGAGACTTGTATTTTAAATACCACGATCTATTCTCTTTGTATTCTTAAACTGCACTTACCATCGGTGACTATCGTTTTGATCGTTCGATGCTAAAATAATATAATCTTTGCTCCAAGTATCAGATAATTAAAACGATTGTACGGTCACCGAATCGGTTCTTTTCGTAGTTCATAAATACGAAAAGTATTTGGTGCTATTTAAAAAAAAACACAAGACGATACTTCTCTCGAGACGAGTTCGTTGAACGGACCAACGCATTTCGCGCACGGCGAGAATCCTTTTTTTCTCATCCTCGTCCTTGGAAATCGGTAAACGAGCAAAGACGAAACAGATTTGGTAACGAGACGAGCAGAAACCGTAGAGATCGTGTGTGGCTTTGCAGCGACGTTTACTGTCACGGCGACCTCCTGCACACGATACAAATGGCGTCGATCTACAAGGACTCGAAGACCTTCGTGGACATGAAGATGAAGTTTTCGCCGAACGAGACGCTGGCGATGTTCCGGGAGTTTATGGAACAGGTCGACCAGATGCCCAGCCGGCACCAGATCGAGCAATTCGTGAACCGAGCCTTCGATCCCGAGGGATCGGAGTTCGAGGATTGGGACCCGGCGGACTGGACCATGCATCCCAAGTTCCTGAACAGGATCGCGGACGAGAATCTTCGGAGGTTCGCCTCGGATCTGAATCAAATCTGGAAGATGCTCGGTAGAAAGATGAAGAACGACGTGAAGATCAACGAGGATCGATACTCCATCATTTACGTGCCTCATCCCGTGATCGTACCCGGCGGTCGATTCCGTGAGTTCTATTATTGGGATTCGTACTGGATCATCAAGGGGTTGCTTCTGTCGGAGATGTACACCACCGTGAAGGGGATGCTGACCAACTTCGTGTCGCTGGTGGACAAAATCGGCTTGATACCGAACGGTGGTAGGATCTACTACACCATGAGATCCCATCCCCCGTTGTTGATCCCCATGGTCGAGGAGTATCTGAAAACGACCCAAGATTACAAGTGGCTGGAGGACAATTTTCATTTGCTCGAGAAGGAGTTCGACTTCTGGATGACCAATCGAACGGTCGAGGTCGATATGGACGGGACGAAGTACACCCTGGCTAGATACTACGAGGAATCCATGGGCCCGCGACCCGAGTCCTACAAGTAAGAAACCAAAGACTACGAAACGGTCTCGAAATTTTCTTATTTATTTTCTCTCATCGCGATTCGATCGTTTCTGACGGGACAATTTTCTCGACTAGAGAGGATTATCTGACGAGCCAAAACTTCCGCACGAACGAGGAAAAGGAGAACTACTACGCGGAGCTGAAGACCGCCGCCGAGTCGGGCTGGGATTTTTCCAGTCGTTGGTTCATACTCAATGGCACGAACAAAGGTAATGTTCTGTGCTTAACGGTCACCCGAAACCCATTAACCATTAGTAGAAATTCAGTAAGCATTTTTGGTCACGTCGAATAGCAAACGATCGACCCTAAGTAGAAATAACGAGCAATGGACAGACGTGACAGTCGTACTCGTTTGATGAATCAGTACATAAATTATCAATGAAATCGGTTACTTTTGAGCTCTTTCTTTTACTTTTATTTTGAACGAAACGACACTAGTTTCGAGTCCTAAAAATTGGGAAATATAGCTATGAGAGTAATGTACGGTTAACTTGTCTAAGATTTGGTAGAAAGTCAGGTGGATACAGGATGCTGAGTCGAGTCTGAGGAAAGTTAATCGTCCATTATTTTACTCTTTCGCGTACGAGAATAAAAATCGTTCGATTCGCGGCTCGCGTGACCGCGGCGCCGCGGGACTAATTTTCTAAAACGTTGTTAAACAAAGCGCTTGCGCGCGCCTCGAGAAACTGTGTCGGCAATTATTGTGCCACGCGTTCCGTATTATCCGCGATATCTGCGTCGAGATATCTCGATCGGCCCGTCCAAGGTTTCCCAGGTGAAAGCGGGGCTGCTCGGGCTCTCGCGATCGCGAAAATAAAGCGTGTCGATCGCCCTTCGAGCACGCCAGACGATCGAGGAATATCGTGTCTGTTTCGTCGTGGTCACAGTGGTCGCGTACATACGTTTGGTCGAAATCGTGTCGCTCGCCGCGCGTAACGGAGCCACTCGGAACACCGACTCTAGCGAGTTCTTCTTTAGGTAACCTGACGAACTTGAAAACGAGATACATTATCCCCGTCGATTTGAACGCGATCATATATCGGAATGCGCAGCTGCTGGCCAAGTACAGCCAGAGGATGGGCATCGAAAGCAAGGCTGTCTATTACCGGAAAAGAGCCGACGAATGGAAGAGAGCGGTGACCGCCGTGCTGTGGCACGACGAAGTCGGCGCCTGGCTCGACTACGACATATTGAACGACATCAAGAGAGACTATTTCTATCCAACGAACATTCTGCCGCTGTGGACGTTCTGCTACGACCTCGACAAGAGGGAGGAGTACGTGGCGAAGGTGCTCAAGTATCTCGAGAAGAATCAGATCATGTTGAATCCGGGCGGCATACCGGCCACGCGCGAACACTCCGGTGAACAGTGGGACTACCCGAACGCGTGGCCACCGTTGCAGTACTTCGTCATCATGTCGCTGGACTACACGAACGACCCGTGGGCCCAGAGACTCGCCTACGAGATCGGCCAGAGATGGGTCCGTAGCAACTACAAGGCGTTCAACGAGACCCAAGCCATGTTCGAGAAGGTAATCTCTCACCTGAGCGGGAGCTGTACCAGTCATAAGTATCGCGAGCATCGAGAACGAAGAAAAAGAATCGCAAACTGACGTCCGTTTGCAGATCAGAGCCTCCCTTTCGCAACGATCGAATGTTCATTCCTCGTTCGCTATGCGGGGAATAACAGTGCGGAACGTTGGAAATTTATTCTGAATCTCTGATCAGTCGTACTTGATCGAGTATGTTATAAGCACGACTTGGAAGTCGATTATGTATTTTAATCGAAAGCAGAAAATAAGTTTCGATGCTTATGACCGGTATTGGTACGTTCTGTATTGCTAATCGCTAGGGATGGGATCCAGTTTGATACGTGTTCAAGGTTCGCTTTGTAAATTTGCTCGATAGTCCAGTTGCTCCCAACCTAGCGATCAGGGGTTCGTCTGCTGAAAAAGCAGAAGAACGAACGAACGTTTCGATTTTGGTTCGCAGTACGACGCGACGATGTCGGGCGGCCATGGTGGCGGTGGCGAGTACGAGGTCCAACTTGGCTTCGGCTGGACGAACGGGATCATCATGGACTTGCTGGGCAAGTACGGTGATAGGATGACGGCCGAGGATCATTTCGTGTACGACGACGTCGTCGAGAGCGCCTCGGCGCCGCCGCCGGTAGTCGTGTCGACGGCTGGCCAGGTGATGACTGGCATTCTAGCCGTCATTATATCGCTGGCTGCAGGATTCATAGGGTGAGGTGAGTGTCTTCAAAATCTCTGCTCTGGAGAGTACATGAGAACAAGAATCCAACGGAAAGAACGATTCAACGAGTTATTATTTCTTCCAGTATATGTAAAAATTGCTAACTGTATCTTTCTGGTTTCTGTTTCAGATATCCTTCTTCTGGTCTAACGCATCTAGGGGAATATGTTTGCCAGAGCAAAGTATTATCGGTAGAGTTGTGTGTTGTCGGGTGTAATAGACGCGTTCTCCGTCGGTTCGAAGGCAGGGTTCGTTCTTCCTTTGCTTTCGCGTAGCTCGACGAGCGACAAGGAACGAGAAGGACGAACTGATCGAACGGGAGGACGAAACGAAAGCGAGTGCGGGCACTGGCAGCTCTCGAGATTCATTCGGACTCTTCCGCGATAGATACTGGAACGAAAGGGTCGAACGAACTCGAACGTAATTTTAATTCTTGCCGAGGACGCGGTCGAAGCGTCACGGGGGTCGTAGAAGCGACGATTTATTCTATTGTTAATTTTATTTATCCGCCATATTGGGGGGAGGAGAAATATATTAATTCGGTGAGGTGTTGCTAGTTTGCAACGGGAAGCTAGAATAAATAAATATTAAGTGTTACAGGAAGTAGAGGTAGATAATTATAAACTAGGAAATCGCCAAAGGTTGAAACGGTACGAGTTTACTATACATTTTACAACTGTCGTCCAACCGTATCGACGATAGTTTTATAGATCGTTATACGAAAAATCGTTGCGTCTGTGACCCCTACGACTCCGGCTTAACAAGTTCGCTTGGACCGTTTGGAGAGTACCAAAAGGTAGTTTAGTGATTTCGAGGATACGGAGAGACACGTGATTCGTGGACCAACGCGTAATATGTATATGATTAATATAAGGTTTTCCGGAAGAAGGAACTTGCTTGCTCGATCTATGATGGAGCAAGCGTTTCACGCTGCGTTAGTTGCAGGATTTCTCGTCCAAGAACACGCGACTTCGATGTGCCTTGTTTAACATTCCCTGTTTGACCGTGTCTCTCCGATCGTCGCCTGTTGCGCGACCCACGCAGGATCGATTCGATCGTTCGCGCGTCGAACGAGACGATTTCTATTACTTAACCATTCCATTACGCGCGCACCAGTCGCGAATGATTATTCTGTGATTTTCGAGGGACCTTGCATCGCTGGTCGAGAACACGTTCCTACGATACCAATCTGCCCGCCAGGCTCGATTATTTTCCCACTGACGTTCTCGTATTAGTTATCGATGAGATAATACCGTGTGCTAGACGTTTACGATTAATAGTGAACGATATAGATATAGGCGAAAGAGTAGCGACGATATGACTATTGACGTCTGACGATCGTTTTGCGAGAGAATTTTCTTGCGCGCCGATTTTTAGCCATAATCGTTAGTATTATTAGAGTAGCTTCTGTCGTGATAACGCAGGGAAAGGGTGTGCAATATTACGGGGTGGATTTCGTAGCTAAAAATTGAGAATACCTAAGTGCCTTTGTCTCGAACGAAGTTCAGATATTTATTTTTGAACGGTCCATCCTGTATATTAGACAATTATTCGGGAAAGAGAGATATCCAAGTTTCGAATTATTTTTTTAAGAAGGGTGGAAGTAAGTGCTACCCCTAAGTGCAGCGCACCGTTTCAGAGGCCTCGATGGACGATTAGTAAACTCTGTTAACCCTCTGGGTGATTTGGAGGCCCGTGAGCATTGAACCAATCAGTGCAATTCGTGCCTCGTACGATTTTTTAGCATCGAAAGGGCTGAAAACTAAATATTGAACAAAAATCAAACAAGAAAATCTTCAAATAAATCAAACTTGTTCGTATAATTCTAAATAGGCATTCCAGTATCAGTATTTCGCTATACAAATAAGGTTAATTTTATTGAAAAACTGTTGCGTTGCTTTTCCAACGAATACATTAAACAACATATCCGGAACATGGATCGTTCGAATTCGAATTTTAGTGTCCATATAATGAAATATTATCTTTAGCTCTAGTTCGGAGGAGAGAACCAGCGTCGACGTCGAATAACAAGCAAAGCACTATTCGTCGAGCTTATACTTAAGACGACGGTTAAAATTCGAAGCTGGTACAGAATGGGAGGACGAAAATGTGGCGTTTTGGAAGAGCCACGCGCACGCAGGTACAAAACGATCGCTCGAAATGTTGGATCGAGAAGAGTAGTGGATCTATCTAGTCAGATCTAGACACGTTAGCTAAGTGTGTTTACATCGCGTATAGAAAGTGCGGTGTATAGAAACCTGAGAACCGCCAAAGTTGCTACTCCTCGATTCTCAGATAGAATCGAGATTCCACGAAACGACGGAAAGGATTATACACGAAAAATCGTCCACGAGTTCTTTAATTGTAGCGAGCAAGAATCGTCCTCGTTACGGTTTGTTATATATTTATTAGAACGTGTATCGTTTCGACGCGTCGTATTAACGATAGAGCGAAAATAAAGTTTTATCGTAAATGTAGGAAGAAGCGATTTTGTTAATTTATTCGTTATTTCCGTGGAGACTCGCGATCGATGGAGAAATTTCGAGCAGGATAAATCATTGGATAGGACAGATGCCACGAAGAGGCGAAGGATAGGCTTTTCCCTGATTAATATATACCAGCATGCTTCCTTTCACGTTTGCCCCCCTGTGTGGTGACTTTTAAATAAAGTGAATAAATCAGAATATCTGTACCCAGCCAGTTCCCTCAAGATCTGTCACGAGTTCGAGATTTGTCCTTTTCCTGGCATAATACACAAAGCTTTCCTTTCCAAAAGGTTTGGTAAGTCCTCTGTGTGCAGCATGGATCGTAATACCCCGTATCGTTTGTCGGTTTCAGACCTGGGCAAATGCTATTCAAAATAATACACTTATTTGTAATAACAGTGTTTACATTGAGAAATAAGATGGCGTTGTTTTACACCAAGTAATTTTATATAAAAAAAAATGCCTAGGTCTGTGTCCCAGGATCCCTGTATCATCCTTACATGAGACGCAATATTAGGCGAAATTTTATTCGAACGAAACCAACGTATAGCGATTCATTCGAAAAATGAAACATTTCGTGAACCGCGAAACTCGAAATTTCAGTGTCATTTCATTTCATCTTCCACGATTCATCGTGCGACGCACGAGAACGTAACAAACTCCAATAACCTCCGCATACTTCTCAAATAATAATCAGTCGTAGAAATAGGCTGGTAACCAACTTTGTTTCTCTTTTTAAATTATTTGTCTCCCTTACGGCGGAGTCAAGGTTTCTTCTGGTTCCGTCGTGTTCGTCTTGAGTCGACGACGCGTTCTCATGAACACGGAATAGCAACACGCTTCTTTTATCTGGTGGTCGTATCTGTCGAGTAAACAAACGCAGCTCGATTTTCTTAAAACGAAGCGGCCCAGCGATCGCTCCGGAGACCGATCGATCCAGAGCGCTATCTGGTGAGACGCGATGGAAGCTGAGACCGGAAACGCGTCGTTCCACTCGACGACGAACGCGAGATCCACTGCTCGTCTTCCTCCGATCGAATCGGGGAATCGGTATTACGAATATCGCTATTTTTAGATAGTCATTTTGTCACTTTTAAAGAAACTGGAAACACTGTTAAATTTTACAAGGTTCGAAGAACAAACAGTAATATCAACGATATTAAAAGTAAAAGTGAAAATTCAGAATTACCCTGATGTCACTTGTCTGTGTAAGTTTCGTAAGCTTCTATTTTAGAGTATTTCTGTTTGTAGTACCGACGAAGACTTTTGAATTGATTTCGAACGTCGACGATTCGTGTATACGTTCAGAAGTGGGCGTGACAGGAACACGTCGTTCAAAAGCATTTGACGCGAGTTCTCGCAAAGTGCTGATCTCAAGGATGCACTCGTTCCGTGGCTAGCGTTATTAAGCGTGTAACTCGTGGCCTATCTGCTTCGAATTTCGGTGAAACTTTGTGAACGAAATCTTAAAGAATGGAGTATACTCTGAACCGTTTAAAATGAAGTCGATATCTTCGTTGCATTACATAGTATATAGTGACAAGTTGATACGTGGCAGATTGGTATCGTCCACCCATAATTCTCCAAGAATTTCAACGCTGCGTTCCGACTGAAACGCAGATGGTTCGGAAAGGAAGGTTACCGATGGTAATCTATGACCAATCGGTTAATGGAGTAGCAGGGAATTGCTCTTGGCGAGTAATCAAGATGATGAAAATTAAAATCGAGAGTTTGAGGCATACGTTCCGTGACCGTGGTACGATTGAATATCCGTTACATAAGCGACATAAGAATTTCAGTGGTTTTGAAATCGTGCAAAGGGAGGGTAAACAGATTTATTTATATTCCCAAGTATAAAGGATGTTTGAGTTGGCTTAAGACGCGTTTTGGGGGGGAGTTTACATTTCTAGAACTAAGAAAAAGCAAGGGGTAAACGAGGACAACCACTATGAAAGTGTAAATTGTTCATTAAGCTTGCCACCGTGCTTCAAAACACCACGTTACCACGTTGACTGCTAATTTTCCATATCCAAGTTCTCATTAGTTATAAAGAAACGCAATTTTAAAGGAAACCATTGGTCAGTCAACGTGTTAGACTATCTTGATTGATCTCGAACTATTCATTTACGGTTTGCAGAATGGTGGTGTACAAGAGGAGGCATTACTACGTCCCCGGGCCGTCTACGATGCCGAACAAGAGGAAAGTGATATCGCCGAACAGCAACCTCTACCGGAAGAGGATCGCGTACACCGAGCTCAGGGACATGAACAACGATTGACGACCGCTGGTCAGCTAAAGAACCGATTCGTAAACCGATTCTGAAGCGAAAAGAGCACGTGAACTTAGTTAGAGCAAGGAAGAAAATAGAAACGAGAATACCCGAGCGCCGCGAGAAAGTCGAGCGACGCCAGGACCTCGGCGAGGACCTCGATTTCTGGCATAGCTAAAAAAAACAGGTACGCAACGCGACAAGCGGGGAAGAGAATAGCTTTCGGTCCGTCTCGTCGAAGGCTAAAGAGCTCGTTTGCACGGTCTTGCGCGAGGTGCAAGCTCCGGATCTCACGTAGGTGGCGCCACTGAGCGCGGCAAACCCTCGAACGAGAAGAAAAGGACGCTCACCGATGTTGCGTTTCCGTTCCTTCGCGCGCAAAATGTCTGTTAGAAAGATTCTCGAACGACAATAGGGAGTAGCTGCTACTGGAATCCCAGACACCTCTGCACCCGCGATAGCTGTAATTCGAAATTCGAGAATCGCGTTCCTAGCACGATCGAGCGAAGCAATTCGAAACGGAACACAAGGCGCGAGCTGGCTGCTATTTCAGCATCGAACGTTTTAGCTTCTTTTTCTACTTGCGTCCAAAGGCACCACTGTTCCTGAATTTCCTTGCTTACACCCTCCTACCCACCCCCCATTGTACCACTTGCTCCTGGATCTTCGGCCTAACGAATTTTGGTTTCGCGATCGTTGTAAAAACTAATTCTTCGAATCGGAGAAATAATTAGAAAGGATTCGCGCGATGCGTAGTCGACGCGCTAAGTAAAAATAGAAAACAGACAATAAAGTAATTGGAAGTGACGAGCACCGATGGACGTTGGCACGGAACGAGTCTGCGCGCGTGCAGAAAACAGACCAGAATTAAACGAAACGTTGCGTTCCACGTAAATTGTTTATAGCGTAAGGGTTTCTGCGTGTGGACTGCGTAGGAGAGGGAGGCGTCGGGGCACCCTCGGAGCGTTTGTCGCCGTCTGAATAGAAAATCGAGCGAGAAAGGAACTCGCCCTCCCGCGATCAGTTTTGTACGAGACGTCGACGTGAAATATACCAATCGTAAACGTTCCGTGACTTAGCTTCTTTCAAAACCCAGCAATCCATCCAACCGTTCTATCCCCCGCGACTGCAATAGATAAGTTTAGATAATCGATAATCGAGTCACGATACTACAGATTAAATTAACGACATGTTGTATTTTTACTAATATCTTTGTAAGGGAATCCGTTTATCGTTCGTCCTTCATCCTTGTTTCGAACGGAATTAGGGATAGCCGACGATCGTCACTCTGTTTCTCTTTCTCTCCGCGTATTTCATTGTTTAACGTTTCGAAATCGCTTGTTCCCGATCGACGACCACCGAGGCTATTCTACTTAATTTCTATCGCCATGACAAAGCACGAGAAAGAATATAATCGTTTAGATTATCATTGGGTCGACCTTTCGTCGATCGTTGGCTTATCAGAACGTACGAACGAGCCATAAATGTCGTTCGAATTGCAACGAACGAAGATTCACTCGATGATTCGAGCAAACGAAGAACAAGTTGCGTGAGATTCTCGTTCGTCCGATTTGCCCAGCGTAAATTTCGAGTGTAGCTTCGTTCGTAGGTGACGACGCTATGTATAGAAGAAACGTGAGCTACTACGGGAGAGCTCCCGAAATCGCCCCCCGAGTTCCCTTTGTAAATAGTTTCACTTTTTACATTTGTTCTCTTCGAAGCTGACGCGCACAGTACGAACAGTACGTGTCGTTGTATTATTACGTTCCTTTATTCATTTCTCCCCCACTCCTAGTTCCTTACGTTGTCACAAACGTATCGATCAGGGCTGGGACTATTTGAATATTTTATAGGTATTCGAATACTACGGATAAACTGAATATCATTGTTCGAGTAACGAGAAATTTATATATTCGCGCTATTTAAATAACGAGGATACTGGTGTATTTAAATATTACGTATTATCAGATGATTCTGGTCACCTATACGGATGAACCGTTGTGTGAGTGAATTCGGTGGATCCTCGAGGGATCATCGATAAGCCAGTGGTTCTTAACCCTTTTTTCAAAAGACAGCCCTTTTCGACAGGGACTCGAAGCCATTTACAGATGTATTATAGCGAAATAGCTATCATTTTAAAACACTGATAGGGTACAGTAATATTTTTGTACGCAACAATAATTCCCAATACAAATTCGCACATTCTACGACCCACTTGGGGGGGGCCACAGGTTAAGAACCACTGCAATAAGCTGTATGTATATAAACTACTGTTGGACAAAATGAAGTTTTCTCGATCAAAGAGCCTCTTTACGTCCAACTTTGACAAACGTATAAGTGCAATTGTATATAAATGTGTACAAATACGACAGACCATTTATGTATAGTAGGACACAATATCGAGGGGTGTAAATACATTAGTCTTTCTCTAGAAAAAGAGAAATGTATAAAATATCGTGAGTGGAAATAAAGTTTAAAACAGAACGATGAAAGCGACGAATTTGATTTACAATTCACGCGACGTTATTTAAGTGAAATTATAGATCTCCAAGATGTTTGGTCAGCGCACAAAATATTCGAATACGAAAAAAAATTCGACGAGTCTCTAGCCCTAGTTTGGTAAAAAATAAAATAAAATGCGCAAAATCGATGGAAATGCCTCTTCGTTGCGTTTAATCATCGATCGTTAAGTTCAAAGGAATTGTATCGCGTTTTGCGGCAAACTCCGTGTTTCGAATGTTAGGCAAATCGATTGATAAATTTTCGTTGTGTATATATATAATTTTAATATGAAAAGCAAACATCCGGGATATTTACGCGTCGTAAATTAAATGCGTATATAGTATACGTGATTAACCGTGTATTTAAAAAATATTATGATACGCAGGCGTGTCATCCGAATGTTTTTAGAGAACTTACAAAGTAAATTTCTTTTCTATGTATATGTATCTGTAATTGTATATTTTAACGAAGAATGCTCGTTTGGTAAATAAAGGATAAAAGAAAATTGTGGTCAGGGGGATTGTGGCGTCCACGATAGACGGGTAGGTGGAAATGAATACAACGTTGTTCAGATGGATTATATTACTTGTATTTGTTTACAATACCATGTAACAACAAGGAAAAATACTGAATTAAACGGGGATACCTTATTTGGTGTATCACACACGGGCACGAGCTGATTAACGTTTTTCGCGATAGATCCTCTATTTATTGGCAATACGATTTAATACTTATCATTGGTAAGTCTGCACGATCGTTTTCGTCGTTCGACCAAACACCTCACGCCGAGCTGTCTCGTAACGCTGGATTTCGTGTTCTTGAAAACGAAACGACGCGGATATCCCCGAAAGATGATTTCTACGCGAATTAGAAAAACGAAAGATGGCGTCGATTACCACTCGCGTCGCTTAAAACGTTTGCACACGGTGGAACATGAAAATTGTTTTTTAACAGCGTATAGAAAATTGTAACTTTTCGTGAACATAGTAATTTTAGACCCTGGTAGACGTAGAGAGAATTGAGTCTTTCGGGATCAGTCGATGTTGTAACGCTTTTGAGTTTTGAAATTCAATCGGAAATCGAACTGTTCATTGAAAGATCCAGCGTGCCTGTACAGTATTGAAGCGTTTTCGGTTCGTTTTGTGCTCAAGCAAATAATTCATAGTGGCAGTATTTGGTAACCGCTTTCAAATACGAATTTCACGCCGCCCTTCGGTTCTTTCGAAGTACAAGGTCTAGAAAAATATATAGATGTATATGCGAAGTGTAATTTCTTTTTTTTTTGAACGCCGCTCGAATTGTCATTTGTTTCTCTCAGTCGTAAATTCTGATCACGATCGTCGCCGAGCAGTGAAACGTTCCCCAGGCTCGAAAGATTTGTGCTTCCCCGTTCAATGTTCGACACGCGACACGTATTCACCTATATGCACGGGGCAAAAATATCACAAATTAATTCGAAAGTCACAGAAATAATATCCGTTACAGAACAAAAAAAAAAAAAAAAAAAAGTCTTACGATACAGCGATTGTCGCTCTATCGGTCGCTTAACGATTAAGTGTAACTCCGTTACGTCAACTAGTCGGTACATACACTGAAAAAACCTTGTATCTTCTTCTATATCTAGGAGTTCGCGGGGACAGTACGAAAACACGACGAGACACGAGAATTTACCATCGAAACGTGCGATCGTTCCTCTCAATTTTTTTTTTTCTTTTTGTTGGAACGAAATCGCAAATGAAAACGAACTTATCGGATACGGTACGTCTTCGCTTCTTGCACGAATCTGCTAACACGTTCGTTACTACCATTCAGTCGGGAAAACCGTCCACCACAGCGTGTATGCTTTTAATTATGTATTTCGAATACGGTGGTAACGAACTTGTTAAAAATCAACCAGTCTCTACATGAAATCTGCCGGTTCCGGTTTGATCGCAAGAAGGGAAGAGATACCACGCAAACGCCTCGATGTATCAATTCTCGATCGAGCGGTGAAACGCCCGCGAAATGACCAAGGATATTAATACGCTATATCTCGCAAAACACGAGCGTTATATACTTAAAAGTTTAGTAAATATAATACTAAAAAAGGGGAAAGTCGTTGATAGAAGCGGATAATATAGTTAGGCGCGTATTTTAAATTAGGCAGGCATCGATACGCCTATCGGTAAAAATGAGCAATCGTCGTCGACGAATTAAAATTACCACGGAGCACTCGTCTATGATGGCGTTAATAAACCGGTCTACGAATAAAGAATAAAGGGGGGGAAGACAAATCGCGAAGTGTCTATTACCAGCACTTTGGTGCAAAACAAATGTACATATGTATATATACACACGTGTATGTATGTGTACGTGTTCGATGAATATGTATAATAACGTGTAACGCGGAGGGCATACGTGTGCCTACGTGTTTCTCTTTTTTTTTTTTCGTTCCTCCTTCTCCTCGCTTCTTTCAGACATCGTCGTTATAAATATAACCGTCTAATAGTTTACGTAATCCTAAAATAAATATCTATCACAAAAGACTGGTCTATATAATAATAAGTGGCTCTTGCGTCTTACGGTATATCCCGATGTCATCGTACACCAAGTAAAAATCACGACGTAATCGCCTTAATCCTAAATATTTACAAATCATACGTAATTTAGTACTTTCGTGTTCGCGCTGCTCGTCGCGGCGCTGCGGTCTCGCGACACTTCGCCCCGATAATAAATACGACAAATGAGACGCGTGCTTGTCTTCGCTATCACTTGTACTTACCGATAGTCGTGCGGGTACGCGATAGAATGAATTATAAGTATGGTAATAAATACTTTGCTGCACAATGACCGTGAAATCGTTCGGTTAGTCGATTACGTAATCGTCCGAACATAACGACGGGATCGTCGGTTGTGCCTGTTTGACATACTGCGATCAGTAGCGGCGATCATACTTTGAACCCTTCCGTGTCGTAGGAAAGTAATTCGTAAACACTGGTTGTGAGAAACGCGACGGATTATACAGCTTGCTCTCGAGATCTCTTTTAAACTGCACAGTCGTCGTTCACGCGAACATGCCGTTCATGGTTCGTGTATCGTAACAGGGGAGCACCGACGTTCATAGCCCCGGTAGTTTCTTCTTCGTTGGTCACGGAACACGTAACGATCTCCTCTGATAGAAAAATAACAGAGGAATTATATACGTTTGCATCGAAGCAAGACAGAATGTAAAATTCTTACGTACCAGGTAAACATAATTGTAACTGATCGTTACTAGGATTGGTACTGTCGCCTGTACCACTGTCTTTGCTGTGCTGCGAACTCGTTTCCAAGTATAAATGTGTCTGCGTGTCCGGCAGTGCGGTCACAACGGCCGTCGATGGTTGTGCGTTTCCATTTTGCACCACCACGTTCAAACGTCTTCTGGTTTTATAGATTATAACCACCCACACTATGGACGTACCAACGGCGCAACATACTACGGTGATTATTATTAAACCCAGTATGTCGTCTTCGCTCACCGCGGCAGGACTAGAAGTAGGAGCTGCAAAGCAAATTTTCGTAAATTTAGTCGATGCATTATTAATTCAAACTAGCATTAATCAGAGTCGCAAATAAATTGCACAGAGTATTCGGCCACACTTGGGAAAAATATTAATTTTTCGACAAAATTGAAACATTTCAAATCGTTCTAGAAAAATTATTTTTGGTTGCAAGGGTCAATTACAATCATTTTTGGTGGACAGACATACCCCCGAAATCCTAACCACTTTCGAGAAAAAAATTCGAGTAGGTGTGAAATTTTTCGACAAAATTAAAAAATTTCAAATCAATTTGGAAAAATTATTTTTAGTTGCAGGGGTCTATTACAATCATTTTTGGTGAATACACATACCCCCGAAATCCTAACCACTTTCGAGAAAAAAATTCGAGTATGTGTGAAATTTTTCGACAAAATTAAAAAATTTCAAATCGTTTTGAAAAAATTATTCTTGGTTGCGTGGGTCAATTACAATAATTTTTGGTGAACAGACATAACCCCGAAATCCTAACCACTTCCGAGAAAAAAATTCGAGTAGGTGTGAAATTTTTCGACAAAATTAAAAAATTTCAAATCGTTTTGAAAAAATTATTCTTGGTTGCGGGGGTCAATTTCAATCATTTTTGGTGAATAGACATACCCCCGAAATCCTAACCACTTCCGAGAAAAAAATTCGAGTAGGTGTGAATTTTTTCGACAAAATTAAAAATTTTCAAATCGTTCTGGAAAAATTATTTTTGGTTGCGGGGATCTATTACAATCATTTTTGGTAAACAGACATACCCCCGAAATCCTAACCACTTTCGAGAAAAAAATTCTTTACCGAAAATATACTAGGTGGCTAAAAATGTTTCCCCGGAATTTCACCGGATTTTTAAAAAATCATAACTTCTGGACGGATCAAAGGATTTAAAGAATCAAAATTCAAACAAGCGTATTAATGGAGCTCTAGAGCCCCAGAAAAATGGATCAGGAATGGCCAAACACCCTGTATATTGACCAGAGGATACCCAAATTTCATCCGATTTAGCATCGACTCTATTATAACTCGCAAAACACTCCTATTACCTGGTTTCACCGTGAGATGAGACGCACCAACGACGCTGCCCAAAGAATTGCTCATTTCGCATTCGTAATTTCCCGCGTCGCTAATTATGGTGTTGACGATGATCAGTAATTGGTCCTCGGCAGTAAAGAAATGGCGCTCGGTGGCCTGCAGAGGATTTCCGTTTTTGCGCCAGGATAACTTCGGTCTGGGCATACCGCTAGCCATGCACTCCAACACGATCGAACCGCCGACCATGATTTCTTTATTCTCCATCGGTTTCACGAACGACGGTGTTTCTTTGCGTGGAAGAAAAAAAAAGACAGGTTACACGCGAAGGTTGTAAGTATCGTAACGCCAAAACTGATAAAAGTTTACGGATATTCACCTAATATGGTGAGCGTGGCGTTCGCGACAATAAGGCCGGCCAGATTTTGCGCGGTGCAAGAATAAACGCCGCTATCGGCAGTTTTTACATCCACGATGAATAATACATCGTCGGTCGGCATCATGTGCATTCTTCTCTCTCTCGCCGCTGGGAAGTCGTTACCTCCGTCTTTCTGCCACGCTATTTGCGGCGACGGTTGCCCTTCTGCGGAGCATTCGAGGCGAGCAGTGCTCCCAGCGGTTACGCGTATGTCGTGCGGAATTTTCGAGAACGACGGATAAACTGCAAAAGAAAGATATTAACATCACCGCGGCTCGTTTCCCTTTCACGCGTCGTTGGGGAGAAACGACGACGACCAACGAAGAGTCGTTAACTCCCACAAAAGAGGACACATTAAGCCCTAATCCTACGACTCTGGCTCGCATACCAAGTTTTAATAACTGTTAAGGCCTTTAACTAAATTTATTAACGGTACGTAAAATGTCGCCGGTACATGAATTTATTACAAACTTCATGCATGTTCGTAACTTTGTATGTAGCGTTAAGTCGCACGAACTAAGTCAACTTCTACGGTCGACGTGTCGCTCAAACTGGAGAAACATAAACAGCAGTGGGGATGATTCATTTTCTCTGATCGGGTGCTAAAGGTCTGAACCATGAATTATTGTAAATCAACTTTTTTAGCTCGCGTTGTCGCGTGATTAACGTGACGCAGGACTTGCTAAAGTAAGCTGCAAGTTCAGAAGTTTTTTAACCACAATTTAATAATCAACAGTTTGCAATTCATTGATTCCGTTCGCCTGTCCGTGATAAGTACAGTCGTGTGACGAGTTCAATGAGTACTCACTTAAAATGCTTATCTTCGCCTTCGTGGAATACGTTGTTCCGTATGTGTTCGTGACCATACATTGATACTTTCCAGCGTTTGCGTGCGTGACGTTCGTGAGGTGTAAAACCGACGATGCCTCCGTTACGCCGCTGCTTTCCATAGAGTCTGTATTTATTTGCAAATTGCCACTTTCTATTTCAACGTTATCGTGCTTCCACGTAAAATGTAACGGCGCGTTGGCGGTGCTCGTTGCGCGACAAGTCAATGTCACTTTGTCCCCTTTAATGCCCATCTGACTCTTGGGTTCCTCGATGATTCTTGGTTTTGGATATTCGTCTATGCCAATATAAGATATTTTTTTAAATTTAAACGAATAAAAGTAGTTTTAGAGTTCACGGTTTAAAATGTCGTACTAACCACACGTAAAATTTTTGTGATGCAGTTGCGTCAACGACATACCCTGCAACCATTGCGGATATCCACAGTATACTTCCGCGTCGCTGTATCTGTGCTCTCGTAACCACATACTTAACCACTGTAATCCACAGTCGCAAACCAGGGCTCCTGTGATTAAAAATGGTAAGCGTTAAATTATTATCGAAGATTTCTTATTTTCATCTCTTCTGATACGTACTCGAGTTCATTCTGAGTTTAACCAGACTGGTCATCGAAACAAACGCATTTTCCTGAATGCTTGTTACATCGTTACCAGTCAGATCTAGTTCGGTTACCCTGCTCAATCCGGTAAATGCTTTCTTATTCACCGATTTTATTCTATTGTGCGCTAGTCCCAATTTCCATAAATGTCCCAGTAGACTGAAAGCGCCATTGGGATCTTCCACCATGTACGAAATTTTATTAAAGTCGAGTTCCCTTGAACAAAAACGATTGTAAGAAACTAACTCATTCTCACGAGTTTTTATATATACGTACAGTATTTGTAAATTAGGCGTTGAACTGAACGCGCCATTTGAAATGTATGCTATTTGGTTGTGATCCATTTTGAGTTTTTCTAACTTTTCTAAAAATTCGAAAGTACCCCGTTCTATGGAAGTTATTCCGTTGTGCGATAGATCCCTGTAAATGAATTAAAAATTATACTCGAACGCTATATTTGGTTAACCCATTCGAGACCGACATATTACAAGACGCGATAGGTGCCAACATTTTTTGCAGGTCTGTTTTAACCCAGATGCTATGTCGTCGCAATGAGATAGATGTTACATGATCCACACGTCGAATTATCGATCTCGAATGCGTTAACATTATAAAACTGATCACCGTTATTATTATTAGTAATAATAATACTAACAATTCTACGATTTCTTTGCACAACTCCCATGCTTGCGTCTCGATCGTTTTTATTCGATTGTGCGACAACGTTAATTTCTGTAAACCGTCTAATCCAAACAGACCTCCCTTCCTCACTTTACTAAGTAAATTATAGTCAAGTTGCAGGATTGTTAAATTTTTTAGCGGCCAGAACGCGCCATCGTCCAACAACTCGATTTTGTTTCTCTTTAAGCGTAATTCTTTAAGATTTTTTAAACCCTTAAGACTAAGTCCTTGGATCATCTGCAACTCGTTTTTATTTATTTCCCTATAAAATAAACATTAATTTTTTTATTTGTACATTTGCGGAAAAAAGGGTGAACATTATGATACAAATAAATCCTCACAGTATTCGTAATTTTGTTAAATTTGTGAAGAGATCTTTCAATTGAGTCAGCTGATTTTTATTTAAACGTAATTCTTCTAACGATGTTAAATTATCCAAACTCCCGTTTTCTATTACTTTTATTTGATTCATATTTAAGTTCCTGCAAAAAATATTTACGGTCGTACAAATTGTTTGGAAAGATCATATATATATATACAATGTATAAAAATGATCTACATACAAATGTGTAAGACAATTAGGAACAAGAAAGGATCCATGTTTTATCGTGCTTATTTTATTCCCACTGATGTCCAAACTTTGAAGCTGCTGTAAGCTCAACAATGCACTTCCATTTATATCACTGATCAAGTTATGAGCTCTGCAAATAAATAAATATTGTTTACATGGAAAGAAAATTGATTTCCCTTTTACGGTATGGAGCAACAAAGCGGTATACTTACAATGCAAGATGAGTCAAATTTCTCACAAAGGACAAATCTGGCACCTGAGTCAATTGGTTCTTATTTACTTTAAGTCCTTGTAAATAGGTATGTTCTGATAGCATGATTGTAAAGTTATCTCCAAATTTATTGGAGCTAAGGTCCCTACAAGTATCATTGCTTTTATTTGTTTCCATAATACAAAATTACACAGCAGTGTTATACTTTTTTATATAAACTGCCATTAAATATAGAAGTGCTGCAAAAGATACTTACAATTCTTTGAGCTTAGTTAAATGTAACAGTGCATCAAATTCCAAACTAGCTATATTATTCTCTTTTAGTTCTCTGTAAAGTGAAAACAACATTGTTAACATTGACTTACTTGTTTTAATATTTGCATTTATTTTTTTATTATTACTAAAAGATATTTCTATTTTATATAACATATTTTTATCTATTCCTCTTTCTCACAGGAAAATTGCAGAATGTAATTCTATTGAACTTCAGTGCCTAGAAACACAGGCATGCAGCAGATACAAGTTGCACTAAAACCTTAAAGGTAAGGTTTTCTTCATCCAGATCTTGTTCTCCTTGACTCTAGGCTTTATAAAGTGACAATAGTCTGCTCCCATGCATATTGCCTTATATGGTCAAGAATTCCTGCTAATGTATATGTAACTAGGAGACTATCATTCTCATTTCACCATTTACAGAATGGAAAACAAATTTTTTACATATGCCATGTTACTTCAGTCACATTAATTTCATACACGCTTAAAACAAAATTTAAAAAAATATATCACACAAAAGAAAATAAGTGCATGCATGCTGATACCACCTTCCATGCAGAAGATTCACTCTCATGGAATGCAAATTATTAGTCTGGCATTAATTGACTCGTTAATTAAATATCTGTTAATATATTATAACAATGAATTATACACTGACCAATCGTTTTTCTTTCAATTGTTTACTGAACAGTTCGCTGGTAAAACATTCCGAATAAAATTTAAATCGAAGTAGTAATTGTTTATAAGTTACCAAACAAAATTGCTACATAATTTCTAAACAACGTAGAAGCGCGCGGAGGAATCGGTGAAAAATAACGTTCGTTTCCTGCTCGATAAAACGAATAATGTTATCGCGTTTAATAACACAATGTTTCTGTTACAAATTCCTGTACACTATCTTATCTGCGTTAGATCGTGTTACAATAAATATGCGTAGCTCGATGATTCGTCGCGCGTATGCAAAGGCGTCGTACGATAGTGCAGAAACGAGGGAAAAAGAAGGGAAAAAAAGCAATAATCGTGTAAGTTTAACGTAACGATCGGTACGAAGCGAACGAGTGGGAAAAAAAACAAACACCGCGTGAGAATTAAACGCATCGAAGGGTTTTATGTCGGATAATCCGCGCAAGACGGCGTGGCACCGTCCCCTCGATGCTCGTTCTTGATAATAGGATAACGAGCGATTATTTACTCACAAGATCTCTGTCCATGGTGGTAGACCGCTGGGTGCTCCGATCAATTGTAAGCTACTGCAGTCGACCACATTCCCAAGGCACGCACACTCGACGGGACACTGATTATCCTTCGTACCATACGATATCGAGTCGGCACTTGTAGGGTTCGATGGGATCGCGCATAACATCGATAATAAAACGGCCGTCCATTTGCGCTTCCACTCGAAACGACGTACGGGAAATACTCGTCCCGAGCTCGACATCGTACGCGCCGTCGTATCGTCACCGTTTTTCAAAACTTATTTCGTAATTGTACGTTGAGCATCGTCGACGGTTTTCCCCATAGCGATTCCGTAGGACGAGCACACCGCGCCTCGCGAAATCATCACCATAATAACGAAAATGCCCACACCTCTTATCGGCTGAAAACAAACTCGTTGTCTCTCAAAAACGCTCCGGCCCACACACCATGATGACGCCTACGGACCGATGCGAGACTCCCTGACTGATGATTGCGCGAGACCATTCTCTCTCTCTCCCTATTTACACAACATTCCAACCTTCGTGTTACTAGAAATCAACCTCTGCCCTAGTGACATTTTATTCCTCGTCGAGTCAGGGCCGGTTGAACAGCTCACGGCACCCTGGGCAACGTCGTACATGATTGGACTTACCAATCACGTTCGTTCGTAATAACTTCTTTCGTCAGAGATCTGGTCCTAAAATAATCGCTACTTCGTTTCATCGTTGCGTTAGGATGTCGTTCTAAACTTAGTAGATATCCAATGAGTTGCGTTGGAGTTAATAGAGTCTTTTTGTTAAAATGAGGCAGCAAGTTATACTAATTCGTTTGACGGGTTATATGTTATGCATCCTTGCTACAGTACGTTCCATAAGTTGCATGTAAATAGAACTCATCGCGAGACCAAAGTTTCATTGGTTCCCTGGCCCAGGAATGTATCGTTGATATAAATTCCAAAATAATCGTAATAATATTATATTTACGAATTGAGCTCATCTAGGAGCAATTAAAAATTACGCAACCTCGTGTAATACACTTTCAAGTTCAGCAGTATGAGAAATTTGTTCTTGAGCACAATATTACTAATATATTATTATTTTATTCTGTTAACAAAATGCATATAGAATTGTAAATTGGTGTTGTACACAAAAATAGTAACTTGCATAAATTTTATAGTATTTGTATTTTCTCGGGAAATAGCCTCTCGCCAATACGACCCTGTCAAGGTCACGTGCATTTGTTTGAATCCACTTCATTGTCTTGCGTAATGTACTACAACAATAAGATTGTTATTGTTTAAGATTAAGATAATTTATTGATATCTATGGGTTTACAACCCTTTATGTACATATAGAGAATAATCGTATTACAAAATATTTAATTACGATGGAATATGAATACACGCCACATGTTTAATAGTATAGTTCACGCAGTTCGCAACGCTTTATTCGTATCATTTATAAGTTAAATGAGAGTTAAAAGTCAGCACTATGACTGTTGCATACGTATTAGCCAAAACGATGATTCGATTTGTCGGGCCCCTAGATCGATATTGGTTTCATGCCGTGAAAAAGAAATATTCCTAATCAATCTATATGATATAACAAATCCATTGATAATTTTAAATAAAATGTAAGGCCACAATTCTAATTGGCCTAATCTGCTAGCCTCATTATCCTCAGAAACTCATGTTGCACTATCTCCAAGAGCACAATATATTTCAATGTATTTATAACAATAGATTCAAACGTTTAAACAAAACTATATTTTTAATTACATTGTTATAAAAAAAATAATAAAATTCAATAGAAGTTTGCAATCTTACCCATATCCAAAATTTTTAACAAAAACCGTTCATTTGTCAATGTTGCAAAATCCCAAATATCTCGATAATATATATTCCACATTAATTTACGAAAGAAAAGACACTGGTAATTTTCATAGAAAATTACATAACAATTACTCATAGTAATAAAAAAGCTACAAACATAAATAATTTATGTGCTTACTGATAGTTTTACATTGAATAATTCTATATTGATATTAATCGTTATTTCATTTTTTCACGAATGTTAATTGCAGGATGCTGTAAATATTAAATACAAGAAGGTAATAGAAATTAATAAGAGTTGTAACAATAAATTCGATTTTATGTATTGAAAGTGGATGCCCCTCGACCCTCAAACATTTAATACTTGATTCAATGCCCACTTGAGAAATGATAGTATAATTATGTTTGAAAAATTAGTACAAAAAAATTTATTAACATACAGTTCAGTACCAAGTAAAATTCACTTATGGAAGGGAAAAAGGTATTGTGTGGTAAACTCAACGGTTCTTACTAAATATTTATATTTTAATTAAATCGCTATTTCTATATTTGCATTTTGTCAATAAATCACTATGTCACAGCATCATTTTCCTCTTTAAACAAATCAGCAACATTATATGTGAAGCTTTTATAAATCATTAAAATATTCTTACCCCCATAGGAAATGTTTAAATGAATATTATCATATACATATGTATTATACATATGATGTATGTATATATATATATAGTAAAAATTTCGGTCGGTATACAAATATATGCACATATACCAATTTCGTACAACGAACATATACGTATATTATATTCATCGTATGAAAATGATCGAAATTTTTTTTAGATCTTCAGTGATGTGGTATGCCAGAAAACAATGATGATAATGGTCACAGGCTGATTGTTTTTTATCACCACAAAAATTTCACTTCCGAGCTCTAACTTCATATCTAAGTTAAATAGATCCTCTATTATGCAAGTTTCAAATTCGTGTTCAGATTACATCGAGTTCTGTATCGATTTTAAATCAAGACGAGCCATTCCATTCTCTCGTGCTTCTCAAATTGAATTTGCATTAAAATTCAATATTGTCGGATTTAACCATACGAAAGCTCAAAATACGTTTTCCTCGCGAGTACTTCTATACAAGTAAAGTTATTTTTCCCACGTTTGTTTCTTCCGCGATAAATAAAAATCAATAACAGTAATCCGTTGTAAAGCATTAAAATAATGTTTGCTTGACCAATCCGTTAAATGCGTTGCCGTTGCTTTTGTTTAAAGCATTAACAACGCGACACGCGTATACTAGTTTTACTTCGCATACACGCGCGTATCGCTGAACGGAACTTAATGCACATAAACATTTCAATGATATGAATACAGTTTAACAATGTGTATACATATAAAGGATGTTCCGTTATTCGTAGTACAAATTATACTCCAAATATCGAAACACCCTGCATAAAAAGAATATACAGACAATATCTGGTAAATAGTAACGTAAAAATACAATTACAAACAGCCCATTTTTTTTTTCTCCACGCGGAATAGCTTTGAACGTAAATAGCAAAACTCTGAATGCCAATTTTTTTTTTTGGTTCGTATAGTTTTTAAACCACATCATATCCAATTCTCGAGGAAAAGATCACCTACGCATTTCACGATATCGTTATATTGAAATAAGAGTTATTATATTTAAAAATAATGAGATTAACTTTGTATGTCGAAAGATATAATCCAAAAATATGTTTTTTTTTTTTTTAGCTATCTGGAAATATGAAACGATTGCAATTATAGTTCAAAATATATGTACGTAGCGTGATATTTTGTAGTACGTCATATTGCTCACAATATTCACAATGTGTATGCATAGTTGTCTAATGCTACTTGACCAAATAACAAAAGTCAAGTAGATACTAATTTATTTAACTTAAAATAGCTTCAGCAACACGCTGTTTACATCTTGCAATTGCTCCGTTTGTTTGAGCGTAAAATAGAACATCTTTCAGCTGTATGGAAAAAAAAAAAAAAAATACTTCAGATCTTGCAGTAAACTAACCGACTATAGCGATTGCTTTTCTGACCGTAAATACACCATACTGTGTTTGCAATGATCCGTATGGAGAACATTACCCTGTAAGAGGGAATGACCTATGTAGGAAACATTTACAACTCTTTATAATACAAGTATTATTATTAATCAGCACGTGCGCGAATACGTCGAATACAATGGCAAATATAATTGGCCATTAACAAGAGAAGGCCCCTTTACTAGTTGGAAGCCATTATACGCGATAGTAAAATTAACGGTTCTTTCCAGTTGCTCTGTTTACCGTGATAGTATAGTTTGATTACCGATTAGCTATACCAAGTTGCATCTTTGCGACGTTAAGTGGTTGGATGGTAAGAGCTAATCAATGCTGCATCTACTGGTTCCATACACGACGGGCATGTCAGCGAACGTAGCAACCAATCATCGATACAAAGCGCATGGTAAGTATGCATACAGGGTAAATAACGGACTTCTTCTCCGATCACCAGCTCCATCATACATATCACACACTCTCCCTTTTTAGTTCCATCGTATTCACGCATAGGCAAATGTTGGATAAGTCCTATACGTTTTGCGACTAGTACTTGCTGCTCTTCTTCGCTCAATGTACCAGGTCCGCTGGTTGGTCCCAGTGTTACACCAATACCAATGCCATGGTGCATCCTTGGAACATTTGATGGATAAGAAAAACGGACCACCTCCTATAGAATCAGAGGAAAATATTAATTACAAATGGCAGTGATAGATTTTAAATTGTCAATGTTATAAATTTCTTTGTTACAAAGTACAAAACATATGTAAATTAGATTTAAACTTTTTTTTTTTTTATTTAAAGTTTACGCATAAACAAAACGACTGGATAGCAACGAAATTAAATTGTTAAAGCGAATGTACATAAATTTTTATATAGTTTGTATATCGGTACTCGCGACGCTGTAAAAATAAAAAGAGAAATCGAGGACATCCAAGAGAAAATACAGAGTCAAGGGTCGACATGTTTCGCAGATTCGACACGGATAAAGCAACGGAGAACAGAACTTGCGATCGGTCGACGATAAAAGCAGAAATGTAATTACATTGGTGAGTATTGGAGGTCCAAGGCCTTCTTGCGAGGAACCGATAGCCAACGTAGGATCGGGATTGTTACTCAACAAAGTGGTGTTATCTTGTTGACTGCCTCCAGCACGCTTTAAACAATTTCCCATTTTGATGAAACGTTGGTTACGATCTCGCGTTTCTCAAGCAATACACCTCGATTCGTTAATCCCAGCGTCGATTAGAGAATCGCAACAATTCCGACGTGGGACGTTGGAAGTTCTGTCCCCATCGTAAACCGCTTGTTTTTTCCGTTAATTTTCGTCGGGGGATCGGTCTTGTTCGAACCGAACGGATGACAGTTCGCCGTCTCGCGTCAAAATACGGTGGCGCAAGCCATTACTAGCAAAACATCTTCCGTCACGTATCCGTACTACAGCTGAGCGCCTTACGCATCCAACGAGACGCGAGCGAAAAAAAAAAAAAAAAACGCAGGCTAGTTACTCACAGGTTGTGCGGAAAAAACACTTTTCGCATCTCTCGCGCTACGTTCTTCAAACGTTTAGTACACACCGCTGCTTGCATCCTGCTGCGTAGAATATACTTTGCCGTGATTCGTCGTCGCAACAGTATCGCATTTCCCAGCGTCCAATCAGCGAGGAACGTCTTCGCGCGATACAAAGAGTTTGCAACAGCATTACTCATACGGCCCGTCCGAAAGACACTCGGCAACTAACCTACGATTGGTTCGTCGGGACACCCACATGTCGTAAAACAGCGCTTTACGGCTGTGCTTTAATTTAAACGCTAGAATGGAACAGATCTTACGTTTCTCGATCGAAGCAGCGATCACGGATCTTTAATTTGGATCGAAACACGTTTGAAGAACAGGTACAAAAGTATTGCGAAAGCAGAACAGTGAACACGGTACAGTGCCAAACATAAAGAATGTGCAAAAAGTTGTTGCAAGCTTTTCATTCTTTGGCACAGTATAAATTCATTGTCTTACGTTAAAATATAATTTGGCGTATTCAGTAACGATAATATAGGTATGTCTTTTGATAAGTTTTAAGCTGAATACGTACAAGCATTCACACCCGTATACTTTGATAGTGTAAAAGCTCGAAATGTACTATCAACTTTTATGTTACTGGTAACGAACAAAGAGTTGTTTATCTTTTATTCGTTATTCAACATTCTTATCTGGGTAAAATTTTGCCCATCTCTGGTTGGTAGTATGTGTATTAAAAGCAAATCAAGGTTTAATAATGTATGTTACTAAATTATTTTTAACCGTGCAATGAACTCGTGGATTCTCAAACCATTGCACCAGGTTATGTTCAGTATTGGCATAAGAGTTACTAGCGCCTTGATAATGGCGCTAAAATAACTGGAATAAATAAATAGATAGATAGACAGAAATTAGTCTAATTTATCCTTGATTTCTCGGCGAATATGCTAATCACGATGTTTAGGCGAAAGAGTATACTTTGGTATGCTAAAAAATTGTTGTTTACATCCGTCGTTGTAAACATAGAATTGCGACCTTTGTTCGTTGTTCCGTAGATATTTTTGTTGATCTTGAATATTGCGATCTCGTACGATAATTCGTCTACTATTAAAGGGGGTTTTATTGACCCGATAATTGTTCCGGTCTGAAACTCGCGACCTTCGAACGTTAATCGGATGTCTCTTTAATCTTTGCTAAATTTTTTATTGCTTCAAAACGTATATATAATTACACAGTGACGCACTGATCTATACACGAATAAAAAACGGCCTACCGAATCGAATGTTGGTCATGCAGTAAATGCAAATTTAACAGATTTAAGTCCTAGAGAAATACAAGATCCTATTGTTTATCAAAGGAGGTCAAAAGTAAATAATTTTAGCGATCTTCTTTGCTAATATACACAAGGTGGGTCAAGTTGAATATTATAAATTATTTTTTCGCAAAATCACCGAGGATTAATTCTTTTCAGCAGCAGGGCTAATTCGATCGAAACGTAAACAAAATTTGAAATGGTCGAAGCGTTATTAGGAGGCAAGTATCGAAAGCGCAATTTTGTCGAGCTGTTTCACTGTATTGCAATTCGATGATCTGACATCGTCGAGCGGCCCGTTATCGCGGCGCAGACTTGAAATCGTTGAAAAACGACGTTTCGTATGCGTCGGCCTAATAATAAAGCCGATACGTATTCCTCGAACGTTACCGTAAGGATCATAGACGGCCGGGAATGGTCGTTTCTCGCGTATTATCTTATCGCCTGGCGATCCCTGACCCCTTACAAATACGAAAAACAAGAAGACCTTTGGCACCGAACTCTCCCCCTCTGGGAGGGGTACTCCAGTTGATTCGGTGTCGTTAGCCATTCGTTTGGCGAGCACGGTCAGGGCAGGAAGCACTTACTTAACGGATACACCGCGTACGCTGGCTGCTTCCCATCGAGCGTGCCGTTGCCCGTTTTGCACCCCAATTGCGCTCAGTTCGATCTTTCCGCTCAATCAGCGTCCTACACGGTGGTACCGCGACGGACCGTGCGAATAATTTTCTGTGTACGTTATCGAAACGGTACGATCGAATCGGCGGTTATCGCGTCCCGACGCGTGTCTTGTGCCTCTTCGTGGTCGTTTTTCGCGTGATTTTTTTATCGTTTTCGTGAAACTCGACCAGCCGCCCACGTTTCCGCCGCGTCGACGAATGGTGTCAACGATAAAATTTCAAACTTGTCACGTCCGAGCATTTATTTTATTGCAACGGGTTTGGACTTACACGGGAGTCCTTTTCAACGTGCTGTTCTAAACTAACGTGGAATAATTTCTTTTTTAATATTAGTTGGTCCTAGTAAGAGACACGAAACATTTTACATTTTTCCCTGTCGTTAACTGTTTTTCAATACGGTTAAATATTGTTTAAGAAATGTAAACGGGGATCTCTGTTCTTTCGAATTACAGCGTCGAACGCGATTGATTCTCGTGCGATCGAAGCGTGGATCGAACCGATCGCTCGCAGAATGGAGTAGAAGCGTTTCCCCGTGAACGAGGGGATGAAGAACGCGTTGAGAAAGGAGTGACGACCTTGACCTCGCTGATTACCGGAAGAAGCAATATGATTCGGAATCAACGATCGTGGAACCATGTGACGATCTTTCTCATCGTGATCTGCATAGCGATCGACACTGTGCAACCAGGTAAACTTCTCCCCACGCCGGTTATTCAAACTTAATATTACAGGTCTATCTATTTTTCAATTTTTTAGAAACATACCCCACCTCGAAGTCTCAAAGAATTTTATACCATAGAAGAAACGCTTTTAAAAATAATCAAAATTACGCCCCAATTTGGGAAACACTGGTCTATACCTGAGAACACCGTAGCACGTGGAACAGATATAGTGATTTCCATGAACCCCCAAACCCTCCCCCTTTTGGGTACACATCATTGTGGGGTTTCCCAATTCTCCAGCTGTTTGTTAGTTACGGACAGGATTTCCTTTCTTTCCTTAAAAGTTTATGGACATATTGTACCAATGTTGTATCTACGGTTTCCTTAGGTATATACCAGAGACGGTAAACCCTTTATAATAGAAGTATTATAAGAACCAGATAGAAAGGAACAAAATAAAAATACATTTTATGCAACAAAAAATAGGTTACGAGAATTCTACAACTTCTATTAAATTATTTTTTTTATATTTTTAAAATAATTATGATGTATCTTGTTGCGTCAAGGATGACAACTCTTTCATACATCGATGTCATAAAGTTCTTCCGATCTATTAGGTCATCCCGTAAATCCGAGTATTTAACTCTTCGATTTTCTGGTCTAACGTAAACATACATAAAAATAGACTTATCAGATCAAATCCGTTCATCATAAAAAATACTGACCGATTTATATGAAATATGATCGCTCTGTTGATGATTAATATTGTTTGTTTATCTGTTACTAGAATTATGTATCTGTACATATTTTCTCGGAATGAAATTTGTTTAAACGAAAATACGTAAGTTCTTATGAAACGACGATAATTTAGATTAAAAAAATCTGCAGAGTTTCATAAATATCGGAAGTTTCGGGTTGCTGAGTTCCCTTGGTCAGCGTGTCGGCTTTTACATTTTTAAAGCGAATTTTATGTATTTAGAATTCGGCCTCTCCGACTATATTATTTTATCAAAGCTCGACGATCGAACTTTCTTCGTCGGCCGGTTATCTGCGACGCGTGTTATTCGATACTCCATTCCGAGAAGCTGCATTCAGTGCACAGCTATCGGTCGCGTTATCGGCAAAGCGTAACTTCCATTCACAACGTGTTGTTCGGCGAGCTCGTTTCTAAGAACGGCAATTTTCGACGGACGAAATGTTTCTAATCTCATTGATAATTCTGTTTCAGAGATCGTCAAGGACCCGGCGCAATGCAGCCGTACGAAATGCAAAGGTAAACCGCAATAACAAGTATACTATAACAGAACCTTTGCTAGGTCAATGTTCATAGTATTTTACATTTTAAAAATTCGAATACTCTTCGTCAAGCCTAGTAGATATCTAAATACATTTGTCACCGCATTTGCAGTGCCAGCGAGCCGGAAATTCAAGTACGCGGAGGACGTCTCGTACTGGTACAGATACTCCGTGGACGTCAGCACGAATTTAGGTGGTTCGTCGAGTCAACCGCGAAACGAATCGACCCTTCGCCTCGACGCTGACCTGGTCGTTCGATTCTCCAGCCCCTGCGAGGGTAGCTTGAAATTCCGCAACGCGAGCATCAGCCACGATCCTCGAAAATACGACCCCGAGTTCCCGGATCGCGCCGGCGGTGACTTCAAGTCGAGCCTGGAACGACACGTCCTGAGATTCTCGTACGACGACGGACGTATAGACGAGCTATGCCCCGACAGGCAGGAACCGATCTGGGCGTTGAACCTGAAGAGGGGAGTACTGTCGATGCTTCAGAACACCATGCGCAGATTCGACGTGGACCATCGCGCGGACGAGCTGGACGTGAACGGGATCTGCGAGACGACTTACCGGCTACACGAGGCGAGACGGACGAGCCTGGTGGTGAAGAAGTCGAAGAACCTCTCGGATTGCTCGTACGGGTCCAAACACTTCTCCATCATCCAATCGAACGTCTACAGGAGTCCCAGGTCCGGTTCTCACGCGACACGTCATCCTCTTCTTCAGTCGCGGAGCGATTGCGAGCTGACCATCGACCACAATGTCTACCAGGAGGTCGTCTGCAAGGATCTGCATCGATTGCAACCGCTTTCCAGCGGCAACACGGGCGCTAGAACCGAGTCCACAGCTGTCCTTCGCTTGCTCAGAGAGACGAAAGAAGATTCGGACGAGTACGAGTCGAACAACGACGATGATGAGAACGAGGATGAGGACGAGAGCAAGGAGAAGCAGAATCGGGGATGGGATCGCGCGAAGAGGACCACGCTGATCTACGATTATTCGAAAGTACCCAGAACGGTGCACGGCGAGCTGAGAACGTCCAGGGATCTTCTGAAGATGATGTGCAGGCTGGGGGTGAGCATGGACGAGCTCCAGCAACAGTTCCCCGAGACGTTCACCGAGTTCGTTCACTCGGCGCGGCTGTTGGACTATCCGTCGTTGTCGCAATTGTTCGCCAGGGCCAACAGTATTTGCAAAACTGGAAAGTGAGTAGAACAGTCGTCGCCTTGGAGGAGTTGTATTAGATCAAGATTTATGGCACCGGGCTGGGGACAGGTTTGCACAGTTTTATTAGTTTATGGTTGTAGGAAGTCGAATTTGGAACTTCGATCCAGGGTTTATGGTGTCACGCTTTTGTGTACCTGACTCATCGAAGAAGCAATTAACTTTCAAATAGATCCCCGTCCCGGTGGCCATCTTCTTGCAGACGCGCGATACAATAATGTCCCAATGACGCGTTTGATTCTCTTGCAGGAAACATATTATGGATGCTCTGCCGTTTATGGGCAGCAACGCAGCTGTGAGCGTGATGAAGGATTTAATAATGAAAAAGTACATCGATCAGTCTACGATCAACAATTGGGTGACCGCGTTCGCGTTGATCCCGCGACCGAATCAAGAGACGATCAGGTCTCTGTCGCCCCTTCTGGAGTTCCAGCGTCAGATCCCGGAGGCTCAGTTTGTGTTGAGTTACTCCGCGACGATTCACGCTTTTTGCGCCAATCACGAGACTCGGTGCAGCAACGTCGAGCAAGTGACGCGATTCCTCTCGTACCTGGAGCAAAAGGTCGAGAAGGGCTGCACGCCACGAACGCACTCGCCCTCCGCGATCAAGGACGTACGTATGAGAGAATGCCTCTGGATGGAGTTTAGATTAGTCGGGGATATTTTTGATAGACCCTTAACACTCAAATTAAAAAGAAAATTAAATTTTGTTTTTGGACAACTGGAAACTAGCATGCCAAGAATTTGTCATGGAATTTATTTTCACAGACTCGTTGAAATTCAAGGGCTCTACCTAACTTTATTTTATTTTGCATCTGATCTTGAGAATTAATTTTTTTAACTCCTTGGTGAAAAGTTGTGTCACCCATATGTGGGTGACGTGGCAGTCAATGTGTTAAGCAATTTATTTATTCAATTTTAGACCATGGAAGCTTTGAAGGCGATAGGGAACATGGGCTTGGAAACGGAAAGCTTAATGGCGCGGCTGAAGGAATGCATAGACGACGACAGCGGATTCCTACCGATGGAAATTCGCGTTGCTGCTGTCGACGCCCATCGCAGGATGCCGTCTTGCAAGACAACGCGAGATCTCTTCTTCATGGACTATTATAGGAACTTCACCTTGGACGCGGAAATACGCATAGCGTCCTATTTGCAAGTGATGCGTTGTCCCGATTACAACGTCATCAAAACGATCAAGCACACGCTGAAGACGGAGGAGGTCAATCAAGGTTAATAGCTCAGATTTTAAATTAGAATACAGGTTCTGTTCTCTAAACTCATCCTTCCACACTCTGCAGTTGGAACTTTCGTTTGGAGCCATTTGACAAACCTCTACAACTCCGCGTCGCCGACGATGGTGAAGATTCAGAGTCTCCTGACGGACAGGGACCTCGACGACAAGTTCAACAGCGACAGAAGAAAGTTCTCGCGAAATTACGACGGGTCGTTCTTCTCGGAGGAGTACAATTTCGGCGCGAACTATCAAGGAAATCTGATCTTCTCCCCGAAATCGTACATACCTCGTTCAGCAACGTTCAATGTCACTGTCGACCTCTTTGGCGAGTCTGTGAACATCTTCGAGTTGACCACGAGGTTCGAGGGCCTCGAATACTACGCGGAGAAGTTCTTTGGCCCGGATGGACCGTACAGCAACGAGAAAGTGTCGGGATTCTTCAACAGTTTCCTCAGGAAGTTCAGAGCAGCACCGGAAGAGAACTACTGGAAACGCGTGAAACGGCTGCCCAACGTTATCGAAAATAACTTTGATAATCCTACGATTAGTCTCGGTTACAAAGTAAGCAAGAAAGACTTATTCTATTGACCTTTTGCTTATTATTTTATTTTTATCTTACGTGTTTGTTCAGGTATTTGGGAATGACCTGAAGTACATGACACTGAACAACGATCAAGAAATCAGGGAAGCCTTGTTAAATTTGAACCCGTGGGAGAAATTCAAGCAAATCGCTTCTGGGAAGGAAATTCACTACGAGAACGCGATAATGTTCCTGGATTCTACTTTCGTGGTGCCAATGTCGTCCGGGTTAACAGTGCGTTTGGACATTGCTGGCTCCGCGGCATGCAACTTCAAGATGTCAGGGTTACTAGACACCAAACGGATTTCCAATGGGGAGGTTGAATTCGTCAGCAATCTAGCGCCCAGGTAGTTGGAGAATTTATCTAGTAGTCAAAGATCTCTTTTACACTAATCCAAGATTTGTCCAAGATTCTGTCTTTTAATATGTTACATCGTTGAACTTAAAAGATATATTAACTCTTAAATGTCTTTGAGCAGCGTGAGCGTAGACGTTGTGGGCAGCATGACCGTGGATGCGTTCTACAAGAGCGCTGGAATCAAATTGAGATCAAACGTGTACTCCTCCGGGGCTGTCCAAGTTCATTTGAGCGTGAAGGGATTGCGTTCGATACGTCTGAGCTTGGGTTTACCAAACAAGAAGATGGAGGTGTTCTCGATTGGCACGGACGTTCTTCTGACGAAAGGCAACGGGGCGGAACTCGAGGAGGAGCCGCTGGGCATTCTGATCGCCGGACAGAATAATAAAAAGGCGATCATTCCTAGCAACGTTATTAGCAACACGAGCTGCAGTTGGACGGCTCTGGACAGGCTCGTGGGATTGAAGATGTGCGTCAATTATCAACTACCGAACGTGACGAAGAATCCTGACGCGCCGTACTTCCTTCTCAGCGGACCTACGCTCTTCAAGATCTCGTTGATCAAGGCAGATCCTACAGCTAAAAACTACTTGTTGGAGTATAAATGGGAGAAAACTGAGGTATATACTTTTTCTAGGATAAAAACGACTCGGTACGTCGAGACTGGCAATACAATGCTTCCAATTATTTTATTACAGAAGCAAAACATTTTTAAAACCGTGTTCGATACGCCTGGATCGCAAGTGAACAGAGAATTGAGCGCCACCGTGTCCTTCGACGAGAAGACGCACAACGTCACTGTTCTGTTGCGGTCCTCTGGGAATTCTATAGTGGCTGAAGGTAATCCATACGTCGATCAGGCAACTGGTACACGTGTCTGACCAATCTCATGGTACGCGCGTAATTTTTCTTTCAGGTACCTACAAGAGTACGGAGAACGAGACGTTCATAGACATAGGATTCGACATAAATGGCACCAAGCACTTGGACGCCAGCTTGGGCTACTCCACCAAGAAATTCAGCAATGGTCTGATTTTCAGTCCGCAAATGCATCTGATCGTCAACAACGAGCGGATCGCCGCTTTATTAGGTACTTTCCCGGTTGAACTTTATTGTAATGGATGCAGCAAGATCAGTAGTAGAATTAGTAATGGTTGTAGAATTGTTTCTGTCTCTTGGTGCTCGTTACTCTCAAGTTCGACTGTACATATTAGCTTCCGTGGGCGTTGAGTAACTTGCTTGCTAAATCTTTTTAAAAGGCACAATAAGACAAGCTTGGAAAAACGACGTGTCCCAGTGCGATGTAGACTTGACCTTCCGTACAAAGAAAGTCTGGAGCAACTTGGCGGGCTACATCGTCCGAAGGAACGTGAGCTTGGCCGCTGACTTCGTGCTGGAGTATCAGCTGCAGAAGATGCCCAAGAAGGAGATGCTCCAGCTGGAAGTGTCGTTGTCGAATCGTTCGTCGAAGACTCTGACGCATAAGGCGGCGGATCTGAAGCTACGTTCCACCGCGTATCCGCAATTGAACGCGGTGATAACCGCCTGGTATCAGCAGGTGTTCGGTCACTTGGAACTGCACGCGGAGATCAACTCGAAGCCGCACCTGATGGACGACCGCCACAAGCTCACCGCCCAGCTGATCCTCTCGTACTCGAAGATGTATTTCCAGAATCGGGACACGAAAGTGAGCGCGTCGATCGTCATAACGAAGCCCATTCAGAACTTGGATATCAAAATGAGCATCGATCACTACGCCATGGGGCCGGAATCGAAGACTCGTTTGATGATTGGATACGCTCCAGGTACTATTATCAAATAGAGAACTCTTTACTCATTGAACTTTGTATTAACGTTTAGTCTCTGCCTATCCAGAAAAAATAATCAGCCTGACGGTGATCCTGGCAATGCCCCGTGGTCTGATGTTCGCCATGGAAGGCCACGCGAACCTAACGATACCGAATTTCAACTCCATGCTGTTGGACGTGCGAATAACGGAGCGATCGAGGCGTACCTACGAGCTAGACTTCAGAGGTACTTGGTTCAGCGGGCACAATATGACTGCTCGCGGTACCTATACGGACCGATCGGTGGCCACCATCGTCAGCCACAGTTTGAAGCTAAACGTCAAGTCGCCGAGCTTCGACACGGACGTTCTGGTGAATTGCAAGCTGTACAAGAATTACAGCAACGTCCGGCTCAGTGTCTACGTGGAACAGCTGGACAGAGACAAATACGCGTTCATCCTGAACCACACGGTCGTGTCACCAACGGATTTCATCTCGTACGTCGAAGGACGGTACAGAAACAACGTGTACTCGGTGATGACGAGCGTGGACGCTGAACGGGAAATTCGCATGGAGGTGCACCTGGACAAATGGAGGGACGTTCACCTGGCGCTGACGGGCATCAACGAAGAGAACAAGAAAGGATTCGGGGCGGAGGTGAAGTGGGACGTGAACAGGGATCCCGCGCTAAAGGTAGCGTTGTTCGTTTCGTTCGACAAGCTGGTGGTCCCGGCGATCGACGAGAATCACCAGCCCAAGAAGAACCTCACCGTAGTCGTCAGCTTCATTTACCCCGGTCGTTTCATCACCGGTTCGTGTCGCGTGGCCTCGCGGGGCCTGTACAACTATATCCTGGACGCATCGATCGACTGGAACCCGGACAAGACGATCAAATTCTTCGTCGCCACGGAATACGACGTGCAGCCGTGGAACAAGTCGATGAAGGTGGAGAGCAAGTTTCTCACGCCCTTCGAGCAATGGAGAAAGACCGCTCTGGTCGCAAAGTAATTCTTCCGTTTCGTCGCATTAATTGAACCGTTTTTTATAAAATAAATAGTAAAATTAAAATGCTCTGTACATCGCATCTATCAGTTTTATAACGAACGGTTCAACGTTCCTTCTTCTAACATGTAGAACGCCTTGATCTATCCGTTTCTAATCGCGTTGCAGATATCTGCAGGATCGGAACAGGATCAGGCTGAGTTGCGGCACCCATTGGAAAGATTCCCAGCATCTGCTGGCTGAATTCGACGGCAGCATGGTGGACCGCGAGAAGGTCAGAGAATGGAGAGCTGACTGCGGGGTGACCAGCACTGTGCACTCCATCGCCTGGACCACCGTAAACGTCACCCACAAGATCGTCGACTCGCAGACAGCTGACACTCATTTGCTGATCAAGTACAATCCGGACAAGGTGATCGACGCGTGGAGCATCTGGTACCTGGACAGAGAGTCCGACAACGTGTTCAATCTGACCGGTAATCTGCATCTCGAGTCCCCGGTCACCAGTTACAAGAAGTCCGACATGAGGTGTCAGCTGCAAATCCTGCCCGACTGGAAGTTCCTGGGCGCAGCGAACTTGGACCTGGACAAGAGAACGTACACGGCGAACTTGCTCGGCGATCTGCGCCGTTTCAAGGAGTCCACCGTGCAGTTCAACGTTACCACGCCGCTGGAGAAATTCACGTTCGTTCGTGGACGGTTCGGTTTGTCGGAGAGCAACAGACACGTGGTCGCGGAAATGGTGATACCTAGCGGACCGATCGGGTTCGAGGTGATCTGCCAGTTTCTCACCGCGGAGTACGACTTCAACGTGAAGCTGATGCTCGCCACTCCGCTGGACGTGCTCCAGAGATCCCTTCTCGTGGCCAAGCTGAACAACCGGCAGGTCGACTTCAGGATCGCGTACAACAGCATGCTGGCTGGCTTCCAGGGCGTCTGGCACTATCTCAGCATCACCAACTTCCACTACAGTTACCTGGTGTTCTCGCCCGTGCAAGGCCTCGAGGAGGTCGGGGTGGTCGCGAAGCTGATCGTCACGGACATCGAGAGTCAGAATCGAAACGTGGACACCGAGTTCACCATTCGACTAGCAGAGGTGAAGATGGGCGCGAAGGCCAAGGCTGGTCCAAAACCACCGCCTGTCAACATCCCTATAAAAACGCCTGACGAAGTCGCGGGCAACTCGACGAAAGAGGAAGAGGATTACGACCTCCTGGACGAGGAGCCCAGCATCTTCTACTGGCACGGGGAAATGGAGATCTATCCCATGATCGTAGAACCCATCACAGGGGAGTTGGACATCGACCACAATGGACCTCATTACAAGGTATACGCCGTCGCTCAATACTTCCAAGGGAAGATCGTGCTGGACGACGCGTTCTTCATCGAGGATCTGTTCAACATGAAGAACGAGCTGAACCTGATCACCCCGTTCAAGCTGTTCAACGAACTCGTTTGCGTGAACGCGTTCGTCGTGGACATGGAGAACGCCGATTACACGATGCAGTTCGCCTTGAACGTCAGGCGACAGAAGACGTGGACGGAATCGGGGGTGGACGTGAAGTACATGTACCGCGAGAGCGAGACAGAGGCGCAGACGCACATCGTAGCGATAAACGTCAAAACGCCTCTGGAGTTCGTCAAGTTCCTCGACACGAACGTCACGCTGAACATCGCCGAGAGCTTCTACACGGCTGCAGTGGGCATTCGGGCCCCGAGCAGCGCCATCGACGTCCTGGGGGTCCTGGAGACGGAGGACGGGCTCATGGACACGTCCTTCAAGGTAGACGTCGACACACCCCTGCTGCAGATACAGAGACTGATACTCGCGGTCAAGCGTGACTTCACGGGGAAGGAGAAATACGTCAAGGTCAGCGGAGAGGTCGGCAAACCCGTCGCGAAGCTGTTGTCTGTACAATCAGACTGGTACGTGGGGGATGATAGCGTGAAGGCTGTCGTTACTCTGCACACCTGGATAGAGTCGCTGAAAAGCGTCGTGGTCGACGTCTCGTACGCGAACGAGATCGTGACCAACGACACAGCGAACCTGACGATCGTCGTGAAGCACCTGGCTGATCGGGTGTACAAACTGTCGGGTAATTACAGCGCCGGGGCCGTGGTGGCCAAACTCTACACGCCGGCTCTGACGAACGCTCACTTCGAGTTCCACGGCGACGTGAAGAAAATAAACGATACTCTGTACAACTTGGACGGCGAGCTGTTGAACGCCGCGAGCAAAGCGACCAGCAAGGTGTTCGCCACGATCGTCACGACGAACGACTCTTTGAGCAACCTGGAGCTGACGAGCAAGTCGACAACGGGGACGGACGAGGAGGATTTCGTTTTAACGCTGAAGAAGGAGAAGTATGGCATGAACGTGGACCTGGTGGGCCGTTCTATGAACGGAACCCTAGACGCGAACATCATCAATTCGTTGAACTGGGACTTCTGGGTCCGCACAGAGGTCCTCCAGAAGTCTGGCGAGAGGAAACAATGCCAGGTGACCGCGTTCATGAACGTCCAAGTGAACGGTAATACTAGTCTCTACGTACGCGCGGAGACGCCTCTGAAGGATGTTAGCAATCTCACTTTAAACGGAAACATGCTGCTGACCAACAACAGCGGCGACGTTCGAGTGCACAGCCTGCTGAACGGGGACGTTCGTTTCACGACCTTGCAGTGGAAGTTGGTCTACATGGTGGACATGTTTGGAAGAGTCCTCCTGGGATACGACACGAAAAACCTGGGTAGCAAGAACGTCGACACTCGGTTGTACTTCAAGAACCTTGGACGCCTCTTCAGGAACGTCGACGTGGGCTTCGACGTGGACGTCGATCGGGAGAAGTGGAAATTCGCGGCGAACGCCACCGTCGGGTTCCGGAGCCACGAGAAAATCGACGCTATATTTTTCGTCAGGCTGCCGCCTCCCGACAACGACGATCATCGGTTTCTGATCATGTATCATGCAAACGGCGGGGTCAAGGACACTCGTTACGTGATCGGTTACGACACCGTGCGCGCCAAAACGAACTACGCCTCGGAAGGATCGGTCAGTATCCAGTTCTTTGGTATACTTTATCTTATAAAGGTTTCTTACACCTTTGGTAGACAATTTTAATCCAAAGAATAGATTGTTAATTGTATAAATTCGTACAGATACACATGGGCACGCGAGACATCAACGGCCATCTTCGAGCGTCCTGGGGGATGCTACCCACTCAGTCCATCAACAACCTCCTCAACATGACCTTCGACAATAAGGAGATCGGACTCAAGTACTCGCTTTACACCCCAAAATTCCAACAGCAGGACACGTTGGTCCTACTGTTCAATTACGACGCCACCCACGACGCTGTTGTACGTTTGATAAACGCGGACGTGTATTATCCAGCCAGCACGCAGGTGGGCTCCGCGAACGTGTCGTATGAAAGTTTGATGAACGTCAACGGAACCATCAACGTTCTGGCACTGGCGAACGTTCCGCGCGTTGGATGTGAATTCATCGTACTCACCACTCTGTAAGTGGATGTCTCGAGCCAAGTCGGACGCAACGCTTGTTTCTTTTGTTTAATAGAATAATGAATAAAAATTTACCCAACTATAGACCTACTGTAATAATACTTTCTATTGCAGACAACGAAACAGAAGATTCGCCACAGTCTTCTGGCCCCAAAACACGGCAGTGATTGATTCAGACTATACCTACCGCAGCCAGAAGCTGGACTTTGATTTGAACGGGATTTTTCACGCTGAGATTCCACTGAGCACCCGTCACATCGGTCATTTGACGTACGGCTACCAGGAACGTTCCCTGGTCACTACCGGTTACTCTGAAATGACTTACAACGGAGAGAAGATTCTCCGCGGTCGATACAACTCTGAAAGCGAGTCCAGGGCCGGTTTCGAAAAAGATCGTATACAAATAAAGATCGAGAACCCCTACAAACCGATTGGCATCCTCTATATAAATCAGTACGAATACAGCGCCGGAAACGAGGGTACGAATTATCCGACCGTGGAGTTCAAGCACGTGAACCTCTATCGGATCGATAACAAAACCGCGTTGAACATCGCCGGCGAGTCGAGGATCAGGACGACCCACACGGGTCAGGACATTCATCTGAAAGCTATGAACTTCAACAAAACCGTGCAGCTGCAGGCCGATTATCAGGTGTTGCCTGGCGAGTTCGATCACAACGCCACGTTGACCTTGACGGAGGACGCGTGGATCTCCTATCGCGTGAACATCCTGAACAAAACCACGGAGGATGTGGACAATCAGTTCTTGGTGCTGAGCGTGTCCTATCCGCGAAGGAACTTCACTCTGGACGGATCCTATTGGATCAGCCGCGAGGAGCTGAGCTCCGAAGTGAAGCTCGATTGGGACCGCGAAACGGAGAAGCCCAGAACCATCGGGGCGTTGTTCAACTGGGCGAACCTCACATCCGCGAACACCACCACGCAACAACGAGCCACATTCAGTCTGAGGCACCCGAGTTTCGAGAAGGTAGTCTTCGTTCAAGGAGAACTGTTTAAAAGGGACAAGAAGGATTTGATGAACGTCGTTTTCACCGCCGACTATTCCACCGACCCCGACAAGCTTCTCGTCCTATCTGCGTTCGTCAGGGACGAGAGCGACTTGCCTGTGGCCAGAAGATACGTCTACGAGGTGGCCGGGAAGCATCCAAACACGAGATTGAACCTCGACGTTCGGGGATTCGTTCACACGAACGGGACCATTATGTACGAGACTATGAACAACGGCAGTTACAAGCGAAGCTTCTTGATCTCCGAATCCGGGAAGATAAACAGTCGCCTGGATCTCGTTCGCAGAGAGGTCCTCTTCGAACGGGACTACAACGAGGCGGTCAAATACATTTACGTTCGATTTTATCCCTCCGAAAAGCAGTACTTTGTGAACGGTACCGTGATAAACACTCCGGATCTGAACGCCACCGGGAATTTCTTCCTGGATCCGGACGAAAAACTGACGAGGATGATGGTCAATTACACGCCTGACGCTGTTGAGAGTTTGAGGATGTACGGGACCATTCCTGACGCCCGTAATGCAGTGTTCGATATTTGGAGAACCTACGAAGAGGACTTCTCCGTCTCCGACGTGTCCTTTTACTTGAAACTGAATCACTCCAGACTGGTCACTTCCACCCTACGTTGGAGACCCGACCTCAAGAGCGACATCATCAATGGTATCAAGCAAGGTGTCTTGAATTTATACAACGGCGTGAACGACGACGCAGACTATTGGAAGCAATACATAAAGAGCGAAACGGTGAACGTAATATCCGAGGTTTGGGACGACGCTCAGGACGACCTTCGAGACTTCATCGACGACTGGAACAACCTGAAGGAGCTGCAAACGGACTTGGACGAGCTGAAGATTTACCTGAACAACTCCTACAACGCGAACGAGTTTTACATAAAGGACGTGGTCGCCTTTGGGATGTACGTGATCGACGAGCTAGCTCTTCGAACTCACATAGAGTCTCTGCCGAACATTTTGAACGAGATATGGGAGATCATGGGAGAGTCGGGTCAGGCGATCAGGAACTCGTTGCTATGGGTCATCGAGGCGATCAAGAACGCGTTCAACAAATTCTCGGAGATCGTGTCGGCCATTCTGAGGGGCGAGTCGTTCGCGCAGGTAGCGAGCACCATCGAGAAACTGGCGGAGAAGTACGACAAGTTCATGAAGGATCTCCACGTTTCGTTCATCAAGTACATCGAGAGTCTTTGGGGGAAGCTCTCGCAGGCGATATCCAAGCAATGGAATCGATTCTTGTTGCTGGTCGAGCCGTTGTTCATTCGCCTTATACACTATCTGGAGACCGTGGTCTGGAAGGCCAGCAAGGAGATCCTCGATTTTCTCTACGATCGAGGGAACGATCTGATCACTTCGCCTTACTTCGATCGACTCTCAAACTTCACCCACGACGTTGACAAATTGTATCGAGACATTACTGCAAACGACATCGTGACCAACATACAGAAGTACTCCGGATTGGTGATGAAGTTCTTGAAGGAGAGGTATTTCGTTTTCGTGCCTTTTGGTAAGGAACTGAAGGACGTCGTCGACGAGATCGTCTCCGAGCTGAAGGAATTGCAGAAACTACCGTCCATACACTACGCCATTGAGAAGATGCAACAGCTGTACGACAGGGTGTACTACTTCTACGATTACCTTGAAATAAGAGCGAAAATCGATAGCGTCATCCGGCTGGTCCACTCGAAATTGGTGGACATAAGTCAGACGGCTCTTCAAGCTGAAAGCAGATACAGAGAGGCCAAAACGAAGTTTATCTTCGATCCCAACGAAGGTCTGATGTGCTTGGAACAGAAGCTACCGATGTCCTGGCACGCTTTCAATCAAACGCCCGAGTTCCACGAAATCCCCGAATTCAGGGCCATCACCGACATCAGGTCGTACTTCGTCACCTCGAACTTAACTTTCTGGAGTTTGTATCGGTACAAGCCGTACATGGAGCCATTAAACTGGCTGCCACCTTTCAGAGGTAACGAAAAATAAGAGAAACGGTGATTTTTTTCAAGTTAAAAAATAATGTATATTTTTGTTATTACATATTGATCGTTTCAGCGCAAGCGATGATCGTCGGATCGCAGCATTTCGTAACTTTCGACGGACGACATCTGAATTTCGTTGGACCATGCACGTACCTGTTGGCTCGCGATTTCGTGCGAAACACGTTCACTATGCTCATCAAATACGACGTGCAACCCGATCGAGTTACGCACAAGATCATCATCTTGATCGGGAAGGACGCCATCGAGCTCGACATGTTCAACGACGTTAGTGCCAATTCAGAACTCCTTAACTCGATTACTTAACTCCAATTGAGTTGTTGCTAGGCGGCATTAGTACATCCGAGCTTCCATTAAATTCGTTCTGTTCCTTTTCCTGCTCTATAGGCTCGTCGAACAGACGATTTCCATTAAAGACTTCCGGTTTAGAGTCTTTGATAAAGATAGAAATAAAATGAATAAATCTCTCGATATTTCTTCGATAAGAAAAGAATATATTCCCATTTTCAGAGCATCAAAATCGTTTCCGAACACTCGCCGAGCACAACGAGCAACCTGAAACTGCCCATCGAGCTAGAGAATGGAACCACGTACGTCTACCAAGCGGAGAACGTTATAATTGTGGAGCGCAAGCCGAACCAGCTGCTCCTGGAATGCAATTTGAAGTTCGATCTCTGCACCCTGGAATTATCTGGTTGGTACCAGGGCAAGACCGCTGGTATACTAGGCACGATGAACAACGAGCCGATGGACGACACCACCGCGTCGAACGGACTCGTCCTGAAGGACATTGGGAAGTTTGCCGGTAGCTGGTCGATAGAAGCCAGCGACGAGTGCTCCAGCGAGGAGAATTTAGCGTCGACGATGAAACGAAACGACGACGAGGCCGTTGTACAGTTTTGCAACGACCTCTTCGTGAACAGAAGCTCCGAGTTTCAGTCCTGTTTCGACGTGGTCGACCCACAGAAATACTCGACGATGTGTTCCCGTAGCGCGCGTAAACTGGAGGCTTGCACGGTGACGTTGTCCTACATGCAGGCCTGCATGTTCCGCGACACTTACCTGAGAATACCGGACACGTGCACCAGCTGCACTATGGTGAACGGGAGCCAAGTGGCGGAGGGTCAGTTCAGACGATTGGAGGGCGACAACGTGCGAATGTCCACCGACGTGGTCTTCATCGTCGAGGGGAAAGAATGTAACCGCGACGTTAAGCAGAATCGTAGCATAGAGCAGCTGGTCACTCAGATGAACAAAGAGTTCAAAGACCGCGGCTTGGTCGACAATCGATGGTCTTTGGTGGTCTTCGGGGCGGACGGGGTGTTCGAGCATCCGAGGAGCGTCGTTTACGACGGACAGATCTTCACCAAGAACGCGGCGCGATTCGTCGACTTTTTCGATCACGTGCCCGTGGGCGACGGCAGCAGGGACATCTTCGCCGCGATCGTGTTCGCCACGAAACTCTTCTTCAGGGCTGGCGTCTCCAAGACTTTCGTCTTGATGCCCTGCTCGCACTGCGAACCGGAAAATCAAACGGTGAGGCTCGACGCCCTTGCACGAGTCGCGATTAGAAGGGTTTAGAATAGTTTTGAGAGAGCTTTATAGCCATCTTTATATTAATTTACACAAAAATAACGATGGTATGCTTATTCAGAATGACCTGATACTAAGGTGTATCGTTTTCAGCTGGACTCTTGCACGAGTCGCGATTAGAAAGGTTTAGAATCGTTTTGAGAGGACTTTATAGGCATCTTTATATTAATTTAAACAAAAATAACGATGGTAGGCTTATTCAGAATTACCTGATACTAAGTGTAACGTTTTCAGCTGGACTCTTGCACGAGTCGCGATTAGAAAGGTTTAGAATCATTTTGAGAGGTCTTCATAGCCATCTTTATATTAATTTACACAAAAATAACAATGTTATACTTATTCAGAATGACCTGATACTAAGGGTGTATCGTTTTCAGCTGGACTATACGGTGCTGCACGAAGCTTTACTGGAACACGATATCACTCTCCACATACTGATGGATGGCGACTTCGAGTTCGAGAAGGAAAGGATCAACAAAATGTTCTACGGATTGGACGCGACCACATCGTACACGAAGAAGGACACCAGAGCGTTGGTCGGTGACGTGGATCTGAGGAGGCAAGTGAAGAAGCTTTGGAAGAGCCCGTTAGGCTACTGTACAACCTTGTCCTTGGAAATCAACGGAACCATATTCAGCGGCGACAAATTGCGTTTCGATAAATCGACCTCGATCAAGAAGTTCATCAGCGTTTTCTCCAAGAGGGTAGCTTTAACCGCGATGCCGAATTCCTGTCAGAATTGCGAGTGCATCGCCGACAATAACGGGGTCACGCGGATGGAATGCATTCCGTGCGTCTATCCGATGCCAGTCACGGCAGATTATGTGAGTTTCCACGTATACTTGAATTATACTTGTTGTCATTGATCACCATAAGCGATTAATATTAGTAATCGGCAATTATGACCGCTTCCGACGACTGAACTTTTAATAGTTGATTAATGTCCCACTTTGGTTCTAGCTAACATTGATTTGGACGAATATCTTTAATTGGAAACGAAATTTCAGCCTCTAACGAGAGTTAGGTAGATAACATTTCAAAAAAAATTTAACCCCGTTAAATAATTCAACCTTCGAATGACCATTCCATGGGAATATTTTTTCAGTATTCTTTATCAACTGTATTTCACAAAAATAATAATACCAATGAACGCAAGGCTATCGTTATAACGAAGGGAAAATAATTGCTAACCTCGTGTTTCTTATCTATTAAATTCATAAAATTGTTTGACTTGTTTTCGTTTTTCTTTTTGTATTGCAGGATGCGTTTAACTTAAATGATTCACTGGCAGCCCTACAGCCACTGAATGTCGATTACGGACAAATCGATATCGACGACAGCTAAAGTACCAGAGGAGGTACAGATAGATTATTGATCGCCGTCACACATGATTTTTTTATTTATTTAATATACTATGTCGTAAAATGTTTGCCAACGAACGAACCACTCACCTCTTGGTAACAAGTATTTAAGACGCATCATTACGCAAATGTCGCATTGTAACGCAAAATATCGTGTACGCCATAATTAACATTTTAGTAATATAAGTAACTTTACTGTTTGTAAAATGGTATTTGATTCGGTTTTTATTTCAAAATAATTCCAGAGAAATGTTATGTATACGCACAGATAAAAAGGAGCCAGTCTTATTTATTAATCAACGACTCTACGTATCATCTTTGCTGCCCCGTACAAATTTTCGATCAAAAGATTCGAGTCGAAGGGTTAAAACGAAAAAAAGAAAAAAAATCTCACTATATCAGCTTCTATCCAAGTAATGTTAACAATATTCGAGCAAAGAATCATAATCCGTCATTTATTAAGCACAACTTATAGTATAAATCGCATATTTCAATTTGTTATACACCTTTTGATTGGTCCTTTCTGAAATACTAGTTATCGTCAAGTATACATTGATACGTTTACAATTCGATTGGATAATCGTACGTAAACGTAGTGCCATTCGTTCGATCGTTACTTGCATCGCTAACAGTGAATAAAATATCATATACTGTAACCATTTTGATATGATGGGTACAAAATAACTAAGAATATTTAACATACATATATTTTAAAGGTAGTTAAAAGTTTCTTTTTCTGTTACATATTATGGCAATACGTAAGCATGGCAAATACTTGCATCAAAACCTTTGGACGCGAGATTCTTATTTCTGAACAAATAATCTGCCCTCTTTTTATGATTCTAAAATACCAATAATTGATACAAACTGAACCGGATATCGTTGCATTGTAAATATTATACTTATACGCAACACAAATAAAGATAACTGCAATGTGTCAATTTGACAGACGAGAGTTTAAAAAGCGTTCGTCTTAGAAAAAAAAAAAAAAGAAAAGAAAAGAAAAACAAAGTTGTCGTTCGTGTACAGGTCGGAGACTTACGCGTGTACAGAATAACTTGTAATTGTTGCATAAAAGGACAACCATGTAGTCGCAATCGATTTATAAAACCTTTTGCTTATATATTATCTGTGTATAATAATTCAAAACATACTATACAAATATAATACGAATCGTAAATGGCAACCGATTCGCGTACACTCTTCGTATTTCAGCTTGTTTCTAAACTTTTTGTTTTGCAAACTGAAAGATGGCGAGCAAATCTATCGTAACGATTACATTTCAGCTTATTAAAAAAAAAAAACAGAAAATGCTGATGATAAGAAAAAAGAAGAATGATAAAATCTCTAACAACCAATCGATAATAAAATTATAGGTCTTTTTTAGATCAAAAAATAAAGTGATACAATTTGTCGGGTTTGAAACAACCTAAGATAGCCATGAATCATGTAATTATACTCATGTAATCATGTAATTATATGTATAATACACACGATGGCCGTAAAACAGGAGGTACAACTTAGCACAAAACCATTTGTGCCAATGTTATTTGGCCACTAATGTATAATCGTTACCTAGACGCATTGTAATTTGGTCACCTGGTATCGTGTGCCTGCAGGTGATTGGGAGCATCGGCAAATGTGAATTTTAATTTATACGCTTCCGCGACCAATATACCTATTTCTGAATCTGTCCAATTTTGGGTAGGCAGGTTTTGTAGCATTAACATCAGTCCCTAAACGAAAATAACAAATTGCCTACAATCTTGTCTCCCTTGCGCGTGCGCTAGATCACAATATTTGTTTAATGCTCACTTGAAAGTCGGGTTGCAGAAGTAGATGTCGTCTCCAACGAAGAAGAAACGCGGCGCACACGTAAAGTTGAAACGAAGCAAATCGGTCGGATTCCGCTAAATAAGTATCCCACAGGCGAATCGTGCAATGAAGAGGAATTTCTCTCGTTAACAAATTATTCATCCACCGGAAGGAAAACTGTAAATAATCTACACCGTGTTTATGGAGATGCTGATGTAACGGCGCTGAAAAAAAAAACAAGTTATACAAATGTAACTGTACCGGAAGACAAAAAAATAACAGCAGAATTTTTAACAATTAGGTGCATACCATCGATTCTTTGTATAAGTTCCTTCAACTGATTTACTTTGTGCTGAATGCCTAATTGAGCAAAGATATAATTATCCTGAATACCGTCGAGAAACTTCGATAAGCACCAAAAGCTATCTGCTTCTATAATGTTTCTCTGCTCCTTTTGTAAAGACGCGACATCATAATTTTCTAAATCCTGCCATGCTGATATAGGGACTGCTTCTTGTAAAAACACCAAGAAGAAAGGCGTCACTAGATCATTCATTCCCTAGGAAAAAGAGTAAAGGAATAAATCAAGATAAAAATGATGCAAAAATCGTATACACAAACTCGCGTAAGATAGTGTACTTTCGCGTACTTGGACGTATCCAGAAGCAGGATGACGAATTGCCCAAATATAAAGTATCCTTTCAAAAATTAATTGCACTGTTGTCTGTTGAAACAACGAAATAAGGGGTGACATTCTGGGAATGTCAATGTGAATTTGACGATATGTGTCTTGAAATCCTTCATCCCTCTCAGTGTCATAATACTGTTTTACTAAATTCCAGTAATCAAGACGTTTACGTTCCAATACATGTTGTCTACGTTCTAAATTAGCTGGTAAATACTCCTGCATTATTAAAAACAAACAGCAGCATTAAATATACAAACAAAATTTTTACTTTAAACATAGAAATACGGTATAGTTTACCTTTCTTACTTACAGACAATAACCTCCAGGTAACAGAACGCAATCTTGCAGGTACACCTGACCATGATAGCTGCCTTAATTCATCTAAATTTAATACAGAAGCTTCCAAAAGAGATTGAAATTTATCTACTTTACTTTCGCCGTCTACAATGATTAACAAGTAAAATGTAAGAGAATATTCAGATTAATTTAACATAAAAATAATTACTCAACGATATGCACCTTGTTCTTTAGAAGGTATAAAAAATTTGGTAGGAGCATTCGTTTGTCTAAGCGGTTGCGGCCTGCCCGGGAATTGCGTAGGTCTATGCTGTGGGGAAGCACCATATTTTATATCCGTATCATCCATGGAATGTTGACTGTTATTTACTTGGCAATGCATGGACAGATTAGCATTTCGTAAATGCAGAGGTTGAACAGCTAATCTTTGGAGTGCCTCTGCTTTCTTTTCCTCGGGAATGATTTCCTGAATCCGTTGCGAAGATTTTGAATTTGCACCCGAGTCTAAACATGTTTTCCTCGATCTATGACTATTAATGACACTGAGAGCAGCAGAGTGGCTAACTCTTTTCGATATTTTCACATCGGAAACAGTACAGAATTCATCATCTCCCGAGTCCCAAGCGTCATCTACGCTCTCTTGAAAGTCTTGAAACGATGTGGATCCTCCACTGCCTCCCGATGTAATTCCACTAGCTGATACTGTATTGGTTAAATTACCAGATACAAGCATTGTAGCACCCATTTTACCAACTTTACCATCTTGTTTTGGACTCGGTCTTTTGTTATGTGTTTAACATATAAACAATTATATAATTATTTAAAGTAATTGTCATCATTTATAAAGCAACATAATGTATACACACCTGCCTGGCACTGCGTGTGTATTCTTCTTCCAAAAGGACTGATGAGTTTGATAAGTTTGACCAAGGTGATTTTGATTTTCCATAATTATTAGAAATTATGTTAAATGGCACCTGCCACTTTTTTAAGACAACAGAAGAAGCAATACAAGTTCTTCATTCCCTCATAAACAGTTACTGAAATAAAAATTGATACCATTGATACCTCTTGTGGTAGATATTAAAAATTACAAGGACCATGAACAATAAGAACAAAAATTAGTAAAATTCTATAACTATTCTACTAATTCGCGTTACATCGCGTAAGATACAGACAAACTTACATTGCTTGTCTTTTAATTCATCTTTAGCAAAAGTTAACAAACCTAAATATTTATGTAAAGATTTGCACAAAGCCTGCTTTTTTAAATAGTTCGGCCTATTAGAAATGACAGTTGAAACTAAATACACCTAGTTAATTCCGCGTAAGAAGGCATTTGAAAATAATAAGAAAACAAAGGAGATGACACTACGTGATCGAGCTCCATTGTACCGCTTATTATAAGCAGGTTATGTTACACGTCATAAATATTTGGATTAAGATTAGCGGAAAGAAAAAGTGGAAAATAATATTCTTACGTTTAGAAAATGTTTACGCAATCAAGTAATTACGTCAACATTGAATGAACTTAAGAAGCATTTGAATCGTTGCGTAGCTTGTAGAGTATGGATTACTACATGCATAAGGCAAGTGGTTGCAAGTAGAAATTACGAAGTTCGTCGAGGAAATGAATCCATTTGATGAATATACGATATAGAGATGATCTGTTAAAAATTTCCTGAATTTACAAGCAATACACTATGCTAAAACTTTGTCTGATAAAACGCTCACTGTTTTTGACGTATGACAAGCTTATACTAGTGCTGCCACCGAAGAAATGGCTAGATTAAATTTTGCATGCATGCACATATTATTTATTACTAATTTGTCTTTCTAAATTACACCTTACAAAATGTATATTACTATTGCTTTTAAGTATCGACGGTCTTCACTGAAAGCAATAGTGTCAAAATACGCGTCCTGTCCATAATAATAGAACAGTTTTGTTCTTGTGTAATTGTTGAGATACTTTAATAACGAAACGATATAAAATTGTAACGATTTTTCGTGTAAACGCTGTTTCAGTACCTATGCCCAAACAAATGTAGAAAAACTCTACTAATAAGACCGAAGGAATATTAATATACTATTAACAAACGTAATCCTCTCGAATGTTAGTGAAACGAAATTCTCGGTAGGGAAAGTAGATTTACCAGAATTCAGTACAACTTCATTTTCAGAGACTTTTCTTTATTAATTATTTTGTTTCAAGTCGCGTGTCTTCTATTATCAGCAACCAATTTGCGTGGTTTACTTTGCACAATACATACGTGATATACATAGTGGATTGATCTGTAATATGTTCATGGTTCCTTTATTTTTGTTCATCTACATTCTAACAAAATCTTGAACGTTTAATTTTAGCAGAAAATCCCTGTATAGTGCAACCTTAAATAAATAGATTTAAAGAAACGTTCATTGACATTTAATGACACAAAAATAAAGAAGAAAATATCGTCATAAATGTTCATGATCGTAAAATACAAATTAAGTAGTTTCTTGACATTCATCAAGCAGTAAAAATTGTAATTTTCTATTTCACGAAAAGTTTTCAAGCATTTGTCTCGTACATAAAATAATAACACACCTACGAAATACGGAATTTTACTTTGTGTAAGTTAACACAGTATTAGTGACCTCTATGATATGCGTAGATGCAAATGTTCGTTAAAATGAGTTGCTTCAAGCGTGTGTGTTTGCACCGACTTATCTTGCATCTTACACCTACATTAGTGCATTTTATGTTTGCGAATAATATGTGTGTATGTCGTGTCAACCTTGAATAAACGGCGGTCATTGCATGCAGTAGGAGGTATAAATCGTTCCGTTTGAAGAGAATACAACACGTCAAACGAATTCCCTCATGTTTCATACAGTGATGCCAGAAAAGCACCGTCCGGTGCACACTCACACATGCCAGATCACGCGTACGCGAGCTCGTGGAGTTTCGGAAAGACGACAAAGGCAAACTGACGCATGCCCTCTTTCTCGATTCTCCGAAGCTGCCCGAAGTAATTTCGGACCGCCTCGTGGAAGTCGAGAGAGAAAGGCTCACATTTGCCTTCTCGCTCTTAACAACTGAAATCCGACCTCCCGTCAACGGCATACGATTACAATAGTAAAACTTATCTCATTGAAATTTTTTCTAGAAGTTGAGCTCATGAATACCTAGAAAAAAGTATTAGACAACATTTCATTTTGATTTAGATTAAAAATCAAATTTATATTGTTTTAAATTCGCAGCCATTATCTCGGTGTTACCCATAATGAAGAAGTTCTTCTTCAAAGGTAACACCGATTACCAGGTCTCACCACGAGGAGGTTGCTGCGAGTGGAGACCCAAAGTGAGACCGATGGAACAAAGTTCGATCGACCTTCCTTTTTACAGACTTAGAAACTAGATTACGCAATTAAAAAGCTGCCAAGTAATTAGTTTTCTAAAACAAAGGAGGAAGCTAAATTGTGGGAGACGCGACACGACGAAACGCGACACAATACTGCGCAGTGCACTAGGAATAATTTTTTGATTTTATAGCAAAGAATGTTTATTTGATATCAACTCAATAAATTCAATTTGTATTTGTATATTTTTCGCCTATATAGGCAAATATACCATGTTCAGTTTTATTGCACAAGTTGTTCCATAACAGAGATGTAAAGTGTCTCTGAGTTGTTGAATATAAAAGTTGTTCAGTTTATTGCATAAGTTGTTCCCACAAATAAGATTTTCTTGGTGTTTAAGAAGACCGGTTTTGTCCCTTGGCCGCTGCTCGTGAAACATCTTCTTGGCCGCCATCTTCGATTTTGATCGAATGTAAATCTTCAATTAAATTCTTCATCTCGATACGGTCCGTCTTGCTTGGCGGTTGGGAGATAACTCCCCCGCGAGGGCCTCAGGGGGCTCTTATAACCATCAAGGAGCACGGACCATGACGAGTGACCGAGCGACATCTGTGCAATTTTGATAGACGAATTGTTCACGAATTGTTTTAATCTAAATCAAAATGAAACGTTGTCTAATACTTTTTTCTAGGTATTCATCAGCTCAACTTCTAGAAAAAATTTCAATGAGATAAGTTTTACTATTGTAAAAGTTATGATCGTTTGAAAATTGACAATTGTTCTGAGCATTTTGTCACTTTACGACGTTAAGGAACAACTTTTCGAATATTCTTAGAATTTCTACAATATTCACGCTCTTGTTCACGTTCTTTACCCCGATTTTCCGAAGTTGCATGAAGTGCTGGCCTGATGTTACATGTGGCTCGTGCGGTAAGATATTGTCGGCTTTCCCCACCACTCCGTTAAACGCTAAGGAAGTTCGTCGTTACTAATGTTAACGTCGATGCACGCAATTATGCCAAATCTGGTCACGGTGCACGGGATTGTGAACATAAATGGTGAAGTACCGCACGTGGTCCATTATAGTAAGAATGTAACTCCGTTGTGAATTGTAATTATTTACTCATTCGTTTGTTGTATCAAAAAATATGTAAAAGTCTAAAATAATCAATTTTAGGTTAGAGTCATAATAAACCATATGTTTCATCTTGGTGAATTTGTTTCATAATCATTGATTGCTGACTTTGACAGGTGCTAATTATTTACAATATATTTTCATTTAATTTCGTAATACCTATTTTACAAAAAAAATATTTTTTAGGAATATTTATATTAATACTGGGAAATGTATGAAACAAACTTTGATGATATGGGTTAAGAAGAGTCTGTATTAAATTTAATTTAAAGAAATAATCTTTTCATCTTATGTCGACAACATTATTATTTCGTGTAATAAATGCACAATTCTAGAGGTAAAGCTTCAAACATTTCTTTTGATTCTTATGTGTATACATTTTTTGATATCTAAATTCAAAATTTCTTTTCAGGTTTATTGTAAGATAATTTCTTTTGATCCACTTACCTCTTTGAGAGAAATATTTTTAAAAACATATGTATAATAGACTTGTCTTACAAACTTTGCCGAATTTGTAACAACATTCAGAAGAAATTAATATTTATTCCATCTAATTAAAAAGTTGCGATTAATATTTCTTATTTAGTATACTTTAATATGATAGAATCTATAACATTGGAGTTAAGACCTAGACTTCAGATATGCAATGTTTTCATTCATTTAGACAAAGAAGTAAACTCAACAAAAGTTAGAATAAAGCTTTTAGAAGAAAGTATAGAGATAACAATAGAGAATAATACGTTAAAGTTTCTAACAAAATTGATAAAATTAATACCAAATTCATTGTCTGCGTTAAATATAGTGAATGATTGGATTTGTTTCCGTGTGCAAACAGGATCAAATTCTATTTTTGGATCGTTTCAAACAGAAATACTTACTAATTCTGCGCCAAAGATTAATTCTATAAAAGATTCTTTAGAAAATTATTATTTAGAAAACACTGAATTACTTAATGCATCTGATTGCAATATATTATGTACATATTGTAAAACCATTCTTTCTAAAAAAATACTTGTCGAAAGGGTATTACCTGTACCAGATACGAACTATGATCCAAGCGAATGGTTTTGCTGTAATCACAATCGTGTTAATATTACACAAAATTTGACGCCGTTAGAATCTGACATCTTTTATGGACCACTATTCTTTGTTCTTCATACAAATTTGTTTAATGACAATTTAAAAATAGATGGAAATACTGTCATTTGTAACAGGTGCTTACAATATTTAGGAAAAGTTGATACAAATAATTCGCTTAAACTGTGGAGTTGTTCTATAGATTACAATTTATTAAGCAATTCAAAAACAAAAAATGCAACAGATCCTTTCGATGATTTTTTAATAGCTATTAAAACTTCTATGACTGGTATATTTGGCGAAGAAATAATTTTACAATCTTCTGTAGGGAAAAATAATCATTGCCTTATTCTAAAACCAATGGACTGGCACTTGAATTTAATGATAGAGCCTAAAACAATTTCAAATAATAATATTATAACCTTGCAAACAGTATCCATTGTTAAAGTATTATACAAATACGAGACAAATAAAAGTATCATCGATTCTACAAATAAAACATATTGTGAAGTAGGTTTCCTAGTGATGAAAGCAGGCTTAGAGCATTTATTATTGTCAACAAAACGATTTCCACAACTTCATAGAGCTGTCTCTGATTATTATATTGGACATATATATTTGGAAAAACTTACAGATGATACTTAATTATATCTACGATTTTGTGGAAAGAAAATTTTGACTGTTATATACATTGATGTATTATAAATACTTTCATTCATTTTTTAATATAAATAAAAACATTATCATAATCATAATTTAAACTAAATACATACATGTTAACTCAATGCATGAATAAAGTTTTATTTTATCAGAAATTTACATATCTATTAGTATATTACATTTTGTAGTCAATATTATGATTAAGTAATATTTTACAATGTATATCTATGTACCATTATTTACTTTAATGAAAATGAAGAACACAGTTTCTAAGAAACAACAAATTACAATTTTAATTTGATTAATGTAAATTTGTTAAGCATATTTTAATACTTTGTACTCGAATGAAAATTAATGTATGTACAGTTATGAAAAAAAGTACACAAAAAACTACAAGAAATATTTTTATATGTATTTACATTGTCTAAATGCTTGTTTAAATCCAATACCGGTTAAGTAAACTTTATATGAATACGCGCACACAATGTACGCAATATGTATTGTTTTCACAATTACGAATGCAACTATTCTTTTCGCAAATTACTTATTAACAAAGTTATTTCAGATACGTGTTTTTCTTATTCTAGAAATGGTTGTCAAAAAGTTTTTTAAAACAAATTTAAATAACACTTATAACTACTAAAAAATAAACGTATAGTTTTGGAAATTGTTTGCATCAAAGTGATTTTTCAGTAAGAAAGTAATTGGATTCTACTATAGTATTGTGTTTTTAGCTAATGACATTCTAAGGACGTTTACTATAGGAATGGAATTAAACGCAATAATTAATTCACGAAAGTGTTTTGTTCTTCGATTGAATTTTTGTACCCAGTAAGATATGCTTTTATATCCGTCTTATTACTATTTTTTATTCATTCCACCGTATATTATACTAAATTACATTTCATCTTTTATTAGCAAAGATCGTACTGTCAAGAATATCAGTGACATATCTATATAACAGTTTAATAATAATATATATAAGCTTTGCAGACCTATGTCTACATATAATACATGACACGATACTATAATGACTTTTCTCTTTAATATCGTGGCTATTGGTAGCTATGTGTTATAAAAAATAATTTGCCAGCTATCAAAATACTTGTATATCATTGAATGAAATCTTAACATTGTATACCATTTTAACAGTTGCTATTGTACTCGATCAGGTTTATATGAAAAGCAACATTTTACAGGAAAAAATTTGATCTTTTTAGTTTTCTTCGTTCCAATAGTAGAGTCATTATTCTTAAAATGGTGTCTTGAAAAGCATTAAAATGTATTGTATAAATTAATATTATAAGTCATGCCTTACTTAGGCCTTAAATTTCTAGTGCTGTGCAATGTCTAAGACTGCGGCAAAATAACATTTTATTTACGTTGCACTCGCTTGATCGAGAGAAGGATGTAATCTGTCTGCAAGAGGTTTTACATATACCCATCCACCGTCTTTAGTTTCTTTAAACAACTGTTGAAAAAAAACAAGATTTTATATCATTATACAAAACATGAGAAAAAAATAAAATATAAAGTTTTTATAAACGCGTACCTTCGTTTGCCAATTAATACTATTTTCTTTTCTAAGACGCGCTTCGTCTCGTTGTTTTTGTTCAATTGTACATTTAGCTGCTGTAGCTTTTTCCATATCATTAATCCTTAATCCAACGGTTACATCCCGCCAAACTTTTCGCGATTCATGTTCTTCTTGTTCACATACTGGTTTTACTAATTTTCTTTGAGTTTGAAGTTCTTTTACATCCGCAAATGTTTCAATTCTCTAAAAAAAATTAACATTTATGATATTAAATAATTACAATTTTTATATGACACCTAAAATCGGCGATATACAAAGCAGTATACTAATTATGGCAATAATTTTTATACTTACTCCATCAGCCCATTTTGCTTCCATAGCACCGCTCCACTCTCCGGTTATAGTAAGAAATGGTTTCTTCTCTCCTGGTTGAGTAATCTGACATGTAATTCGGTTACGTTTACCACCGTAAAACGGTTTTGTTAAAAACTCTACTGTAGCATGGAAGCCAGTTTGTGTACAATGTATAACTGCAGTTCCTCCTAATTCTATCCATGGTACAGTAAGAATAGATCTACCATAACCATTAGGAAAAGTTAGAACGTATTCTTCTCCATGTTGTAATACATTTACCCAACCTTTCCCTACATTATGCACTCCTATACTTAATCCAAGAAATTTACTCTTTGTCCATACATGTGCTCCAAAACTAATTTTTTTTGCATAATGTTCAGCATAAAACGCACTTACTAGAATATAAATGATATTAAAAATTTCTTTAGAACGTAATCATTAACAGATTAGAAACTTACTTGGAGGGTGATGAGATACTTGTTCTGCGATAAACGAAAGTTGATTTTCTTTACACCAAGGTACGGGTCCTTCGACAACTACTTTTGAATCAATTGAACTATCTACACTATCAGTGGGAATATCCCAATGACATCTAAAAATTTCACCTAATATTGGATTATATGGTTTTTTAGCTACCCCTGATTTGCGACCTGCATGGAAACTACATAAGTACCAACGAACTACTTGAACCATTCTATCTTTTGGTGTGGTCATATCTGCTATGCTAGAATGTATAAAGTATTACAATAACATATGAAGAGTTTACATCATTTTTAATAATTATTTTAGACTATACCTTACAAACTGGTCTGGATGAGTAAAGTAATCTGCATACATTTCAAGAAGCGACCTGCGCTCTAAAATAAATGTAGGTAATGCTACTTTTGTCAAATCCATACCAATCTTCACTTGAGATAGAAGATGAGTTACAACAGATCCATGAGATTCCATAGAATCCACTGAAATGCAATAATAAACAAACAACATTTCATTTTATTTCTTAATAATTTCAAAATTTATTAGTATAATTGTTACTAACTTTCTGTTTCACTCTCCTCCTCGTATAGAGCTGTAATATAATACGATTCATTGACAATAACATTACTTAGTAGCTTATCGGGTAATTAATAAAATATTATCATTTTAAACTAGTTAACTATTTCTTTCTCTAGAAACTTGAATCGTTAAAACAAAATGTCACATATGTACCTACTTATTTATTTACAAGTATAAAGAAAACACGGATAAGTTATCAAGGATTCTATTAAACTTAGGATATTTTTATTTGTTAAGTATATTTCACCATGATTAAAAGACTTACTCTTTGAATCTGCACCCAGCATATTGTCTTTTTGTAAAATACCAGCTAATATCCATTCCTAAATACTTTCACTGCGCGAAATTGACTATACGCGACATAAAAGTTGTTTCCCAAGAAATGAAATACACAGAAAGGAAGAAAACATCAGAAATTGATAAAATGTCATTTTCTCTAATTTTGCCATACTATCAAACATTTAGGCTTGACTTTAACTAAAAATTTGGCGACTATTTTGCGACAACGTTACGTTAACGCGATAATTCACGTGTTGTGTAAGATGCTCACTAAAATCAATAAGTGAAGTTGCGGATAAGGTCGTCTGGTGCAAATCTGCATTATCGATACTAACAAGTGAATTTTGTTACATATTCACCTTCATTTGTTACAAATTTATGAATTGTTTTGTTAAAATTCTACTGACTTTCGCAACGATTTATTTGATATTATGAATTTCGTGATGCAGGTACATTTTAATATAAATATCCACTAATAATAATAACAATCATATTATAATTATGCGTCGTAAAATTTTAATCCACATTAATATGTTTCAATCTACTTTGATATATTTAAACATTTGCATACCCATTTTTTATTTTAACACTGTACAACTTTTCGTATATATTCTTTGTTTGATGTCATACTATTAAAAAATACCGCATACAAATATACAGTAAATAAAACATAATTCAGAAAATATTGTATATTCATTAGAAAATTTTAAACTTACCATCGTAATCAACTGATCCATCACCTTTTGTAGGTGGTAATGGAGGTTGCTTTCGATTTTCGATCGAACTGGCATCAACATGTGCCTGCGACCATTCGCCATCTCGTCGTCTACTAAAAGGTTTAATTATTATTATTATTATAAAATATCTTAAATATTTTATTCAGCCTCATGCTGAAGTTTTATTAAACTAATAAATACTTACACGGTGATATGATTTTGTATTGCAGGAGGCGATATCTCGTCTGCTGCATCATAGTAGTCCTCATCTTCGTCCGAAGACGAGTAAGAAAATTGCGGTACTGGAAGATCTCTATCTACAACAGCTTTAAAAATAAAATACATCGAAAATGTATATTTTAATAATATTTATCTACTGAAGTTTAATTTATACTTTAATACGCGTGAATGTGAAAAACATATTACCATTTGACAATGCAGGTATTCTTGGTTCTACATGCTCAGAACCTATTTCGATTCCAGTTTGTACCGATGCCTCTTCTTCGCTAGCAGCAACTGAAATTCACTGTATTAAACATTTCTGATTACAGATGCATTTTATTTACAACTTCCAAGTTATTACCATGAGATAAGGAAGACGAAACATGTATTGAGTCAGTGGGTCCCCTATATATACCATTTACAGGTATCGCTGTATTCTAAAAGTATTGTATTAGTTAAGCATGCTGTAAGTTATTCAGTTAAATGTGTTAAATTTAATTATAAAAATCAACGAAAAGAATGTCTTATTACTACATTAAATTTTCACCTTTGCAATTTGCAATTGAACAATTGTATGCTTAACACAATTAAGCATTGCATTGGCTTGTGTTAAAACCGCAGCATACTTTTGCTGCTTCTCTTCATCTTCTTCAGCAGTGGTTCTCTGTTTTGTTTCAATTAATTTTATTTGTTCAATTAATAATTGAAGATAAGCATCGGCTTCGGCTACTTTGCGATCAAAATCTTGCTTAGGTGGTGATTTTTTAGGATCCCATCTCTAAAATAACATTAAGTATCAGAAAAGAAAAACTTCTTTATGTTACACATAGTACATAAATAAGATATAAATCGTACAGCATGCGAATGACGTAATATAGTATCTTCCAATGCACGAATCCAACGTTCTCGTTCCTCTGCATTTCGTGTTTGAAAATGAAATGTTTTAGGATCATCTTTATACGATGAGGTGGTAATTGTAAATGTGCTGTCATCTTCATCATCTATACCGATAATAGCACCTCTTAAACGGACGCATCCTCTACGTGCTCCTCTCATCATTTTTTCCTTACTCTGAAATATATTTACAACAATGTTCAATTTTGTTTAACAACATCAATTCATGATATTATTTATTTAAAATAAATTTTGTCTTTATAGTGTTTTGTAAATATGAAAAGTAATTTTATATATTATTAAATCAATAAGTAATTGTAAAATTCGAACCAATAGCTATTAAAATATACATTTTATAGTATGAAAATATTTATACTGATACTAGATTCTTCTATCAAACATAGTTTATCTTTATCGCGTAAGTCTGATAAGTAATTCCTTTGTACGAAATTTGATGACTTGAAATTCAGAAATCAGCTGATTATGACAGATACACAAACTGAACTTTCAGAAATAAAAATAAATGCTAAAGTATTCAATTGACGAACAATCAATCAATCGTATAGAAATGGGATTTAGCGGATAGGAATTTTTATTTGGATATTAGTTGGATTTTTTAATAGAGAAATAGGGTGTAACCTGTTTATGATACAACGAGTAAACATCAAGCACAACGATCAGAGTATTAAAAAAATCTCACCGTGTAATATGACAAAAGCCCGGCATTATCATCTAAAACGAACCATCGATATTGCCATCCGTTAACGACATTTGTCCATTTGCTAAGTGAACCTTCCATCGTCGACATTGTTATTTGTTGTTCACTGTTCGAACGTACAAATATACATGCATATGTATAATGTGCATGTGCAATACGTGTTTCTGATCGAAAGTATAGATAGGTAACTCTGTAAGAAGATTAACATAAGACGAATTTTCAAACAGTACATCCCAGGGTATACCACACTTAAATCCCATCAATTTATCGATGGTACGTAATCCAAATTTGAATTTATCATCGTAGATCTTTGGTAAAAATGATATTGCTCGAAAGAATCGTTTGAACGGCCTGCTATCCTTCTAGTTACTTCTGGCAGTTTACTATTATGAAAGATTCCGTTACGAAAATAATATAATAGTTAAATACAGTGTAGAATATTGAGAGTTGCGTGGGAATGGTTAAGAGTACGTTAATGCAATGATTAATTTTTTATGTAGATTGAACCTAATCCGTATAATCTCTAATAAGTAGATAAAATATTTTCGATTCGGATAAACAATCGAGAAAGAAAAAAAACCATCACAGATCCGATTTAGTCGCTCGAAAACGTTCAGGCGAGTATTATCTGTGCCCAGTCAGCTGATTAATTGTTTTTTCACTAAAAGCTGACGCATGGCAAGTATGTATGTAGCATGCACATCGAATGATTGTGTATCAATGAGAGAAAGAACCGTGGCAAATAAATTCGGAGGATCTGTAAATGTGTTTGATACGTGTTTTGTAAATATGCATGGCGTCCTATAATTCCTCGCATACATATGTGTATATGTGTATATACATATGCATTCAAAGAGTTATTTTTCATCAAGTTTCTTTGCATAACTTACAAAAGAAGTATGACATTCTAAACTAAAGAAAATACAGTGGTGAAATAAATTTTGTTAAAAACTAAACAGGATACTATGTTATTCTAACTAACATTGTGCATATGTGATTTAAAATATCATTTAATTTAATGGCATACAAGTTTGAATAGTGAACTAGCAAATTCTGATTGAAAAATACAAAAGTAATTACACAGTAAATCGTAATTGTTTTATTGTATTGACGTAACGCATAAGGCCGTGTTTATAATGGAGTAATATAATTAAAAAGGCATCAAGACGGATGAAAACAATTTTTACGAAATAATTTCAGTTACACAGTTTTATTTGCATGATATAATATGGCATGTGATAAAAGCACAAAATGTATTTTAAACAGTTTCTTATATGGGTTTCTTGTCACAGATTCTTGTTGCATATCTCTCTTCTTATTGTAAATTCAAAAATATTTAAAGTTATTCAATTTGTTTTATCATTTGTTATTTCATTATAAATATGATCTAAGTAATTTTACAATACAATAAATCTATGTATTAAAATGTACTTTAATGTGTCTGTAATTCAACAGAAAAAAGTAAACATGGAGGAGAAGCATGGTTCAGGTGTGTTGGAAGATGAGGAACTAGAGGAATCTGAAAATATAATAATAAATGAAGTTGACGGTTTACCAAATTTGCATCCTAATTATCAACAACTAGAACTAGAATTTGATGTAGGAAAAAGTCATAGTGATTCAAATATGAGATCTATAGAAGATTTGGTACACGATGAAGATTTACCAATGTCTGTTATTGTAACCAATGTAGATCCCCGAGTTTTTAAATGTGACGAGTTAAAGGTAATACATGTAACAAAGTACATCGCAACGTGTATATATTTGCTTAAAAACTTTTCTTTACCTTGTAGCATGAAATAGAAGATCTTTTTAAGCAGTTTGGGGAAGATGCTACATTTCAATATTTTAGATCATTTAGAAGAATGAGAGTAAACTATAGTTCACCAAATGCAGCTGCAAATGCAAGGATACAGCTACACCAAACTCACTTTGGTGAGACCGATATCAATTGTTATTTCGCACAACCTGTTACGCCAATAGGTTTGTAAAAATATATTTTATATTAGTTGTATTATATATTAATGATAAATATGATGTACTTTACAGACATGGAAGACCAACACCTCCAACCGCCAGCACTTACTAAACAGTTCCTAATTTCACCACCTGCTTCGCCACCTATCGGCTGGGAACCTAGAGAAGAAAGCGAACCTTTAGTTAATCATGATTTATTAGCAGCTATAGCAAACTTATCCGCAGGTTCTAATGTTTAAATAATTTATTTCATTGTTCTTGTAGAAACAATCAATAACACAATTAATCTTTCAGGAGGTAGCCATGAATTACATCCTGGAGGTTCAGGACAGCCAGGCATAGTTGTTCATGTTTGTGAAACGGCGAATCCTATGAAAACTGTCCCGCGTATTCAACATACACGTTGTCCAGAACATTCGTAAGCAGCTCCGCTAGTAATGTTGTCCATTCTATGACAATGACTTATATATCCATCCAAGAAGCAATTAGACGCATTACAGACAATGATGGCATTCAACACTTAAAAGTTTTAATTGCTATATTGCAAAATTGATATTTCTTGTGGCAATAGTGTCATAGGAAATGATTTGTAAATGTTTTTTGCTCAGGCCAATACATGTGAGTATTTTACAAAAATTATATTATATTATATTGTAAGTAGAAGATAAAATTTACTCTAACGCTTTGTCAAAAAAATTGTCTCCATTTTCAGATAAATATTATTTTTTGCTAATATTGCAAACAAAAATATATCATTAAAAACGTGATATAATGAAATAGCTTAAAAATCATCGAATAATTACTAACGTACAAATAAACCATTAGTAAGAAATAGTACACACATTATTTCCAAATAACTTTACGATCGTTCTTAAACTTCTTTTTCTTCGAAAATATAAATTAAGGTACTAGAAGCTTATTTGCCATCGTAAAATTTAATAAAATTAACGTTAATATGTCAAGAGTAAAAAGTATTAAAATTAGCGATATCGAAGTTGTACCTTGAATTATCGATGTTGTACTTTCACAAAAGGTACATCAAATTTAAGTCTTTAGAAAATGTCAATTTACTTATTTCGAAATTTTTAAACAAATTAGTTTAAAGGGGTATAAAATGGACGTGTGTGCAATGAGTTTAATGAGGGCAATTATAGACATTGATGTATATTTAATGTACATACATGTGATTGTGAGTGTATATCATGTGAACGCATGAAAATTGGTGTTACCAATGCTCTTCTTTATTAGTTTTTAATTAATCTATAATAAAATTGAAGCGATAAATAGTTTTTCCTCCAAAGAATGTTAAAAATTTTGAACTATGAATAATAGATAAATGAATAACAAATAGCGTTACGTCATTTGGAAAACAACTCAATGCAATGAAAAATATACATATTACTTGCGATATGTCGGCGTTACAGTTTCATTACAATAGTAATGCATATGTATATGTATATGTATATGTAAATGTAAATGTATATAATGTTCCCCTCATATAAAATATATTTCATGTTGGTGTAAGATTTAATCTAATATGAAGCTGTTGAAAATTTATAACTATGTTATAGCGAATTACTTTTGTGTGAATAAATACGTTACCAGAAATTTGTCTTTTGAAAAGTGAATCTTATGCACACACGACAAGAAAACTTCAGTTCGTTTTGTTACATGATTTGGTTTGAATTATTCTGCATTGAATAAATAGTTTAAGAAATAGTGTTTCATTTTTATCTCGAAAGATTTGTTTATTTTAATAAGTAACTTTTCAGGAAGAACATAAGCAGCAATAAGATATTTCAGAAAAATATAAAAGATTTTGTTTTTTTAATTCAGAGATTGTTTACTTTTACACTTGTCATTAGCTTATTGAAATAATATAAAAGCTTTATACACATAGACATTATTAGTAGTGTTAAGTCATCATTTCATGGTTCATGACGCGATCGTGTAAAATTCAGCACAAGGATTATACATTACATTATTATTCTAATAAAATGAATCCGTATTTCTTTAATGTCACATTTACATGTGCTGGTATAGGCCATTTATTGTATGTTTTCTCCAAATGTACTTTCGTTTAATTTAAGTTTTTGCAGACGAAAGTACACATTTATGTTGGACTTAAAAATGACACAATATAAAATAGAATGGAAATAATGTTGTGTAAAGAAATTTCTGTAATTGGTATTACTGTTACAAATGAGATAAATCGACGAAAATTAACTACGCTTGAAAAATATGTACACATACAGTAAATAAATACGCTGACGCGTTTACATCATTTATGTTTCGATATATTATGTTGCGTAATGTACGTGTAGTAGGTGAACAAGTATAGCGAGGTTCTTGAATGGTCTGTTAAGCAATACCCTTGCTGGCTACATGCTGCCAAATTTTTGTTTTTTTCTCTGTTAAGAAGCTTTATTTTCTCATACTTTCAAGAAAAAGGTTTTCATTAAAAAATAACATGATAATACCTTCTTGGAGCATAAAAATCTTTAAAGTGCCTAGCGTTTAAAACGAATCAGTTCAAACCTGTCCTTGAACTATTGGCATCCTACACTCAATGGCACTATTATCTTCACTGCAAAATTTTTGACATCGCTAAATTTATATCACCTACTATACATACTATGTACATGCATATACGTATATGAACATTCTCGCCCAAGATTAAAAATGTCTCTGACAATTTTACTTAAAATCATGTGGAATCTTCTTTAAGAGTTTGTAAGTATTTTGGGCATCTCTTATTTCTAGCAGTAGAGTAAAATTATTGAATTCAAAAATCATGAAACTATTTGCTACTAATGGAATTCAATGTCGAAGGTAATTCAATTATTTTTAAAGTATAAATTATCGATGTCCGATCATACGAAATTAAAGATTCTTAGAAAAGCATATTTTTACACAAGCATCGTAAACTAGACTAGTGTTTTTTTTTTTTTAAATTGATAGTAAATTCTATCATTTGGTACGTCGTTCAAAATTCTGAAACTATAACATTTTTTACTTAACGATGTACATAGTTGTAATCAAACACGATATCTTATTTAATTATAATTTAAGAACGATATGACTTTGTATGTCAGTAGTAATTTTTCACTTCAGAGATGTGTCTTTGTGAATGTATCACAAAAACATTAAATATCTTTCAATTACATTGTGAATCTTTTGAGCATATACTTTCATACACAAAAACTGAATTTTTATAAAAATATAATATTAATCATAAGAATTTGAACAATCTTGTACGTATGTATAATCCCAATTTATGCTATGTATACAAAAGTGTTAATATCGTCGTCGTGTCTACGAATATATTTATTTTCAATGAGCCATTCAATTTGTTCTTTCACCATTTTTTTACTTGGTAAAAACATGTTCTTCAGTATATCGACTAATTCGGTTTGCAACTGAGCATTAGTAGTCTTCATACGCATCTTTAGAATCGTAATGATGGCTTCCTGTTAAAAAAAAAATAATATTTTATCTGCGAGTCTTGTTTAATAAGAAATACATTATTTATTTGGAATTAAACATACCTGAACCCTGAATATTCTAAGTTGTACAATGGATTGGTTATCTTCTTCTTTACTTCGTTCAGTTGATAATTGAAGTCTTCCTATCAAATTAATTTTACCGCGTTTTTGTAATTTCCCATTTTTTCTGCAAATCAAAGACAAAGATAAATGATATATTTTTCAATACCAAATTTATCAAATATAATACTAACACAATGGCAAATTCTTGGTTCACCCAGAACCTTGTATCATTTGCAAAATCTTTGGGATTGTGTGCATGTGGTTCCACAAATAGAAGCTGACGCTTGAGTTTTGGGAAAGCACATAAGGACCATAATGTTCGTCTCAGCTCGGGATCAGGCAGTTCTGTAGCCAATCGTAAATTTTCGTAAGATATTTTTTCAAACGGTCGCTGATTCCAAGCAAATAAAACTGCCATTTGAAAAGTTGTTACATCCACATCAAAACGTCCCACTTGGTTGGAAAAAGTAATCTGGAACACCATCCAAATTGGTTGCAAGGTGAAGCTGAAAATTAGAACCGAGATATTGAATTTTTTGAAAAGTTCTATTCTATACCCTTGTTTACTGCATCAGAAAAATTTATCTTGTTCTGTTTTGATAAATATGTTCAATTAAAATTACATCGATATTTCTATTACTCTTTAAAAAAACCTCTTTTAATCCACAAAAGTTCTTCATAAACGTAAAAACATCTGTCCTAATATTTTCTGACAAGGCATTTTCGTTCTTACCGTGCCATTGGACATGTGATGATACCACAGTAATTTTCTTCCGCTATGTTTTTTCTTATAAAATTCCTCTATTTCAGGAATATAATCTTCTAACTGTAACGGTAAACTTACAGTGACACGTTCACTGCCTCTGGCCCATGCACCTGCATTTAATATCTACAGAAGATTGTATTTGCTCAATTATGTATTTCATAATGCATATACCATAATATTCTGTCCATTTCAACTAGTACCTTAATATTTATACTGTCTGCAGTAGCAGCTCTACATTGTTCTTTGAATTGTTGATTAAGATCTTGCGATACTTTAATATCTTGAAACATTCGAGCTAATTTATTAAAATAATCAGCAGGCATTCCAACTTCACGAAGCCATTCTACCATATTCTCTTCTTTTTCAGAATCTGCAGATGTGTCTAATATTAAGCGCCGTGTTAAATGAGCTTTATGGTAGCGCATAAATACGTCTTTATTCTGAACATATTTTAACACTAACAACTAAAAAGAAACCAATAAAAGATGAATACATATGAAATAACGGTAGATGTTCCAAATCAATGAAATATACATAATTAAAAAATAAATACGTACTACATCTCTCAATTTGCTTTCAATTTCATCAGATGTTAATTTTTTACTTAATGGTGTTTTCCTAAGTAGCATATCACAGTAGTTAGCAAGAAGTTCTGGACACTTTGATTCTGGCTGCCCATTATTATTGTTATTAGGTTTATTATTTAAAATCGTTGTACCAATACCAGAACTTTGACGGGCTGGTAATTCTAGCCTGAATACTGTTGCATCATTTACAACGAGTTTGTAAGCTTTATCTCGAGCAGTTAAGAAGCGAGGATCATCGTCAAATGCTTCTTGGACAAGGGTTGAAAATCGACGAAAAAGGTCTAATAATCTTTCAACATATTTTTCAGAATCCTGAGTTATAACATCTACAGCTGCCATCATATCAGCCAAACCTGCGCTCGCTATATGTTCTTCTAAATTTCTTAACATTGGACCAACACCTTCGGGTACTCTATCCATTAGCTTCAGCATCAGCCTAAGTTCTGTAATTATAATATATCAAATATATTACTGTGGGAATATAATTAAAATACAATTACAGTAAATTAAAATATACTCACGATCTGTTTGATGATGTTGAATCATTCTTGGGCATTCTGCTAATATAGCTGGCTTAAAAGTTGCTACTAACACACGTACACAACAATCGGTTAAAAGCTGTACACTCGCACTGTTTGGTTCTAAATATTTTTGTGCACGAAGTTCCTCTTCTCTTAACTTTGCTTCCGCGTAACGCATATAATTCTCTACACCATGTAATGACAATTGATCCGGTGCTTTAACCCAATAAAACGCTTCTGTTGCTTCTATGTATGCAGCTTCAAAATTTTCTCTATAGATTTGAAGCTGATCCGTTGTATTTGAACATAAATTTACTGCAAATTGTAATACAATTCTGAATATATAATAAGATTTACAGTGATGCCTCATATATTAATAGTAGTATAATATATCTCACGTTTAGAATATTTAGAATATAGAATAGAATATACTTTTCATACTTAATGTACTTTAGAATATATTTTATACATTACTAAAGAATTCATTACCATAAGATTCCCTAACGCCAATAACAAGCTGTGAATCGAATGCTTCCCCATTTCGTTCTGCACGAATAAGTCGCATAGCTGAATCCTGAAGTTTTTGTTTTATTTCTCCAAATATACTTTGATTCCAGCTATCCAACATCAACTATAATAAATAGAAATTATTATTAACTTATATATCGAAACATGTACAAATATAAATTTTACCTTTCTGACAATGTCATCTGGTTGATTTCTTTTCTGAGCACTAGAAGTTGTTTTCCCAGCAAGATATGATTCCAATTGTCTAAAAGGTGTTGGTAAATAAATACACTGAGTAAAAAATTTTCTCCATTCTGCTATATAAGCTTTTAACAAAGCTTGTTCTTCTTGATGCGCTAAAACCCTCTATAAAATGTATAAAACAATAATTTCTTTTTTTCTATATTAAAAAATATATATACGTTGTATATCCTAAAATTATATTATGTACCTGCTGAGCTTGTTTTATAAAATCCATTATGTCTTCTTTGAGTGCATCCCTTAACTTGGACGGGCCTTTTTCATCCCATACACATACCAAATGAACAGAATAAAATAAATCTTGCCATTCTGCTTGAGTTACAGGTTCTTGTTTCAGTAGTTTTAAAATAATTGGACGCATACATGGCCATTTGTCTTCGAATGTAAATTGACTCTTATCCTAAACATGCAGTTTTGTCAAAGAAAATAAATTAAACGTTAAATATATTTATTGCATAAATAAATGTAGTATCTCTGATGAATTTTAAAATGTTCACTATAATATTTGTTATTACATTATCATTGTACGCTTATAATAGAAATACATAGATCATAAAAAAATAATGCTTTTAGGTAAGGTATTATTGACTAGCAGTCTGTAATTTAATTTAGAAAGAAAAACATATATTAGGAAGAATTCATATCTAATTGTTAAAGAAGATAACGATTTATATTAATCGTTCACGAATTGTAATAACAATAACATCATGTAAATAGTTTTAAGTATGTTTAATAAAAAATTGTATATTTATTTCTAATGATAAATTTTAAAACGTTCTTTGACAATTCAAACATTGCATAGGTTATCAAAATTTGCATATTACCATTGAGCATAGAAGAATGCAACAGAATGCATTAAAAATTATAAAGATTATTTTAGCACCTGTGTATTGCTATCAATCGAGTTTAATTAGAAATTTCGTTATTTAATGACAACTAACCTTTAACATCGTCGCCATCACAAATTTTTGACATGTCCTATACCACAATGCAACTACGCCAATGAGTGTATGCATTCATACATGCTGTGAACCGATTAGTCGTAAAGTTTATACGAAATTCTAACGTTTTCGATTAACATTTTCATAGTTTTCTTACTATTAAAATGTATTTATTTTCGTTAAACATTTACACTTTATAAATATATATATTCATGTTTTAAGAATAGTATTTATACGATAAACTTTTACTCTCTTTGTTTGAAATTACAATTTTCAACATATACCATTGAGATAGTGATTTAAAATTAATAATAAAGAATCGTTTTAGCACTATTAATAGTATTTTATTTAACAATGAGATTTTTATATTTTTCGTATTAACAATTCATTTCCCGATTCTATAGTATTTTATATGTATAGTATAATTTATTAAACCGAACTATTTTGCATAAAAGTATTGAAACATTATAATAAGTCTGACTGTTTGTTTTTAAAAATATCAACTTTTTTATTACGAAAAGACAAGGCAGCAAAAGGGAAAAAATACTAAGTATAGTTGTTCGCATTGTATTAATTAATAAATAGCGTGGTTGGGTTTTTTTAAATATCTAACTATTTTGTATAATGTTAGTTATTGCTAAGATGTTATTTATAGTTGGTAGCAAGTACTGTAAGTACACGTGGAATCAAATTTAAATCTGGTCAACGACAAAAAGAGGGGAGCAAAACATCTGTTTACATTATTACGTGACATTACGTAGAAGTGAAATTATTTTAACACTCTTCCTGGGCTTAGTAAGTTAAATAAATATTGTTAATATGCAAGTAAATATTTATTAAACGGAAAGAAAGTGAATAAAAAATTATTTCATACAGTAAAAAATTAAGAATCTGTTAAAATATTAAACACCATATGTTGGTAAATATTTTTTTATCTTATATTCGTCAACATTTGCTAGTTTTTCTATTTCTTTACAAATCATTTCGTGGAATGTTACACAGTCGAGAATTTCATGCGATTGCTATAAATATAACAATGGTTTAAAGAAAGATATATTTTCATCATATACACCTGTTTGTGATAATTTGTTGCATATTGTATAGTGATTAATAGTGACGTCCTGATCGGACGTGAAGTCCCCTTTCCCACGAAGATACGTATTACGATAGATAGTGATCACGCATGTAAGCTCAATAGGAGTGTTCATGAACGATTCTTGTAGCCTACGTTGAGATCAAAGTCTCCAGTAGTCATCAACGTGTACATACCTTACGTGCGTATCCGCGACGCACGTATTATCGCGTTGAGAAGACGATATCGTTTATTTATTCGTAGTGAAGCATTTCAGATTTTTACAGTATCGTTATGTACATTTAACGAAATAGCAAAAATTCCATATTTGCGTAAACATATGGATTTATGTTCACTACCTAACGGAGAAGCGTTGATCGATAGACGACGCATTAAAAATGTCAATGACATTTACTTTCGGCAGGAAGATTTACGTTTCTGGTGGCACGTAGTCTGGTCGATGTCGTCAAAAGTGGGAAACGTGTTGTATCATCGCGGTACCTCGCGATAATATTTATCGTCGAATATAAACTTGATCGAGAGACATTCCAGCGAGTTAAATTACGAAAAGCAAACTCAGCGCAACCATGTTTACCGGTTTGATAATGTTTACGGTGCTTTTACCTTCTATTGTACATGGCAATTATTTCGGATCGAACAATAAAAAAGACGACCAGTGTTTTTGCAAGGTATTTCTTTCTTCTTCGTTATTCATATTTTCTCGATCTGTTAGATTTTTATCCGTTCATAATAATTTGGTATAATTTTATACGAAAATTATTATCGACATTGATATATTTATAATAAGTCTATGTGAATTTATATGATTTATATAAAAAATCAACATTTTTAGTTAAAAGGATCAATCGACGACTGCAGCTGCAATGTAGATACAGTGGATTATTTCAATAATATGAAAATTTATCCAAGAATTCAGAGTATTCTAGTCAGAGATTATTTTCGTTTTTATAAAGTAAATTTAAAACAAGAATGTCCCTTTTGGACAGACGATAGCAAATGTGCTATGCGATATTGTCACGTACAACCGTGTCAAGATGTAAGTTCTTAAAGAATTAATATTAATTATCGTGTAAAAACATTATTAAGTACCTTTTTTTGTTTTATAGGAAGACATTCCAGAAGGTTTAAAAGGAGATACGCTGCGAAATATTCACTTTAATGAAAGTCCTGTGGATAAGTATAAAGCCAAAGGACAGTTTGATGATTGTCTACGCAGTGTTGAAGATCATAATAGAGAACTTGGTTACTTGAATACAACAATTAGGTAAAAGTACATTTATAGATATTCGTATACATTAAATGTAAGCACTCAAAATTTATTTTGATATTTCTTTATTTAGTTCAGAGAATTACAAAGATTTTAAATTGTGGAAACAATATGATGATGCTCAGGATAATTTTTGTGTGAAAGAATCTAGCCCCGGAGAATATGTGGATCTGTTGCTTAATCCTGAAAGATACACAGGCTATAAGGGACCTAGTGCGCACAGAATATGGAATAGTATTTATATGGAAAATTGTTTTAGGTATGTATTTGCTTTGTAATTTAATTTCAAATTATTATTTGATGTTTCTACAACAAAATACGACGGTATAATAAATTTTACATTATACGTTATACATCTAATTTTAGACCTGAAAATTCACCTCATAATTTTATTCAATCTTCGAAAATGAATGGTATGTTTTTAAAATGTAGTATCACCTTAATTATATAATTTAGCTTAAAAGTTTAATAGAAATATATTATCTTAGGAATGTGCTTGGAAAAGAGAGTTTTCTTTCGGGTTATATCAGGCCTCCATGCTAGTATCAATATTCATTTATGTTCAAAATATTTACTATCGCCAAAAGATAGTTTAGAAATACTACCTTCTGGTCATTGGGGCCCTAATGTAAAAGAATTTCAAAAGAGGTTTTCACCAGATAGAACAGGAGGTGAAGGTCCAAATTGGTTGAAAAATTTATACTTTATTTATTTACTTGAATTAAGAGCTTTAACTAAAGCTGCACCATACTTGGAGAGGGAAGAGTATTATACTGGTAACAGTGTACAGGATCAAGATACTCGTCTGGCAATAAATGATATGTTAAGTGTTGTCAAGTAAGTTCAATTACATATACGTATAAATATGTTATATTTAATTTAAATAATTTTTCATTTTAACTCGTACTTTATCTAGGTCGTTTCCGGAACATTTTAATGAAAGTGTCATGTTTGCTGGCGGAGCTGAGGCTCAGTTGTTAAAAGAACAATTTAGGCAACATTTTAGAAATATTTCTCGTATTATGGATTGTGTAGGATGCGACAAATGCAAACTTTGGGGAAAACTTCAAATACATGGGTTGGGCACAGCATTAAAAATTTTATTCTCAGGAAAGTTCGATAAATGGCAACCAACATTACATAACTTTAATAAGAAACTATTCTTTTTGGAAAGAAGCGAAATTGTTGCTCTTATAAATGCCATTGGAAGGTAAGAATTATTCTTAAAAATAATTATATATAAATTTTTAATGTAATTTATGAAACATATAATAATTTAATCTTACAGGTTATCAGAAAGTATCTTTGAATTGGATAGATTTAGACACATGATTAGATAACAAAATATTGACTAGTAATTACATGATAAAGTACTACAGCAAAACACATCACACAAATTAACTTACATCATTTTTACTTATATAGATTTGTTAAATAACTGGTTCGTATTGGTTACATAATATTTTTAAAACTTAAATCGTTTATTAAAATAGGTATAAAGTCGCAATAAAAATTGTTATGATTTATATGTAACACGTGTTACATTCTCTATTATAAGAATTAGTTTAATATTATTAAAGTAAGAGAGATTCATAAGATTTCACAAGATTGTTCTGTATTAAAATTTTATTGCGATTTTAATAATAACTTCGACTCCATCTGTGATAAACAGTTTGTTTATGAAAAAGATTTTAATATTAATTTTGAAAATAGAATAATTTCAGTTTTATAAAAGTTTTACTATAATTCATCTACTTAATGAAATTCTTACATATACACCAGTGTTACTTTAGTAAATATGTTAAATTTGGGAAATTGTAGCTTGTCGTTTCGAATGTCAACTTTCCTTTCGATGAAAAAACATTTTACTGACATTCTACTCTATACATAAAATTCAACATCATTTGGTAATATTTTAAAGAAAATTATTTATAATGTGTTTACTCAACAAAACCTTATGTGTTATAAAAATTACTCAGGGTCAACCAGTTTTGTATGATAATGAACATGTGTGCATACTTTTATGAAAAATCTTATATTCCACATTTTTATATTATTGCTACAGTGGACGCAACGTAAAGTACTGTATTATTTTCCGATAAATTTACACACACAAAAAAAAAACGCCAGTGTATCATATTTCTATATACTATTTCATAATAATTTATAAAATATTTAATACTATTGTCTATACGCGTAATCTTAATTTATTGTCAAGTCGCCAAATTGTACTATTTAGAGATTATAAAATATCCATGCTTATTTTAGTTTTCCATTAAATATGTAGAGGCATATTTAAATAATAAAAGAATTTCTTTATAAGTGTAAATGCATATTTACAAATAAATAAGAGCACATTAATTCAAGCGTTCAATTTACTCGGAATTTTGTACAGTTTATACAATACGATTAGATAGATTAAAACCCCTCATTGGAGATCAATTAAACTTTCTGATATCGCTTGTTATTCTTTAAATCAACATTCCATAACATGGGACGATAATGTCTCTCTGAGAGGGCGTTAAAGTGATTACTAGATTAGATAGATACTTTATGGAGGCGTTAACACATCGTCAGTGCAAGTATACGAACACTAATTCCTTCTACGTAATGATCCCGTTAATGATCCCATTAGTTATTTCTATCTATGACGTCAGTTGCCTAGGATTGAGGTCAAACAATAGTTCTGCTATGGCAAATTATGATTATGTCCGAAATATGTCCAGTTGGACGTGTATGCTCTACATAGTGTCGTAATTAATTTTGTAAATGCCGCCGTCAGGCAGGTGCTGGCTGCGTGTAGGGACTGCGGTCTTTCCTCTCACTCTAGCTGCGAAAGTGGGGGAAGCGGCCATGTTGCGCCGGCGTAAAGCCGCGTGGCCGGCCGGCATGGCGAGTCAGTCTTTGTTCAGCTCTCATAGCGTACAGACGTGTCCACGCGACCCAGTGGTTTTTCCAATAAACAGTTCCTTTTTTTTTCCATTTTCCTGAGTCCCGTTCCTGGAGCCTGGAGATACGTGGGTGAGAAAGTAGCGGATTCAAAGCTCTTCGGCAAGAAGTCGCGAGACAGGAGTCTGACGCGCCGCTTGCGAGAGATTTGCGAGCAGTAAACGAATAAAATGTAATTTTCTACCACAGTAGTTAAGGTAGAAATGATTTAGATACTATACTTTTGTAGGTATTATAAGGAAAAAATTTTCATTTAATGTTTGTATTTATTTATTTTCACCAATCGAATAGTAATAGAAAAGTACAGAAATAATTTTTATACACAAACGAAAAAAGTACGTGTAATTGTATTTATGGACTATTTAACTGTTGAATGTTAAACAGCGTGACTGTGTTCGTTGGGTTATGTGCCAAAAATGCTAGGATACACAGTCGCGTTTCTCGTTTTCCCAACGATTGCCAACAAGCGCTGCGGTTCTCTTTTCTTATCTTATTATTCGACGTTTTTACTTAGTATTTGAAGATAGCTGATGTAATATGGTTGTACAGTTTAATTTATTCCCTATTTTTCGTACTATTAAAAGTAGGCCTATTGTGGCGCTTGTTTGGCACTTGCAACATCATTCTTTTCTAACCTTCAAGCTGTTAACATTGTTTTGAGTATGCAATACACTGTAGTCAAAAGATACAGTATGTATACAGTATTTCTATAAGTGCTAAAAAATACTTAAATAGGATTAATATAGACTTCAATATATTTATAATTGACATATGTTGTTTTGTTCATTGTACAAAGCATGTGAAATCCTGAAATTAATATGTAATAGATATAGTAGAATGTATCTTATGAAGAATGTTTCACTTATTGTATTAGATGGACTCGATCATGTTTTGTATCTTAATTGAAATGTATTCGTACTTTTCGCAAAGGTATATTTCGACCAATCAAGCAAATAGTCGTTTTAACCTATTCCTCCAGAAAAGTTCTGCTCGTTTAGTATAAATACATTGAGCAGACCATAGAGCGTTCAGACAAGTTTGATTTCAGAATTTGCAATTAATCAACAAATATGTATGTCGTTTAAATTTTGCTAGAGTGAGGGAAGGGCAAGCATTCACTCATTTGCTTAAATTTGTAAGTAAATTTTTCTGGAGCGAGGGTTAAAACGATATATTTATTTGTTTTATCTAACCGCACCACCTTAATATCACTTTATATTAAATATTTGTTCCTTTGTTAACATTCCAATGAATAATTAAGCAACACGTATTAATCATATTTCTTTTTAACAATAAACAAACACAAAAGGCCAAATAATAATAGAGATTATGTTCAAGCTTAACTATTTGTGTAAACTTTTACGGAATGTTTTTAAAATATATATTACTGTATCTTCATACACGGAAGATATTATCACTGTCCATTATTAGATTTGATTGAATTTTTGTAATTACGTTATTAGAGAATCTATACGTACAAGGAAAACAGATGCATAAGATCTTAAATTTAATTTTGGCATCATGAAAATTCATATAACGTTCTTGCTATAAATAATGCAGCTTTATAATAGACAAGAGTAATTCTAATGAAACTCAAAATTGTCTTATATTTTAAGGTTAAATACCATCCCCAGGAACTGTTCATAGTGAATTGTAATGACACCATCCAGGTCTGTGTCTAACTGTCTAAAAGCAGCAGTCAGTGTCTGAAAAATAAAACAGGATATAAGTTTTATTAAATATAAAATATAAATTTTATTTTGCAACGTATATAATGTAATTTTATACTTACATATAAAACTATACAACATTGTATGAAATCATCAAAGTATATAGTTCCACGGCCGGCTCGATCATATTTACGTATGAGAGTGTCTATAATTTGGTCTGATAGTCGATATCCAAAATTTGTAAGCGCTGTTTTTAATTCATTTCTATCTATATTCCCACTGTTGTCGCGATCAAACGATCGGAAACAATTTTGCCAATCAGTTACGTATTTCCATAGAGCTCCAAACTCTTCAAAACTAACTGTTCCTTTTTGATTTTGATCAAACATACCTGGAGAAGCAGGATCATTTTTGTCAATGTCAAATATACCTGCACCAATAAAATGACCCAAACATGTATTAACAATAATAAAGGACCATGCAAATTCGCTCGGAAAAAAAATATATATGTATATATGTGCATATGTGTCTGTGTTTATAATTTTATATCATTAAGTATATTACTTCATATTTTAACATTATAGATTTGTCAAGATTTGAATTAATTTGCATAGTCATTTGGAAACATAAACCAAAAAAAATATTTACCAATCATTAAACGAACAGTTTCTGGATTAAATGGTGTCCAGGTTCCATTTGAAAGTGCCTGCTGCAATTCGTCTGCAGTGATTGCACCGGATCTGTCTTTGTCCACTCTGTATTAACAATTTACAGAATATTATATACAAAAGACCAAGTACATTATCATATTTATAAAATGTTAATTTTCTTACAAAATAATTTTTAGTATTTTAAAATTAATTTTTTGTGAATTTTCATTTACTTAAAAGAAAAAATAATATTTTTAACATCGTTAGTTTTTTTTTAACTTTTTACTTTATGAAGCTGATCGGTTTAATTTTTGCAAAATGCAATTAACACCAGACCATATAGGTAATTGAATATGATGTACGTAAAATGATAACTTTTATGTGTACATACGAAATCGGGCGAATTAATGAATAAAATTGTAACAAATTTTGAATTACCTTTGAAAAACATCCCAAAGAAATTCACGACTAGGCATAGGCGATACAAATGACATGTTTTGATCAACTTTTGTCGTCACAAAATATAAAATCAATAGTGATTATGCTAATTGTATTCCTTAATGGTATTTTGCAACTGATTATAATGAATGAAGCACTACCTGGTATAAGTAATTTGCAAAAATGTGCAAAATTGCAAGCAACGTCATACAACGTTAGAAATACTAACCGACTCTGACGTGTTACTAAATGCATACATATATCTAATAGACAGGCCCTGTCTCGCTGCTGATTGGTGCGGGCCTGCTACTGGTTCGGTGAAGTTCAAGGGTTACACGCACGAATGCAGGTTCGGGAGTTTAAACAAAGTGAACAAAGAATTTATTCTGCCGGTTATATCGACTTTGAAGACTGCAGTAAATATATTTCTGAAGAAACAATCATGTTCTATTGTTACTTATTACCCTGTTCGTGTCTGGTACGTTACAAGAAACATATACTTGTCATAATAGTTTATTTGAGGTTAGATCGGTGAATATTTCATCATGCGTACGTCGTCATTGGTGGCTTTGTTTAAACTTTCTATAGATATTATCTGTATAACTTCATACATTACGTGTTAGTTCCTTTTAATAGTGTCAGATAAGTTACTAGAAGGATGTTTCACATTCTGATAAGTATCTACTTTAAACGAATAAAGAAATATATTTTTCAGTTGCAAAATATTCATTAACGACAAAAATCATTATAAATCTGTCATACATTTGTAATCGCACAGTTTATTTTACATAAAAGAATAAATATAAAAAGGAAGCAGTATACTTTAATGAAATCGGTGAAATTAACCTAACATGTAACAATTCTCGAAAAATTGTACAACTTCTTATACTCGTAATTTGTTAACTCGAAGTTTTTTTTTTTTATAAGTAGGTATGCACTTGCGTTATGTCATTTTGGATTTTTTTATTTTCCATGCTCCAATTCTATATTTATACCAAATAAAAAATAAATCTCCACCCATCTGTACCCAACTCCAAAAAGGTACTATCTTCGATCCTTCTATTTCAGTCCAATTTACAGCAATCTCGACAATAGGAATGTTTAGAATTTTTGCAATATACAGCATTTCTACATCAAATGCCCAACGTTCGACATGCAAGGCTTGGAATACAAGTCTTGCAGAGTTTCGTGTTAGAAGTTTAAAGCCACACTGTGTGTCCCTGATTCCTCTCACTCCCCATAACCATACTAAGAAGTGAAAACCGTGCATTAACAATAAACGGAAAAAAGTTCGTTTGGCAGTTTCTTCTTTTTCTAAATGTGCTCTGGATCCACATATTATTGCATGAGATGAACTGACTTCATCTGGTTTATTCTTATAATCGACTAGAAAGAAAATTTTCATTGTCAAAATATTCTATGCAATATACATTTCAAATCATAGGCAAGAAATTACTTACATCCTAAAATGAATTTTAAACTGTCGTCTAGCCTTTCTAAATCTCTAAATTTAGTAGCACCATCTGCATCTGCAAATAGTATTGCACTCCCTCTTGCACTTAATATTCCCTTAAAAAAAATTATATCATAAAGTAATGCCGATAATTAGATACTAAATATGAACAATTCATGACTGATTACTAACTAATCTTACTGCACCGCCTTTTCCTCTGTTTTTAACAAGATCTAGTACTCTGATATTTTCATGTTTTTGTGCATAATTTTGTGCAATTTGCACAGTTTGATCCGTACTTCCATCGCTAACTACAATTATTTCATAAGTACATCCATTTTTTAAACGTTCTTCCATATATTCCAAACATTCGTCCAACATCAGTGGCACTATAAAATAAAAACATGATTAACTGAACTTTCATTAATATCGTCATTAATACAAACACCATTTACATCTTTGTTCTTCGTTATATGCAGGTACTATGATGCTTAGATGTACGCTCCAATTATCATAGAGCGATGGAAATATTTCAGTACTTTTTGTCTTTGGATTAAAGAAATATTTCTCTTTCTCATCGCGCCATATTTTAGGATATGGTTGCGTTATCAAATATAATATTAAAGAAAACTAGAAGCATATAATGTTAACTTAACCACTATCAATAAAAAATTGCCACCAGATATACATTATTTTAAAATCGAATATTATCCAAAAATTTTTAAATATGCTTAAAAATGCCACGTTTCTATGAACTTAAGTTCCATACAAATGTTATTATAATCTGAGACACGTACCGTAATTAAACATACTATTGAAAATAAGATAGCATAAAGAAGTGAATGTTCCAGTGAAATCATCTTAATATGAAAGAACTTTCAAATATTAGCAAAATACACTTTATAAAAAACGCCAAACAACTCCTTCATAATTTCTTCTTTTTCACCGCACTTGTAACTTCGAGAATTTTAATTAATTTGCATATGTATTGCAATTGGCTACTGTACTACAAAACATTTTGTCTACTGTTTTATTGGCGGAAGCTAATCTATTGAGAATGAATGAACATTTGGTGACAAGAAATTGTACCATTTGGGGGGAAATTCACTAAATCTCATAACCCCTTCCCCTTCACGTTACGTTTTTATACTTGTCCAATGCTCCAAGCCTTAGTACTTGTCTTAAACAATATTTTAATTAATATTTATTATTAATAAATATATTTAAATAAATAATATTAAAATATTCGTTTAAATATGTTTAGGGGAAAACACTATTTATGTATTGTAAAGGCGGGAAAATACTAGGCTAGTGATAATAAATATTCACCAATAGAAGAAGATATTACATTACTTGCGCGAGTGTTCACTGAATATCACAAATTTAAAAAATTTGAATGATTGAAATACGAGAAAATAGCCATTAATCAATATTCAAGTCTATATTATTTGCTTCGTTACATGCATTGATATTTATGATATGATTTTTACGTTGCATTCTTTATCGAACAACTTGTAGTTATCAATCGCTTGATTGGGATTAAAATTTTTAAAATAATGTCTTCTAACACAAATACTGATATGCACGATTCGAATGCCAAAAGCTATATTTTTATGGAGAAAAATAGTAATGCGAGCGCGACACATCGAACGGATGCGACCTCGAATTCGATGCAAATTAATAACAATGCGACAGATAAGAAACAAGAATCGAAGAAAAAAATAACAATAGTCGTAGATGAGGATGATCCATGCCTCAAAGAAGAAAGAGATAAGAAAGAAGAAGAAGACACATTTTTCGTTCCCGGTGTAGATCCAAGGTAATTTCATGTAACAGTTGTAATAAATATTGTTTATTTCTTCGATCTTTCTGATTTTCTAGATCGAAATAAATATTAATATCGTTGTTTAGGTTTCAGCAACAAAACCAGACGTTGCGTTGTTGGGTGATGTATACGGATTTCTATCGCTGTGAACATATTTTAGGAACAGGAGCAAGCGCATGTACGTGGTTCAAACAAGTTTTCACGTCTATATGCCCAATGGAGTGGGTTCATCGATGGGATACTCTTAGAGTTGAAGGCAAATTCCCTTGGCACAAATATAAAACACAAGGGAAATTTCCTGGCCACAAATACGGGGTTTAGTCAAGGTACTGAGCATTTTTTTTTTTTCTTTTATACTTAAGGGATAATTCTTAGATTCTTAGATTTAAACAAATAAATAAAGCTGCGATTAGAAAAAAATATGAATCTTTTATTATACAGGTACAAGACTTTTTATGAAGTAACTTAAATAGAAGTGTGAAATGAATATTTGTTGCAATGCCCGATGTCGGCTTGTTGTACGGCTGTCTTCAACAATCGGTCAACAATTTCTTCTTTTATTTTTTTACATTAACCACACTAAGTATTTGCAGTTTATACGACACTTTTTACATATGTAAAAAATAAACACTTGCAGCAAATCTTCTTTAAACTTTCGATAGAATAGAAGCTTGAAATAGCACAGTATTAAAAATTCTGTTTTGCTTAAAATTTAAGATCCTTATATAATAAAATGGCTATTTTAATTTGTGCACAAAACTCCTGCCATGATGAAGACAACTTACCATCTTCGGGTGTGTGACTTCTTCGGTTGTTAACTGGATAATTCCATCTACACAGGATATTGCTTCTTCAGAAACAGTACCTGTAATGGCAAAAATAGCAATGTTTTATTTCAATGGAAAACTATATCCATTAGAACGAATTATAGATAACGTGATCGCTTTCAATGAAAGCCTTGATTGGATTCTTATTTCACAAAGCCCCCTGAATCTTATGATTAAAGATTAAAACCACCTTACGTATAACTTAACAATGCCATTTTAGTAGCTAAATGCTACTTGGCTCGACTGTCTCTTTGATGAATAAATTGACAATCTCCATCATTGCAAGTTCCCATTAACTCGTACGGACAAAGGACGCCATTGGGATTCGTGTTCCTGGTTAAGAATGACAAAAAACACAAAAAAAATGCTCAAAATTTTTGTAGCATTTAAACGTGAAAGTTTTTATATAATTTAAGAATTAATTAAATAGAAGTAATTTTGAACATTTTGAGAGCAAAACCCACCTTGGTACTTTAAAATGAGTTAATATTGATTCATAAGGTAGCAGCGTCTTCTTGATTTGGTGTCCCACTTCAGGTTTTGTAGAATTTTCTTTCTGATTGCAAGATTCCGAAGTCGAGGAGCTAGGTCTTACCATCTCATTTTCTGATGATTCTTTGTGGCCAGATTCTTGAGTATTTTTTGAACTAGGAATATCAGAAGTAATAACAGAGGTACTATTTGAATCTGTTTGTTCAGTAGATACTTCTCGTTCAGCAGGTACTTCTTGTACAGTAGATATTTCTGGTACAGTAGATAATTCTTGTACAGTAGATATTTCTGGTACAGTAGATACTTCTTGTTCAGTAGATATTTCTGGTACAGTAGATACTTCTTGTTCAGCGGGTACTTCTTGTTCATTAGATATTCCCTGTTCAATAGATACTTCATGTTCAATGTTGCTTTCTGCATTATTGCTAACATACGAATTATACAATGTCACGGTTTCTTCTTCACTCGTTTCTTCTAAATTTATTGTAGTTGTTTCTAATGATAAATTGCTTTCAATTTCATTCTCGTTTGAAATCTTTATGCCAATATAATCTACATTGTCTTTTTCTAATGACAGATCATCAATCTGCGAGATTTCCGAATGCACAATAGATGCAGTTTCGTCGCTTAATTTCGTTAATTCGTGTACTTCGGGTATGTCGATGGATGGTACTTTTTTCCGAGATAGCTGCCGCGTGTGATTGGCCACTTCTTTCAATCTATTATTTAAAAGTTGTGCTCCAGCTTCAGGTACCCTGTAAAATACCAATGAAAATGATGTTAAAGAAACTTGTAGCTATTTCTAATAACAATTGACGATTTCTTTTACACCGTACTTGTATTCTTTTCCTATAATTCTACTTCCTAAACTTGAACAAATCGTTGCAAGTTTAAAACATTCTTGCCGGCCTGCATTGATTTTTCCATGCCCCGCCACTACTTTAGGACCTATATTATTTATATGATTACGTTGCATCTGTAATCTTTCTTCAGCAACTTTGAGTTGTTCCCTGAGTTTCTTTACTTCCGCAACTAAATTTGTTTGAAGGTCTCGTTCCATGTGCCATTGACGAAGATTACCCGACATTTCAGCTAATTCATCTATTATCGTATAACTGTATCATAAACATAAAAATTAGTTGCTACATAGACATTACACATATTACAAGAAACGATTTTCTAATACTTGTAATTACCGTTTCAAAACTAATTTCTCTTCTGTATCTAATAAATGTTGCTCTTGTTCAACCCGTGAAAGATTAATAAGAGTACTTAGCTCTGTTTTGACATCTCTTTTAATCGCTCCCCAACTTTCTTCTATACTTCTTTTATCATTTGATAATAGATTATTTTTGAATAATGAAATATAACTTTCGTCTTTACTTTCTGGTATTAAAATTGTCGATGCCCGACTATCGTCTCCGCACTGTGAAAGTCGAATCGTTGATTCAGACGTATCAAGACTTCTTATACTTTGTGTACCGTCATTGTCTCTTGTTAGAATAAGAGTAGATGCATCTGAATCCACAGTATCGCCACTACATTGAGTATAATTAGTAATAATTTCTTGATCTACAGGTGGTTTATGTTCATCTTGATTACACTTATCTTTATTTTCAGAAATATTTTTACTTTGATTAATTACTGTTTTGTTATTTAAGGTCACTTTATCATGTATTGTTACCACTCGTTCATTTGTATCGTTTTTTACTTGAATTTGTACATACTTTTGATTTACTTCATCCGTGGATAAAACTTTCAAGCTTGGCGAAGTTTTCGATTTTACTGGAATTTCATTTGCAGATGGTTCAAAAACTTTACGCGGTGTAGTAACAGACTGCAAAGGATTTCCAGCTATTTTATTTTCAACTTTATTCAAATTATTTTCGTTGGATATACATATATTTAAATTTGTCATCAATCTCGATATAGTTTTTGCCTGATTTGGACTTACATTTCCTTGTTTATCAACACTATGTACATTATTAGTACACAATTGTCCGTTTGCATGCGTACTTTTTATCGTATCCAAATTTTTTGAACAGTTCTCTTTGTTCAGTTGTTGTGTATTTACATCCAGACTTTTTACAGAAATAGCCTGATTTATTTTTGAATGTAACTCTTTATTCGGATTGTTGAGTAATATCGACTTTGTAGATATTTCTGTGCTTTTATTTTTAGTCGTACCGTTATTTTCTACGGTTCTATGTAATTTCAATTTTTCACGTTCCATAATTTGTTGTTTTAACCGACGATATTCTTCTTGTTGGGATGCAGGTAAATGACGTACCGCCTGTAAAAATACTGTTGTAATTAAAGGTCATACATATATAAAAATATTTTAACATAGAGAAGTCTTACCAAAGGTGTATGAAGATTAGATGAATTATCTGATTTTGTTGTTAATATTGCATCTTTCTTTGGTGTCTGTGATATCGAAGTTGGTCTTGCAGCTGCCAAAGATTCTTGTTTCTTTCTTACAGCTCGTAAAAACTGATCTAAATTTTTTTCAAATTCAACTGTGTCATTTATCAGTGGTTGAGGTTTATCTACTGCGAGAGAATTGACGGAAGAGACAATTTTGTTTGTATGCCGTTCAGATTCAGAATCACTTTCCGTGTCAGATTCCAAATTTATTACAATTCTTTGTGTGTCAGGCAAGGATTTCTTTGTGCTTGCAGACCACTTGTTGTCATTAGATTTTACTTCAGTAAGAATTTTATTTTCTGTTAACTTTTGTTTGCTATATAGTGCAGCTTTTTGCAAGTTCAATTTCTTTTGGACCATTGCATTTTGATATTTCTTTGCATTGTTTACAACTTTCGTACTTGCAGAAATTGGAATTCTTTTCACAAGTTTCTTTTGTGGACCCTTAGTCATAGGAATTAATCTTTTCCTTCCAGAAGTTACAGAACCTAATGTAACAGTTTCAGCAGTTAAACTCCCCTGTGTGCTTGTATTAATTACTTTTTCTCCAGAATTTGTCTGATTTTTATTACTTTCAGGAGTACATGAATTTGCATGCGAGCTTGAACATGTGCCATTAGTGTCTGGTGTATTAATTGTATTAACCATGGATAATGCAACTTCTGATATAGTTTGATTTGCAAATACCTGATTATTACAATTTGATAATGCAGTTGTAACTGCAGTTAAATTCGATTGTTTTTGGTTGGTAGATTTTGTCCGTTTTGGTAAAGAAGCTAATAAAATTGCTCTCAATGCTTCTTCATCTTCGTCTAGGCTTTGTCTTCTAGTATCCATATTCTTAACTTGTTCTACTGTATCACTAGACGAAGTATCTTTAGTCCTCGTCTCGTCTACGTTTGTTTCGCACGAAATTTGATTCTTTTCATCAAGAATATTATTTGATGTTTCTGAATTAGATATCTTTACATTATCTTTTGCATTCAATTGCATTTTACTATTTTTACACGTTTCAAGATCTTCAGTTTCAGACGTTTTATTTATTTGTTTATCTAAAATATTCATATTGTCACTATTTGTACCAGTTACATCATGTTCTTTAGTGCCTAACTTTGTTGTACCAATATTTTTTCTCTTTGTTCCTTTCCTTGTAGATTTCTTCTTCTGTGTTAGACTCACAGTATCACAAGTTTTATTTTCTGTATTTATAGTTTCATCCTTTTGTATTTGAGTCACATTGTTATTGCCTTCTATTAGTAAGTTATCTTTATTTGTAGGTGTTTTGTTAGTTGAATCTCCATACAAGGGATCAGGAAATGCAGTGGGTATTGTTAAAATAGAATGAGATTTTTGTGGAAACAACATTAATTTAATTGGTTTGAAGGAAGTATTTGTTCTTGAACTAGTTTCTTCATTAATGATAACTGGTTGCATTTCAGCACTTTTAAATGTCGGTTCCTGTATTATGGACTTTTTTATAGGCAAAGGTTGTTGTAATTGTTTGTTTGTTTTTAAAATTGATGCTGGAACGAGCGTTCTGTTAATTAGTGTTGGTATTTTATTTGTATCTTTGGTAACATCCGGTACTCCTTTCATGTAAAGAGGTTCTGGTACTACTTCTTTAACATCATTTGGAATGTATTCCATATGTTTTTCACTTTTAAGAGACTCAGTCAATGGACTAGTATCTGCATCTATTTCAGATGGAGAATCAATCGTTGTTGTACTACCTGTTGATAACGATTCTCTAAGAGAACTTGTAGCAGAACCAACAACTGCATCCATAGAAAGTGTTTCTAGTTTATCTAGATGTTCATCTTCATTTGCATTGTTTATCTGTCCTGTTGATTGTATTTGTTGGCTTGCTAACATGTAATTGTATTGTTCATTATTTTCATGCATATTAGAACTGTAAGAAGATCCTGTACATACTATAGAAGAATTTGAGGTAGCAATTGGACCGGGAGTTTGAGGAAGCTCATGCGATAGATCTGGATCATATATTGGAGTATCGGTTGGAGAATAAGGTATTTCTTGATTTGTATTATTGTCTACAAAGGCGGAAGTGTTACTATTTTTGAGAGCATTTACTTCAGAATTATGTACTTTCATAAAATCGGTTCTAACAGTCTCTGTTGGATCTATTGGTGAATATTGTGGATTTACAGTTGTTGTTGTATACAATGCATTCTGTGATAATGTATAATATGTAACATTTGGTAAGTAACTTTTGTTTTCAATAATTTTTCCCTGATAAGACTTTTGATCATCCTGATTAGGTGTTGCAGATACATGAAAATCTGGACTACTATTTGCTTCATTAACACTGATAAAAGACACATCAGATGGTTGAATACCTAATAATTCTGTATCCATAGGTATATTCACAGTAATTTTATCTGTTGGAGAATATGGCAATTTTTCTTTCTCCCGCTCAATATCTGTATCTAAATCCATATCCTCAGTATGATTACTTTCATTCATAGTAAGCGGAGTATGCGGTGGCGACGCAAAATTTAGTAATTCTTCTCCAGGTATAGGGATACTGTCTAGAAAGCTTTGAGTGAATGGGCTTTCACTACGGGATATATTAGATTTCCTATATTTCCCTGATTTCATACCTTTTTGAATTCTATTTTGATGCTTTTTTAATACAGCAGAACGAAGCGCAATCATTCTCAATTCTAAATCTTCTTCATCTTGATCATCATCTATATTTGCATTTACTTTTTTTGCAGCTTCTACCTTTGGCTGTTCATTCTGTTTATTCGATTTCCTTTGTTTTGTTTCAAGTGCTTTTTGTCTTAGTAATGCCAAATCTTCATCATCATCTGCATCATTAAGTTCAGTTTTATTTGCATGCATATTGGTCTTTTCTTTAGGCAAACTTGTCACGTCACTGTTATTGTCACAGACTCCTTTCATCATATTTGTTAATTTCTCTTTTAAAGATGATGCATGCTCCTTGTTTTTATTTAAAGTTTCTTCTAACGAATGAGTTCCTATCGAATCTAAATGTCTAACTTTTTTAAGTAGTTTATGTGTATCGACATAATTATGAGACGATGACATCGACTCAAGATGTGATGTTTTCCGAGGTACTGTTTTTCCTACTGCTCTGTATGGTGATCGTTTAGGAGACTTAGGTCTTTTTGGAGATCTTTTTATCGTTGGTGATCTGGTACGCACAACTGGAGATTTTGATCTTTTGAAAGGAGAATGTGTTCTTACAAGAGATCTATGTCTTCTGGAAGGTGATCTTGGATCTGTTCTTGATCTGGTTCTATGGACAGGACTCATTTCTCTATGGTGCGATCTTAAAGAATTAACTTTTGTTGTATCGTGTTTCAATGTACCGACACATTCTGACACGGATATGTCCACAGTAGACGAAGAAACTAAATCATCTATTGTCATCGCAGGTGCATGATTTCTTTTCTTTTTCCTTTTTTTTTTCACTCTAGTTTTTGATGTCGAACGTAGAACAATTTGTTTAGAATTATCTGCAAGACCAACAATTTCCATGTCGCTATCGCTTGAAATAGGTACAAGGTCATCATTTTTTTCTTGAAGCGTAGAAACTATGTGCTTTGTTCCGATGCATCCTGATTCTTTGATCTGGTGACGGTTTTCTTTTCCCTGGACTGCATCTTGTAGAATAAGGTCAACTTCTACTTGATTAGAACACGATATGTCGAGTATGATAGTACATTACACATAAAAAGGTTTAATATTTTTATAATTCAATGCATTAGAAAATACACCAAGTAAATAATCTTTTCTTTTATGTTAAAAGTTATTATGTAAAAGTTGTATAAATAAATGTACAAAACAATTTCTACAAGTTAACAATGTAAAAGGCATATGGAAAAATTAAAACGTTAAACTAATTTTCTCGCGCGGATATGTATTTAATAACGACAATATTCAAAAATATATACAAAAATCCTGTTATTTAATTTACCTCTTCTGTTAGGGCCTTTAGAATGATAAAATTTGGCAGGAGCAGTGCACCACGTTGCATTATGTTGGGTCGACAAGCAGTTAGAACATTGTGGAAGCCTGTTCCCGTATCCGTAATTTAAATGTCCTTCCTCGGAGGAACTCACATCTTCCAAAGATATTTCACCCTCCTCTTTTTCATCCAGCACTTCGATTGCTTCTGTACACCCGCTCGACAAATCGCTAGCCATTCTTAAACTTACCCTCAAACCATAAACAACTAATCCCGTCCATTCGTAGCAATCAGAAACAAATATTACGATACGGTGAATACTTTTCCATGAAAATTACGATTAATTACGCGTTAGTGGTAGTTATGATTTTTTTCACTGATCTAAACCTGACTCACGCACACACGACCTTAACGAACAATTTATTTAGCGTTACAAAATCTTTCTCTTTTCGTGAATATAGAATAAATTAAAAATTGAATCAAGTCCGAATATTATTTTTAATAAAAAAGACAAATAAACTTATCCGCCGCAAGGTCTGTTTTTATCGTCGTAGTTGATCTTCTCACACTTAATGCATGCAATAAATCCGCCATACTAAGTCGTCCTCACACATGACACGAGGCGGCTGGTATTCATTGATACAGATATATTCAGAAATTAAACACCAGAATTTTACTAGAAACAGGCGACGCAATATTAACACAATGGCTGTTTCTTTAACATACCCTATTGCACTCGCCCAGGCGAAGATTAGGGATAAACAAAATCACGCGATTTCAACAAAATAATATTGGTTTATTGCGTCACATGTTATTCTCATCAGGAGTGTATTGCATGTATGTTTATCGGTGTCTCGAATTTCTATAGTATTTTTAAGATATTAATTAACGATAAATATCATACAGATTACGTACGTTGTTTAAAATGTCTTTATTTCATTTATATTTTGTCGAGCTTATTTTTTTACTCTAAACGTAAAATACGATATGAAAAATATTCTTAAAATATACGGATAACAAAGTTGGATAAAATACCTGTGTACAATTGTATCGAAACAGAAGTATAGTAGATTTAAACGATTCTGTTCATATTACCACATACTACGCAATGCAACATAAGATACGAAGAGCGTTTCGATTTCTGATTGGTAAAATGTGACTCATCTATTTCATTCTACCAATCGCAGATCTCGCGCTTCTCATGCATTCGCGTAGCATGGACAAAATATTTCAAATGGCGTGTGCTATCTATCAGTCTCATTTTGGCGCAATGTAGTTCGGAGAATATTAAATTTTGGTATAACGTGATTCTCAAGTAAATCTTTGTCGAATATGAAACGTGCCAACGCATGATCACCGATTCCAGACAAGACAGCCACAAATCTTCCCATTTCATTGACACTCTTCATTTGATCTTCCATAAAGCCGGTAACGATAAAATCACTTGCATTTAAATCTCCATGTTTCTCAGCCACGGTGTTCACGGCTACTAGCTTTTCACTTACTTCAATTTCTAGTTCTAGAGCCGTCTAAACAGATCCATGTATGTTGAATAATATTATCCATATTCTCTAATATTCAGATACCAAATTATTTAAATATTGATAATATAATAGATAAAAAATGATCATTCGGTTATTTTTTATATTTGCATGAGGTATGTAATAATGTAATTCTGAGTTTGTAATCCTCCCTAATTTTCAATATTAGTCTTTTTCATTTTTGTATACCAACTTGGTATCAGCAACAAGTAAGTAAAATGATTCTAACGCTAAGGGCACTAGATATCGTAGATAAATATAATTTACTTTAAAAGCGTACAGCGGACATTTCCAATCTTGATCGGCGGGATGCTGTACCGTGCATAAATTAACACGGCCTCCGCGCATTTTAACATAGTTAACAAATTTCAGAGCATGCTCGTGCTCCTCGTGATGCATTTGCATGAAAAACGATTCACAACCTGGCAATGCAACATCGGCTCGTCCGAAATACGCAGCCTGTGAAAAATATTTGTCTTCGCGAGAGAAAAATAATTGTCTTCTATTGTCCGTTCAGTGTAAAGACGAGTATGTGTAAACAAAACCACATGATCGCAACAGGGCCGTGTTGGCAGAGGGTTATTACCCAATTACTATTTACGTAGATAAATACTAATATGTTAATTTTTTTTTAGGTTACAACTTTCGCAATAACTTGTCGATGGAAGCTCTACCATCGAGTTTTGGAAAACTTGCTTCCATTCACCGACGAACAATATACATACAGGGTGTTCGGCCACCTCTGGGAAAAATTTTAATGGGAGATTCTAGAGGCGAAAATAAGATGAAAATCAAGAATACTAATTTGTTGATCGAGGTTTCGTTAAGAAGTTATTAAAGTTTAAAGTTCCGGCTGTAGAACGGCGACTTGGGAACAGCTGCGCACGCGCGATAGTGGCTCTCGTTCAGAAAATTGTAAGGCTGGCGATACGCCAGTGAGTAGAGTCGCTCATGCCGAATGAGAACCAGTATCACGCGCACATAGCTGCTCGCAGGTTGGCGTTCTACAGGCGGAACTTTCAACGTTAATAACTTCTTAAAGAAGCCTTAATCAACAAATTGGTATTCTTGATTTTCGTTTTATTTTGGCCTCTAGAATATTCCATTAAAATTTTTCACCCTGTATAGTCACAATGGATTATATTTACATCCACTTCATCTTTATTTTTAACGGACAACAGTAGAAACACTAGTCAAATCGGAATCAACTGGTTAACTGGTAAGTGTTATTTTTCTAATAACGAATCATAGAAGTGTAGAAAACGGTATAGCGAGGTTAATGGCTCAATAGTATTAAGCAGGTAGTTGATTTCGATTCAACTGTAATTGTTTCTTTTGACCTTACCATGGAAAGATAATAATAAAAAGCCTTTAGTTCAGCATTTACTTGCTCATTTAATATAGCTTCGGTTTCCTCGTGGAACTTAAATTTTGCTGGATTTCCACTTGGCCATTCCATGGGTTTGTTAATGCAAAATTGATTGGATTTTCCATCCGAACAATACATGGCGAAAGATCTTGCGAACTGTATCACCGAATTACATTTTCTTGCTGTGCAATCGATATCGGCGTACTGTGATTTGTATGATCTCGAAAAAATATCAATGATTTTCTCAAATTACACCTGACTAGAGAAAACATTACCGAATAACGTAAACACTTACTTTTTATTGTACAATTGACAGACACGTGGACACAATTTGTTACCAAGAATTTGTTTGCATCGCAACGCCCTTAACATGTTTATATTTAATTACGTACAATTTACAAAATTCTTTAAAACTTGTACCGACATATTGACATATATGTCACAGTACCGATTCGCATTTTTTTTTTTCGTTGAATTTCGTAAAATTCGATCCGCGATATTAGATATCATACGAATAAAAATCAAGCATTTATAATTAATAGTTTTTATGACGGAAAGAATTAGCACAATGTTATGCAATACATTGTAATATTTGTCACACTCTACAATGTTACTGGCTACGAATTTAATTTGACGTTTGTGCACAATGATTTAGTTTTAACCTCATTTTAATATCACATTTCGAAAATGAGGTTTTAATCTTTAAGTTCTTTATCGAAGATGTACTCGCCAAGGCCTTTACCGACTCGTTCTAGATTTGTTATATGATCGGCGATTTCTTTTATACTATCTACTTGTTCTTGCAAGGTCTCGGTCTCCAGGAAGTCTAATAAATTCGGGTCGTTGTACTTCGATGCCAGTGCGTGTAAATTTAGAAGACTCTGAAAAATACAGAAATATTTATAAAAAAAAATGTTATTCCATTGAATTCCGTTGCATTTCGATCACAGGGCATTTATTTCGTAAATAAATAAATGGGAAAAAATAAGAATGGAGGAGCTGGGATTTGAACCCAGGACTTTCCGCATGCGAAGCAGACACTCTACCACTGAGTTACACCCCCAACTGGAAACAGTTTTATTAAAAACGCATTTAACGCAATTTTTAATTAAATCTAAAAAATATTAGAACGATTAAGTTAGTCGATTTAACATATAAAATTAAACTATTAGAGTTTCCCATCTATTGATACATTCAAAATTAATCGAAATTTGACAAAGCGATTTTTACGATTTAATTCTATTTCTGTGTACACATACCTCGTTAACTTGTTTTTCTAGCTCCAACGCTGCCACCATTGCATCTTTAGCGGAGACCCAGTCATTTTTTGGCGGGCTTTCGATGTCCGTCAGATCAATGTTCCCGCCCCTCTTATTTTGATAAGTCATAAATTTCATGGCGTGTTCCCTTTCCTCGTCGGAAGATTTTTTGAAATATTTGTGAAGACCCTCCAGCGCTACGTCGCTTCTGTCGAAATAATAAGCCTGGGGAAAAAAGCAACGTTAAGGCGGTATTCTACCGTACAACAGGTATTTTTAAATATTTTTTAATCATTTTTGTATCGTACAAGTAATTTCGTTATTTTTTTTTTTTAAATCGGATAGTATCTGTTGGCAGAAATATTTTTGCAGAAAATGAAATTGAATTTTTTAAGGTTTTAGATTTTAATATCCTCTTAAACGGTACGTTTACTACTAACCATAGACAGGTAGACATAACTGGCGTACAGTTCCAAATTGATTTGCCGGTTGAGGGCTTCCTCACATGCCTCGTGAAAGTTCTGTACAACCAGACTCATGGTGTCTTTTGTAGAAAAGTGCCTCGTATGTTGAAATGGTGTACGACAGCAGGTGTCACCGATTTTGCGATGGTACAACGTGCGGAAGAGAACTACGAGTCTGACTTGTGCTGTCGAAACATACTGCACCGAGTGTAGACGATAATCGATAGCGGTACACGCAAGCGCGGATACGCGGCATTTATCAAAAATATGAGCCCAACAGCGTAACCTTCAATGTAAAAACAAAACGCATCAACGAACTGGAGATTCGATTTCACCGAGGTTTATTTATAATTAAAACAATTTTTATTTCTCTTGGAATATAAATGAAATCATACGTGCAACAACGTGCTGCGAATATTCGACTCGATGCATTTCGAATGTGTTGTGTTTAAAGTGCAAATAGCTTTAATTGGCGCTAAATTAAAAGCATTGCTTAGTCACATGACACGTGTTTTAAATTCTTCTTTATTTACGTAATTCTCAATTATTACGGACCGAGGGAAAGAAAAATTTCATGGTGATTTAACTTGGATTGGATTTTAAATGCCCTTGAGGCATGATATAGTATGTTCTATGAGGCGATAAAGTTGGTAGTAAAGAGGGCATGTCACGAGACCAAAATTTTCATTGGTTCACTATGTCGACACGACGCTTCGGTTAGCGATGGACTGTCGGTCTGACGCATGGTGGATCAAAATTATTATCATTGCTATTTATATATGTGAATGATAACTTACATGTTAACGTGTATGTAGTCGGGATATAGCCTTTTATTTTATTATTTAATTTTGCATCGTGTACATTTCTTCGCGCGTTTTTCTGTCAATACGATAATGTTATAATCGTGTTGCTTTATTTAGTTTCACTTATCACCTCATGGAACGTTCTGCAATACGCAGTAGCGCTGGAATAGGCCTCGAGGCATGCCAGTTTGCAGTAGTGTTACCAGACGGCAAACCGGCGCCCAGAGGAGACTGCCCCACCATTTATGCGCATAATGCACACCCACGCGCATGTGAGCACCGACTCTTCGGGCAGCTTCGGGGATTCGAGGAAGAAAGCAAACGTCAAGTTTTCTTTCTCGTCTTTCCATCACTATCTCGTTCTACTTACCGGCGAGCGTCGTTTTCTACCTTGAACGAAGTCGTCTTTCTCGACAGTAGACTCTAACGCTTCTGAGGTAACGTTGCACGTTATAACAGCCATCAATAGTATATTTTTTTATTACATATGATCTAAAACTTTAGAACCGATTGTTGCAGAAGTAGATCAAGGCCGGATTAAGGCTTTGAAGGTCCTCTTGATAAGAAAAGCGAAGGCTGGCGGTATTTGTGGATATTTTTAAAAAGGGAGAGTGTTGTCTTTAAAAAGGACAGTATGTTAGAATTATGACTAAAAGAAATATCAATTAAAAGACAAAAAAATTAATGCAAAAAGAAGTTGTTAACCCATTCGAGATGAGCGTTTACCGACCGAGCTTGCCTCACAAGCAGTGGCGTATCTAGAGTTTGTGTCGCTTCGGGATGGTTCTTTAGTTTGTCCCCCTCTTCACGAATATAGCATAAAACATACATAGCATTTTTAATAGTCCATCGGCGAAGGTGAGTCAATTCTGATGATTCATAGATAAATATCAGAGAATGAAAATCTTGATAATGGGAGAATTTATTTTCATACAGACATATTCTTAGATACATTATATACACGTGGACTTGGATATATTAAACAACGACTTAGTCTGTTTCTAAAATGATAGCATTAGTATAGGAAATTTTATTTGTTCCGTTGGGATTTATGGGATACATATATAAAATTTTTACAATTATTTGCGTCAAAGATTCAGTAGCCACATTTGGCCAGAATATAGGTTTCATAGATGCTCCACGGAAGCCCCATCATAGCCGCTGTCACACGCACAAGAGTGTTATGTCTAATCTTGTGCAGTGGCCAGCAGCTGCACTGAGGTCCATTTTGGTTCCATTTTCTTCTTTTAACAGTATTACGATAGTCACATCGGCAGTCTTCTTACGAAAAATTGTTATTTTTTTTTACCCTTACACTAAGAAACCACAGTGAAACTACAAAGCAGGATTTATTAAATTTTCTCTTTAGTCCTCACATTTTGAACTTACAAGGTTTCCTTCGAACGGTTGCCCTATACGCAAACGTCCAGATAACGTTAGTATCATCAGGAATACTGTAAAACAATAAGTATCGAACGTTTTTAATTGTTACAGAATCGTGTTAGAGAAGAAGCAGAATATTAAGTCGCGAGAAATGGGTAAATTAATTCTACCGTTTGTGGTGTACGTGTATTCACCTTTGCTATAAAATATCTAGTCCATGTCGTCGCTACCCTTATCGCTGCTATTTAATTTCACTTCTGTCGCGGTAATGTTAAAGTTAAAAAAAAGTGGGATACGAAGTAGAGAAGTAGGTATAGGTGACGCGACAAATGAGTAAAGCACTGACTCTTACCGCGTGCAAGGGTGTGTGGCCTATTTTGTTCTGTGTTTGTCGTCGACGACGGTATCGCGTTGCGCGCTAAATATTTAACAATTCAATTTAATCATCCAACGGACAACCACCGGGTATTCTCTTTTTTTTTCTTTTGGTATCCCGTCAACTACAAAACAATAATCGATAGTTTTAAAATAATTCTGTTTACGTTCGAATTTGCATCGGCGTGTCTCTACCGGTTATCGTGAAGAAATAATGCGATGTACAGAGTACAGGCGAATGCATGAAAAGTACGTCCGTATCGAGATTACCTGTGGGGATCGGACATCTGGTGGTTCTATAGGTTGATAGGATAGTTCGACTAGTATATAAAATTCATTATCTTCGATCTTCCTACCCGTGCATTTCTACGATGAACTTACCGCGGTTTGTACGCATCAAAGCCTTAACTACTCTTCTATTTGCTGTCTCTCGGAAGGCACACTATGCTGACCGTTTGGAAACCGATCGAGTTCCATTTTTGAACGATCGCTTCAATGGATACCGATGCCCGAACGCGCATTGAAATTCCGTATTCTTCTTTCAATTGTTACGCGGCTCCGAATACCGCGAAAAATCGTACGTCTCGAACGTAGGTATGTTTCTGCGGTTTGTCGGTTTCATAGACGCTCCCCCTGATCACGGGTATTCGAGAACTCTGCTTTTCATGATCGAAACGTATTTCTGGCGACAAGGAGTTTGCACAGACGTGTCGGGGGTCCAGGTAGAATTCCTCCACTCACTCTGTCAATCTTTCCGTGATTTACTCGCGGTAAAATATTGAAATTTAAGTTACTCCGAGTTTCGATCTATCTATCACTGAGCGCTCCTCGTTTAGCGACGAGAAAATTGTCGAGGAAAACTTCCAAGTAATCGCACTCGATCAGTGTTCCCCTCGAGTAGTTTCGGTTTCACTACGCGATCGAAGGTAGACGCAGGTTAATAAAAAATGATCGCACTTCTGTCCATGTTCCGAGCACAACTGCCGATACCTTCTTAGTTCACCCTTGGTTATATACCAGGACACCACGTGGTCATCTAATCTATCGACCAATGACGGGGTAGGTTTAGGCCTCGTCGACCAATGAACGTTTCCCTTTAAGGCCACAAGACACGTGTTTCTTGGGAAATAAGGACACAGGCATTACGTACGAAATCGTATTTGCGTTACCGAAGTTGGACGATCGAATAGCAGACAGTACGCTTTGCTCGCTTAGCTTTTCTTCCATGAACTGGAATGTTCGTGTTTCCAGGTGATATTTGTTACTATTCGCGATGGCGCCCTATGGTATTCTTTCGGTTTCCGCCGCGGGACCGTTTCCTCTTTACGATTTTACCATTCCAGAAAATATTTCATTAATCCCAACGCTCTTGTTCTCTTTCACAGATTTTTGCTATACAGGAGAATCAGCTTGCAACGAGCAAAAAGAAGAGGCTCCATTTGCTTCCTTTTTCACTTTCGTTTCGAGATATTCGGAGCTTGCAAAATAAACGCGATGGAAATAGATTTTTGGGGTTCCGCGAATCCTTCGTTTTCTCCTATTTTCGCAGTCCCTACGTAATGTTTTCCTTGGTTACATGAACGTTCTCCATTTCGTTATATAATTTGTAGTTCATTCCATGTGACCTGGCTATTCTCGTCTGCCGGCGGTCTTTTTTGTTTGTGGTAGTGTTTAATGATATTGTGAAGAGGCGAATCCTTAAAACATATCTCGCATACATACCGACACGAAGCGGGTGTACCCCTATCGTTAAATAGCCGGATCTGCCACCGGGATGACCTAATTTTCATACTTTGCCACGAACCACCGCCGTCGCGCTAAATTCCGTATCCGTCATCCCTCGGAGAACCTTCTAATTCGTTTAGCCTCTGTTCCCGTTCCGTTTCTCTTTCGAATACTCTTATCTTCGAAAAAATTTCGCCGCAACTCTTTTGTTTCGATCTTTTCGAACAAGAAACAGGGCACAGAGCGATTGGAAAGATCGTCCGAATTCGATCGCTAATTGATTTACCGATAGATCGACGTAATCGCGGATATATAGAGTAAAGCTAACGGGGATATTATCAGCGCAGACTGTCTCCGGATTTTTGCGGCTTCCCACGAAGGAGGTCACGCGATAAAAGACACGAGATACGTAGTTTCCGGGTGAGAATCGAGCTAGCTTCATTGTCAGCGCAAGTAGATCGTAAGAGTGTAACGTGCTCTGAAGATTTTTTTTTTAGATTGCACGGAGAATGGCGGAACAGCGGGCGAAGGTGTCCGAGATGCTAAAGGCTCTAGGGGTTCTGTTCGGGAATCGGTTGGACTAAACGAAGGAAAATTTCTTTGATATCGTCGGTACGACGACCGAGGAAAACGTATCGATCGTCGGACGATCGTCCCACGGCGATTAATAATCGATTGGCGGTGGCCCGGTTCGACCCCCTCTCATAATTTGAGACTTCGACGAGGGAAGAACGACGGAGCCGGGTAGTTTTGTTGGCGAAGGAGCTCTGGTTCGTAATGAGGGTGGAATGCGAGAAGCGGATGAAGATGAGGAGCCATCGAGCCAACCTTACGCCCCTGTCGACTGTTCCGTCTGCTATAGCGGGCAACGGCGACGCGGTGCAAGAGAAACGGAACAGAGGTGGCGGGGGGTAACACTAGCCGAGTAAGCTCTGGAACACTTTTCAGGATTCATGGCTTAACACCCCCGGATCCTCAGGCTTCACGTCTGCCTGGCCCAACCTGGTACTCCTCCACTGACTACGCTCGATGCCAGCCGTTCCGTTTTTCCTCTATCTTTCCGTTGGCCGGGAACTTCATTTCGTCCACGTCCCGATCACCTCAACCAATCGCCAACACTGTTTTCCAGATACGTCGAAGAATTTTTCACCACCCTCTTGCGATAATTACGAAAACCGAATTGTAAGTTTCGCGTCCAAGGACCTAACGTATTCATGCAACGACAAGTCTATGCAGTGTTCGCAGAGGTAGCTTCCGATTCTAGTATTTTTAGTCGTTCGTGAAATCGGAAGGTACCTTTTCGTGTTGGGACTTACAGGGCACGATCGTATTCTCCGGTCTTCTTCTTCTCGTCGCATGTACGTATGGATAGTTCCCACGTCGATTGTATCGATTCCGTTGATCATATAGGTACCCACCTTAAGTTTATGTCATATTTCATATCGCAATTTTACAATGAAATAAGACAGAAACATAAGACGGCTTTCCTATGTCGTGTCCGTTCCTCCGGCGGGAGGGGTTGCTTCTTCTTGTCGATTACGATGCGGTCGCGATTATGGAGCCAAGGTGAACAGTATATACCAATTGTCGAATGGATGACAAAAGGGTATACAGTGTTCTGTCCATAGAAATATAATGCTGCTCACGCCATTGTACGAAGAATTTGTTATGCGATACAGTGCGCGGACAACGGATCGCCGCAACGTCAGATTGGTG